ATGGTATGTGAGTTATGTCTCAGTAAAGACCTTATTTTTTAAAATAAGGTTAAGTTACATAGCCTTAGGTAGGGGGAGCCAATATTTCCACCGAGGCAATCTGGCTCCACAGCACGCATATTTAAGTGCTCCATATTCTATATATCTAGTGAGAAGACATATACTAGGTGATATCACCTTCTCATTTACAGTATTTACTCCAAGGACATAATTTGTTATATGAAGAATGGCCAGACTGAATGCAGATAACTTTCCATGAATAGTTTTCTCAAAACAGAGTTTTTGACAATAATTAATTAGTTATAGTTAACTTTAATCACTGACAAGAACCTGAAAGGTATATATTTCATTGCAAAAAGTATTTGATGAGTATATTCCTAGATAAGTAACTGAATTGTTTAACTGGCTGGCTTTGTTAGATTTCTTCATTCAAATATCAACAAACGCTTATTGATTACCTACTCTATGCCACGTCCTCTTCTAGGTATTAGAGACAGAGCTGTGGAATAGAGATACAACTTCCTGTCCTCTGAAAACTTATATTAAAAGGGATAGTAAATAACAAATAAATGTTAGTGATAACTGTAATTAAAAGTGTATATAGGGCTCCCAACTGTGGAAAGGTAGATGAAGAAAAGAGAGTGACCAGTATATAGGGAATGGATTATAGGCAGAGAAAAAGAATAGTCAGAAATAATGAGTTTTCAAGGTGCTCTGACAAAATTATAGTTGTATATTTTGAGTGTCAGTAATCAACTTTACTCGCGTCTTTAATTTTATAGTAGGACCAGTTACCTCGTTTCATTGGCATATAGGAAACTATGTATTTTCTGTTCATGCAACAGAAGGGAGAAAGGGTTCATTTCAAAGCCACCGTCAAAGACTTGAAAGACATAGGTAGGCTCTTTTCTATATCCTTCCCCATTGAATTCTCACACTTTAATGCTGCAAACAATTGATAGGCTCTAGATTCCTATGAACAGCACAGGATGTGCTCCCTAGGAGCAGATTCTGAGATGGAGATTTGCATGCAGCAGGGTTGTTATAAAGTGTTCTTGGAATCTAAATTTGTGGAAGAGAAGGAAGGAAGCTAGATTGGGAGGAGGGAGAAGTCAAGGCATTGTGCATCTTCAATGGAAACCTCAGCAATTTTTTGAGTAAAGAGCTCATAGACCAAGTTGGAGAGAGAGCACTGAGCCTTTCTGCTTTCCCCTACTATTCACTGGATGCCTCTCTTTTCTCCAGAAGGTAGACACATCAGTGGGGGATGTGGCTGTCTTTAGCTGAGGCAATCCCCTAAGGAGGCTGACAGCTGAAAGCAGTCTTCTGTCAGCACTCTGAGCAGCTGTGGAATAAGCCCTGCTTTTCAGAAGGAGAATCTGAGCAGTGCATTACAGTATCCCTCACAATAGATTTAGTCTGGTGATGACTCAAAGTGTAGCTGCTTTTCTGGATGTTTCTGTTACTAAATGGAACAATATGGCCCCTAGAGTGTTATTTGCAAAAATTGATTTAGCTACCTGCTTTCTCATCTACTGAACTGGACCTCTCAGGAAGAGATTTATAAATCTGTATTTTTATAAAGATCCCCAGTGATTACTCTATAAACAGTCTATAGACCCTCATTTTGGAAGCACTGTTTATGGTTCCATAGACCATTGTATTTCTAATTCTGGCCAGTGGGATTTAGTGGAAGTATGTGTGCCACTTCTGAGTTTTACCCTCAGAGGAGAAGGAGCACAAACTCCCCTCCCCCATTCTACATTTTTGCTGATTGGAATAAGAATGAGATGGTAGGAGCTAGTGGGAACCATCATGGGCTAACTAGATGGAAGCTGGACAATGCATTCTGCAATAAGACGGAAGAGACAGGCATAGCCATGCCTCTCTGGATCACCTACCTAGTTTTGTGTATGACAGAGAAGTCCATTTCCATCTTTTAAAAGTCAGTGTTTTTTTTTTTTCTGTAATCAGCTCAAATCTTAGTAATATGAAGATAGTGGGTTCTCATCTTTGAGGTGAAGGACATGCTGTCGTACTTTGTTTACTCACACTAGGAAATAGACCCACCAGATTTTGGAAACATCAAGAAACCTAAATCATTATAAATGTCTTTCTTAGGTCTACTCACTGGATGACCTAAGACCTGCAAACTCTAGAGGCACGCAGACAAAATATGAGAGCAGTTTGGCTTATCAAGCTTTCAGTAAAAGCTACCTCAATGTTTAACTCATAATCTGTGTTGATCAAATGGTTCTAGAAGAATCTATAACAGAAAAGCAAAACCTAGCGGAGGAGCCAATGACAAGTTGTAAAATTGTCATAGCAATAGAAGCTTCCAAGCTTTGGGAGTGAGATCACACTATCTCCGGAGACACTTTTTCTATTTTCAACAAATCCTAGCTTTCTGGCAATACTAAAATAACAAGTGACCATGAACCAAAGCCCCTCATCCTGGAGGGGGCATTAGATGATCTGTATGGCCATGGATTTTAGCATTCTCAGCAGCAATCCATCATCCATCCAAAGTCATATATACAGAATAGAGTCCATTCAGGTTTCAAAGGCACAAGTCAGAAAGTGAGATCGATGCAATAATTTCTAAATGCCCACAATGTGCTACTACCCTATCTGGCTGCCATATTTCTCTGAATGAATGCCTTTTTCTTAGAGGAGGAATTGTTTATAATCATTTAACACAGGATGAAAAGACTCAAAGCTAGATTGCCTATAGACCCAGTATTAGTGAAAAGTGAGCCTATCTGAGGAGTGCTGTGAAAAACAACTGTAAAGGAAAATTCTCTATAGCCATTGTGCTTGGCAGAAGGCTAGCCTGAAGTCAGTATTCACATGGATTTCTCAGATATGGCAAATAATTTGTATAGATGGCCCAGCACTTGGAGAAAAAATGGAGAATGCCAAGAAGGGTTGGAGGAATTGTATGAGTAATTCAGAATAGATCCATACCTGAACATAAATGGATGCTTAAAGGAGGAGGTAGCAATTGTAGCAGGAATGAGGGTCATGCATGGGTTCAGCAGCCTAAATTTCCTCCACTGAAGCCACTTGGAACACCACCATGACAGTAATCATGGTATTGTGATATAAATGGAAGACAGTGATCTTCCATTTTCAAACTACCATGTCAGACAGCTACTCGGTAATAAGAAGACAACTTTGATCCTTTTCTGGTGGTGAGAAGACAGCATTTATTTTCTCTGAGGTAACCAAGCATGGATTTGCATTTTCTTTTTGTGTCTAATATGCCTAGACAAGCACTTCTATCTATAGGCTTACTGAATACTTTATTCACTGCTATGAAATGCTGTGCAGCATTGCTTCTAACCAAGGAATTTATTTTCAAGTGCAGAAAAGTTCCTATAGAATAAAATCAGAAGAAATGCACATACATACATCAATAAATGTATTATGCTTTATTATTCACAGATGGTAAACCTTAAGGATCAGTTTACTGAGCACTCCACCCTGATACCAGCTGAGGGCTAACTACCTTCTGAGGTCTGTGTGCTAGTAGCAGGATGTAACATATTAGCTGGACTAGAAATCAACATTCATTTTATCTCCCTTGTTCGGTAAGTCCCAGCTAGCCATCTGAGGTCTCTCATAAGTCTAAAGCAGGCTTACTAAGCAGAAAATGCTGTCATTGTATTATCTGGAATGATCGATTCTGACTGTCAGGTGAAAACAGAGTTGCATGGTAAGGACTGAAATGTGGGTATATTGCTGGCTCTGTGCTCTACTACTCCCTGAGGTAAAAGCTATTGAGAAACTCCTACAATCTCACCCATTTGGATTTTCAGGAGCTCAAGTTCCTCATAATTTTGTGAAATGATGAATTCTGGTATGCATTGAGAATGAGAAAAACCTGGCACCAGTGACAGACACAGAGGAAAGTCAAAGGCCCTGGTACTGACTGTGGAAGTGAGATCTGTAATGCCCACTCATAAGGAGTTGTGATCCACCTTTGGTGGCAATTACCAACATACTAACACATCTGTTTTCTTCCTCACCATTAGACATACAGTGTTTGATGATAGTTAAATTTACCACTAGTCCAAGTGATACAGAAAAGTAAAAACTGGTTCATAAATAAGTTATGATAACTTGGGTTTGCCTTCATGTTGGAAAGGGGATAAGAGGGTTAATAACTGCACACATTTCACCTGTGTAAATAATTTATCCAAGGCACATTTGAACATGTATGTTCAGGAAGAAGGATGTGTGTGAGAGGTAGCAAAGTAGTAGAAAGATGACAGTCATAATGTTAGTCAGCCTCAACCTCTCCTTTTAGCTACCTACTTCACTGGTATATAACATACAAGCATAGGACTGAGTTAGGTAGAGAATATTTATTTTGTTTTTGGTATTGCTGGGTTTGTGGTACATATAGAGCATCCAGTGAGAGATGGTAAATTCAAAGTTGTATCCATGTGTCTGAAACTGAGAGGCTGAGGTTGGTGATAAAGACTAGAAATCCTCAGTGTGTAAATACTTCTACTTAAATTGATGAAATTGGCAAAAGACTGAGTAAAATGAAAAGCAGAACAGGATGTGACTGGAAAACTAAACTGTAGAGGATTGCAAGAAATAAAGCTGTCCATATGATGTAGGGGCATTAATTAAAAATGATGTCACAGAAAAAATAAATGATGTCATAGAAACAAGGAGAAAACTGTCTCAAGAAAGGAAGAGTGGAAATGCTGTCAGACCACCCTGTAGGGAGAACTATAAAAAGGTCACTGGTGAACTGGCAGGAGGAGTAGCAGTAGGATGGAAGGAGTGAGGCAACTGGCATAGGAAGTGAGAAAAGAAAACAAAGTATACATTTTCAATAAGTTAAGGGAATGAAACAGGAGAATGGCATCAGAAGCTGAAGGATAAAAGGAAGACATATTGAAGGTCATGATATGATCCAGTTTCTGCTAGACTTGCAGAATTCTTATTGCCGTAAAACAAATACCCTTGCTCCCAAATTGCTTGTAAAGTTGTGTTTATTTTTCAGATCTAGTCAACAAGAGAACAAAATTTCTCATAATGAGGACCCATTGTTTTGAGCAAGATACAAACATTTAGTTATTCTCACTCTTTAAATGATTATTTTTGTTCACTTGTAAAATAAATACCAGGCCTGTTAAAACTGGGAAGGTGATGTCAGCATTAACTGTACATGAAGGTCGTCGTTGGTTGGCATATGTCTAAACAAGAGCAGGTAGTGATGTGTCTGTATTGGTAAGGGATTGTACTGCCATCAGGACAGTCAAGAACAATGTCTCGGAGTTCATAGTTTTCTTCTCGGCAGCAAAGGCATGAATGTTCCAAGAGCAAGATATCGTAATTGTACCTAAAAGGAAAATAGGGTAATAAACATTTTTAGAATTTAAAAAAGAAATTGACATCAGTGCTCAAATTGTAATTGTCTAAGTGACTTAGCAAGCCTTCTAACCAATGTATTCTCTTCCTAGACCTTGCATTCCCCCGTCACTGTAAAGTTCTGATGTTGCTCAGTGATATTTGGTATGTAAGACCAAGAGAAATAAGAAATCTGAAAGGAAATTATGATCTCATAATTGGAACATTATGGTGAAAAAGAAAAGTAAGTAAAATTTTAAATATATAACATAATATGAAATTATCTCTAAATTAATCTATACAAAAAACTGTAAAGAAAAGCATACTATCTAAATTTCAAGTTTAATTCAAGAAATTCACTTCCTTGCTTAAATAGTTTTGTAGTCACTGTATGAAGTTGAGTACATTTGCTACAAATGTATCATGGTTGGCATATTTAGCAGACTACTTCAGAATGGCTTATCACTATTTTAAGTGAATATTTTAATTCTCAGATCTTAATATCTTATATTCTTCTTTCATTAGGTACTGATAACAAAATAGTATTGCTCTCACATAAAAGGTTTTCTGTATAATGTTTTAAAAGATTCCTTTCTTCCACAAGGTTACAAAGTTGACACATGATACGCATTCCAAGAACTCACTTGACAGTCTTTTCACATTCCCCTGTGCATTTTGCCATCTGAACTCTTTTCTTGCAACCACTATAGATAACAGTCACATTTACAGGGGAAGATCTGCAATTATTCTTACCTAAAACCAAATGGGAAAGAGAGTCAGAAATGAGGTTTAACAATAGCTACCCCTCCATTTTCTTAACCTATGAATAACAGCAACTACTTCACAACATTACTGAGGAGATGAACCACCTCAGCACCCACTTACAAGGTAGCTGGTTAATACTCAGATTCCTGGTGTCTTGTTGTTCCTGTTATCACTAACTCACTATCACACGTGAAGGGGTTGAGGGGAAAAGAGGAAGGGAGAGAGGGCAAGAAAGGGGTGGGTGGATTATTTTTGGCTTCCATCAAAAACAGGGGTGGATGCATTATTTTTGACATCCATTTTCTCATCACTGATTATCCTTATGATCACTAGTTTACAATACAAGTTGCTGATGTCAAAAGAATAAGCTAATTTTTCCATGAAAATTTATTCCCTTGTAAACATCACTGGTTTTTACTGAGAAGGTTGTAATCAACATGAATCCATAATCATAACACATTATGTACACATATCAAATGGAAGTTTATACATATAGGCTAGATTACCCGTTGTGTTAAAAATACAAGATATTTTCTCTTAATGATCTGCCATTTTGTTTTAAAGAAACTAAACTTTTGTCAACAGCTTACATTTCCTCTCTGTGCAGAACTTAACTTTACTCACATGTATAGCAACATTTTTCTGAATCATAGATTCTGTCTTCCTGTAGGGGGTAAGAAAAAAGAAGAAATGACTGGAAAACTTGTTCCAAATTTCTCTGCAAATGATATAACATTTCTTAATTTGTTAAAATGCATCACAAAGAGAAAATGGAACAGATGGACAATCTTATCCCAGATCTAGTAAGCAAGGGTAGGAAAGGAGAGAGATCAGCTAAGTAATAAAAATGAGACTACCATTTTTCAACAAGGGGGAAAGGAAAAATAAGCTTTAAACTAAATCCCTGTTAAAAATGACATTCAGTAATATTAAATTATTTCTCATTTACTGAAAACTACTTTAACAACAATAGTACTACAAGACAATAGAAACTCACAGTTAGGAGCTGCACCTTTGAGAAACTGATTGGTAGGTTTAAAATTAAAGCAAAGTAAAAGCATGATACATGTTGAAAATCCAGTATTAGAGCTCTAAAATAAAACTTTAAACCATATTATCAATTATATCTTCAGAAAGAAAAACAACTTAATTCTATCTTAATAACTGAAACTTATTAATATAAAACCTAGTAATATTTGGGGTGCACAGAAATGAAGAAAACTGTGACACAAAGAAAGATTTAAAGAACCCAGACATGATTATATGGAGATTGGGTATTTTTATAGACAATGATTTGGGCTATTTTTAAAAGTTAGTGGGTTTTTTAGTTTAGAAATAGCAACATGCTTTCTATAATAACTTACTCCTTCTACACTAGCACTAAATTAAGTTTTAGAAAGGCTGCAAAACATGAGAGCCTGTCTTGATATGAAAAAAATATATATATTTAAAAATGAAAGATGAACATATCTGGAATCATCTGGGCTCTGGATATAATGAATTTGTTTCCAAAAGATGAATCTGGAATCATCTGGGCTCTGGACATAATGAATTTGTTTAAAGATCTATACAGTCTACAAGATATTTATGTCTTTTAGCCAGACAGACGCTTCCAAATAAAACAGAAGTCAGGTTGGGTTTGTGTTTAATATGAGAACTGAATCTCAGTGTTCAGGAGTGAAGATGACTTACTTCTGCACACCAGGTCTGCTTTGGGCAGTCCTGGACTACTGCAGCAAAGCCAGTGTCTTTGCAGGAGTAGGAAACACAGGGGTTGCCGGGGTCATCAAATGAAGCACCAATCTGGGAGGAAAAGAGGGGGAAGAAAACAGAGTAATTATTTACCTTGATTTCTTTTTGAGGTTGGCAAGAATATTGGCTAAAAAATTCAAATTCATGTTTAGTGATTTTCCAGAGGCACTTTCAGTCATTAGGTTAGTAGTAAAGAAAAGATGGTTTGAAAGTCTTCCACTTCCATGAATAAATCAGATTTGTTCATTGAGAGCACAGAAAGTGTCAAGATTTTCAATCCTCAAATTAAGATTTACCAAAAGGTAGTCTATTTTCAAGAAAGGTTCCTTCATAGTGATCAAGCAGTTAATCCATTGTTACGCTCTAAGTTTAAGGGGAAACAAGAAATCTAAGTGGGGGAAAAAATGGCACAGAATAGGCTTATCAGGTTAAAACAAGTCTCACAAGATGTCTTATTTCTATCTTGGCCTATATTCCTATACTTTTAAAGCTCTCTGGTATTACTTTATAATTATCTTATAATTATAAATTCAATATAATTATAATTCAATATTCAAACAGCAGTTTGAGAAACTGCATTTATTTCATGGCCTCAGACAAAATGAACTTTCTAATAAATTGGAATTTTACTACTATAAATGATCAGACAAAATCTCCCCTTTGTTCCTTAAATATCATCCTATTTTGTATTTAAAAACAATCACAGGTTCAAGTCAGATCAACTCTGGAAACTAAAAATTAAGAAGTCCAGGTGGAAATTTGAGTGTGATAAATGGGTTATCAAAGTAAAACTCTCATTAGCTATTTTATCTACTTCCTAATATACCACATAAATTTCATTTCAGATTTTTTAATGTCTACTATTGCCATTTCAAGTGTGTTAATATCAATATGAAAATCATCTGATTTTTATGGCTTCCTTATACACTTTTTTCTAAAAAGTTAAATTACTGACAAAAATGTCAAATTAGTTGTCAAAATACAGCCTTGAATATATCGTGTTGCTGTAGCTGCATAATAGGGTTCTAGCCCTCTGGGTTTTCTATTTGATCTCTGACAGCTTGACCATCTGATCTTTTTGGTTATAATTACAGTTTGACTCTGTTCATTGATTTGAATGTTACAAAGTATGTCTTCTCCATCTGGCAAGGCCCATGGGAAATTCTGTTTAGAAGCTATACTGCTGAGTAGTTAATGATCAAGCACTCTGTCTTCCTCCTTTGAAGAGTCATGGTGAGTGTTGCATTTGATGTTCCTTTGAAAGTGAGTGTAGGGAAAAAAATGAATGGATTCTAATCTACTGTTATCAGGGTTAAATATATATACATATATATTTATATTTATATATTTATATTTATATATATTTATATTTATATTAAAATATATATTAAATATATACAATATAGAATATAGAATATAGAAATTATACATTATAAATTTATATATATTTAAATTTATATATATAAATTTACATATAATATAAATATTTATATATAAACATATTTATATTTATAAATATATAATACATATTTTATATGTGTATATAATATATAAATATATATAATAAGTTGAAAGTCTATTGATATAGCACAGCATTCAATTTATTCATATAATTAACAAAAATATTTTAATAAAGAAAAGCCCTTACCTCATAATCAGTATTGTTAAATAAACATGTTCTTGGTTCTGAAAAATAAAGACATTATTTTATTCTAAAATACTATAATTTCTATTTATAAAACAGAAATTGTAGATGAGATCATACACAGCAACCAACTATAATGTTTCTCTCCATAATATCATAGTCTTTCTTCAATCTACTGATTATATTCGTAAGTGTTAATTCTGGGTGTCCCCCATTCTGAAGATGATAAGTTTTAAGAATGCAAATATTATACTAATTCTGTTTTATTTATTACATCTGCCTAGCATTATCTTTGACAAAACTGGTAACTCAAAAAGTATCTCTTGAATATATGAATAGACAATGAACATATTCAATTAAAATAATGCATTGTGAATACACACCACAGTATCCGATCTCACAGCAGGTGTCATTAGATTTGAACTTCACAAGCTTCTCGCCTGTTTTGCACGTGGGTGGAGAAGGACACTCCTCAGGTTTACAGTCTATAGTCTTTGCATCAGTACAGGTACATCTGTGGCAATTAGCACTCCATGTGTCTCCAGGCTACATATACAAACCATGTTTAGACTTCTATTCAAATACAGGAATGAGAGCAAATTTGAACTAAAGTAGAGCCAAACTCTGTACTTACAGATTTCTCTTCTCCCAGTGGACCATGACAAACTGTTAACATAAATGATAAATGGTAATTAAATTTGGCAAAATATAACCATCTGTTATTTATAGATAACCACCAGGTGGCCAATACTGTAATTGGCATTAGGATCTCAGAGTCGCAGAATTACAGAGGATTATGGTGCCTTAAGGTGAATAAAACCACAACCACCTGCTTCAAGCAAAATGTTCCCAACAGGCATATCCTATGTTTACAATCCTCAGCAAAGGATAATTTTTAATTTCTCCTGGCAATGGTTAATAAATCTCATGGCTATTAATTGACTTACTAGTCTGACTTTTGAAGTCTGACTTCTGCTTTTTCAATCTTACAAATCACCATGACTTCATAATTACCAGACCCAAGGGCCCTTTCTTAGTGTAAGTTCTCTGCCATAGTTGACATTGTTAATTCTTACCTTCTTGAAAAGTGTTCTCCTTTCTTCAGATTTAATATTCTGAAAATTTTGTCTTTACTGTCAATTTTTCTTATTCCCTCCTATTTTGCCTCTAATTCTTTCCTCTATCTCCACAATGTGCACGGTAATAACAAATGAATATCTCTAAAATGTCCAGCTCCAGTCCAGACCTCTCTCACAGCTTTGGAACCAGTTTTCTCTCTAGCTATAGACAGAATCCAGGCAGACCTGTAGAAACCTGAAACTCAATGTGCACACAACAGATTGTATCTTTCCCTCAAAACTAGTTTGTCTTCTATACTGGTTTCCTTCTGCTAAGGATAGAGCTATACTTTAAATCATTCAAGCTTAAAATCTAGGAGCTATCTGATTTCTTCCTTCTATCACTGGCATCAAATCTACCGCCAAATCCTGTACCTTTACTCTCGCATTCATTTCTTTCTTTCCTTTTTCTACTTGCTACAATACCACTTTAAGATCGTATTAAATTTTCGATCTAGCATAATCTACTAGCTTTTTTAAAGGAGTTACTCTGACTCAGATCTCATTCTGATCCAATCAGGTAATATAGTTTTTATAAAGCCTAATTCTTACCTCATTATTACTTTGATAGCCCCTTAAGTTGTATAAAATAAACACTTTATTCTAGCATTCTAGCTTTCAAGATCTCTTATACCATGACTCAAATTCACGTTCTCAACTTTGTCCCACTTCTCTCATTTACATACCCGGTACTAGCCTATATAGTGTTCTCAAATTCCAATACTGTAAAGACATTTCTGGGGATACCTTAAAATATACAATATTAAGTGACATATGTTATGCACTCTCTATATAATACATAGTTCATGTTTTTATGTGGAAATTTATTTTCTGCCTGATACAAACATTTTCTATTTCTTTGAGGACCTTCTTTCTCCCACTAGGTACTAAGGTCAGAAAACTATTTTTTAGTGTTTCTTTTTTACTTACTGCAAAGCCTATCACATTGTCTTGAGAATGGTAGGGACTTAAAGTTCTCTAAAATTACGTAACTAGCTAAACTGATTTTTTTTCTACTACAGTTCATCCTTCAAGCTGGAATTACCTAGTTTTAAAAAATGCTCACTATCAAGTGACAATATTTTGGTCAAGGTATCATAATTATATGAAACCTTTAGTAGGTAAACCTTGTTTTGATCTAAATAACAAGGTATATTTGTTTGTTTGGGCTTCATTGGTTTGTGAATGAGGAAATGAACTATTACTCAGCTTTTATTTGACAAATAAAAGCTAAGTTAATCCAATACAAGTTTTCCTATAACAGTTACGTGGCTAGTGACTTTTACAAGCGTGACCTCTGAGAAACCGGATTTACAGGAGAAACCATTAATGCAGAATGATTCTGAAGTCATGGTATTCTTACCTGGAGCTGGTGGAAGTGATATTAGACATTCTGTGTAAAAACAGGAACCTTAAATTAGTGTCTGAAGTTACTGAAATAGTACTGGGCAACTATAGTTATTTAATTCATTATTCTATTGCTGAAAATAATTGTCTACATAGCCAGTCTTACAAATAGATATGTTCCCATCTATCTCCCCATCCTGCTCCACGTTGCACTTGAAATTCCACTGTACAGAGTGTTGCTTTTGGACCTCAAATTTTAATGAGAGAAAATAATCAAAAGAAGAAAACATCAAGGTAAACTCTTCAAAAATGTTTTGGAAGGCAGTTCTAATGAATGGAACAATAAACAAGGTTAAAAAAGGTAATTTTCATACAGGATAAAATGAGTGTTATTACCCAGTTTTAGTCATTTAAGAACTTTTATTCTCCTTATCTTCTTGAAATACTTCAATTTTGCTCTATCTTCTCCAACAAATGCTTTAAACTGGTAATATGTATCTTTTTTAGCCTTTACACATCACATATTTTGGTCAATCCAACAATTCACTCATAAATTTTAAGTTTTATTCCAAAATTGATATTTTATGCAACCTGGCCAGGCACAGTGGCTCATGCCTGTAATTGCAGTACTTTGAGAGGTTGAGGTGGGCAGATCATTTGAGGCCAGGAGTTCGAGATCAGCTTGGCCCACATGCTGAAACCCCATCTACACAAAAAATACAAAAATTAGGTAGGCATGGTGGTGCTTGCCTGTAGTCCCAGCTATGAGGGAGGCTGAAGCAGGAGAATCTCTGGAACCCCAGAGGTAGAGCTGACAGTGAGCTGAGATCGTGTCACTGCACACTCTGGCCTGGGCAACAGAGCAAGACTCTGCTTTTAAAAACTACCAAGAAAAAGGTTGATCTAGGAGCAACAGAATATTTGAAAAGAACTTAAAATTTCTACAAGTTTAGGTAAAGTGACAACTAATAAGCCCAAAATATAAATTACAAAATGAATTAAAATGTAGAAATTTGGGGGATCAGATGTCTCTAACTCTTTACGTTGGGAGGCTAAGCCAGCTCCTAATTATGAATGCTTTGCAAATTAACAGAAACCAGCAATAGGAGATTAAAAAGATCAATTAGGAACAAATACAGGAGAAAAATATTCCCTGACCAGTATTGTAAGAGTTCACTGAAGATATTTGTAAGAGGAATCATAAAGAACAGTCTCCTAATCAATACATTGGTATCCAAGTAATTTCTCAACTATCTAATCATGTTAGTCTCTTGATCAAATCCTTAAGGGTATCCCAAAAGGATAAAGCCTTGGTTAACTTTGGTTCTTTATGAACTTTCCTCTACTTACGTTTCCAATCTCATTTTCTCCCCAAACCTCATTCAGTCATTGCCAACATCTGGTTGATTCCTGAACTCACCCATGAGGTCTCGTATCTTTCTTTCCAAGGGCTGTTTGGCAGGAATACCCTTCCCATCCATGCCAACTTTAAACTCAATCATCTCATTTCTGATGCCTTTACTCCACACTTCCAATTAGTAAGCAGAAAGTAACACTCTACTCTCACCCCACCCCCGGGACCACATTATTTTGTGCATATTTTTGAGTATCACTAAATATATGCTGTCTGTGCCCAAAAGAATTTCTTCATCCCCCACACACAAAATAAAAAATGGCAAGTGCTGCATCTTACTGATGTTTTGCTTTTGATGTCTGCTAGAGAGTTTAGCACATATAAAGTACTAAAGAAATATTAGTTGAAATATAGTAAAGAAATTAGGGCTCTTCCTGCACTGACCTGTTTTGTTTTCAGTTTCTCGTTCTTTGGTTGTTACGACAGTGGTATCTGAGAGGAATTAAAAGGATGGCATTGTGATTTTTAAAATTAGAATAACATACACATATCAAGTCTGTGTTAATGTACATGCCCAAATAATGGCACAAATTCATATTCAAGGACAGCTTTGTGTGGAATAGATAATGTATTCCAGTTCAATTGGATCATTTCATTTTACCTGGCTGGGATACTTGTGGTCTTGTGACTCCAGCTGCAACCAAGGTGGAGCCTTGCAAAAGGAAATTTAAGACACTTTAAGACAAGCACCCTTCATAATTCCCTGCTCAGAATTTTCCATCTGCATGAAGAAGTCTTTAGGAGGGGAACCCCAGTGAAAGCCTAAACCAAAAACTCAGAGGGGATAAAAAAGGGTATCTCTAGTGGAATTTCAAAGTTGTGTTCCAAGAGGAAGTTGAATGCTATCATCCTGGCCTCTTTCTGTCACTTCTCTCCTACCCTTCTCCTCCTAACTCCACTTATTAATCAAAGCCACACCGATCACTCACCTGTTTGCACTCCAGTTCTAGAGGTTTCTTTTACTCCTGTGGAAGCTGTGACTGCTTAAAAAGGAACAAAAGTGGTGACTACAGGGGACTGGAGAAGCTAGAGCTTAACTTCATTTAAAAACAATTTTTTATTCTGCATGTTTTAGATGGACAGATGAAACTATGTATTTTGTACATGATGTTCTGAAGAATTACGTTATGCCATCCTCAGCATTTTTCAAGAATATATTAACTGTAGTCATGATGTTGTACAGTAGATCTCTTGAACTTACTCCTCCTGTCTAACTGAAATTTTGTAACCTTTCACCAACATCTCCCCACCATACTCAGCCCCACACATACAAGGACCCCAACCCCAGTAACCACCATTCTACTCTATTCCTGTGAGAACTGCAGATAAACTATCCTGTCTTCTGAGGTGCCACCAAGAAAAATTCATTTATTACTATTGCACTTACCTGTGGTAGGAGGTCCAGGAGCAGTGGTTGTGTCAGATGCTCCCTTGGAAGAAACTAAAATGAACAAGGGAAGAAGAATAAACACTTTCTGGTCTCAGAGGAGCATTTACTTAAGACACCTGCACATGGAACAAGAGTCTCAAAGCACTTGGAATATACTAACACATCTACTAATGCTAGCTCATGCCCCTCGCCATGGAAACACTAAGAACATCCTATGGTAGCAATCCTTTGTTCACAGAAGATTCTCCTATGGCCTTGATATATTTTTCACTTCTGGGTGCCCTTTCTCTAAGTGATGAGAGCTTTTCTCACACTTAATTCTATACATTTTTCACTTCTGGCACCCCTTCTCTAAATGACTAAGGCAACAAAAACAAGCAATGAGGAAATGACTCCCTATTCAATAATTAATGCTGGCATAACTGGCTAGCCATATGCAGGAGATCGAAGCTGGATCCTTTCCTTATACCATATACAAAAATCAACTCAAGATAGATTAAAGGCTTTAATTTTAAACCTAAAACTATGAAAACCCTGGAATATAATGTAGGAAATACCATTTTGGATACAGGCTCTGGCAAAAATTTTATAACAAAGATGCCAAATTGCAACAAAACAAAATTGACAAATGGGACCTAATGCAACTAAAGAGCTTCTGCACAGCAAAAGAAACTATCAACAGAGTAAACAGACAACCTACAGAATGGATGAAAATACTTGCAAACTGTGCATCTGGCAAAGGTGTAATACCCAGAATCTATAAGGAATACAAACAAATTATCTGGCAAAAAAGAAAAAAAAAAGCCCTTTAAAAATGTGGGCAAAGGACACAAACAGACATTTTCATAAGAGTATACACATCACCAACAAGCATATGAAAAAATGCTTAACATTACTAATCATTAAAGAAGTGCAAATGGAAACCAAAATGAAATACCACATCACACCAGTCGGACTGGCTATTGTGAAAAAATAAAAAAACAACAGGTGCTGGTAAGGCTGTAGAGAAAAGGGAATGCTTATTCATTGTTGATGTGAATGTAAATTAATCCAGCCACCATGGAAAGCAGTCTAGAGGTTTCTCAAAGAACTTGAAACAGAACTACCAGTTGACCCAGCAATCGCTTTAGTAGGTATCTATCCAAAAGAAAACAAATTGTTCTACCGAAAAGACACATGCACTTGAATTTTCATCACAGAATTATTCAGAGCAGCAAAGACATGGAATCGACCAAGGAGCCCATCAATGATGAACTGGATTTTTAAAATGTAGTATATACACACCATGGAATATTATGCCATAAGAGAGAACCATAAGAGAGAACAAAATTGTGTTATTTGCAGCAACACAGATGTGGCTGGAGGCCATTATCCTCAGTGAATTAATGCAGGAACAGAAAAACAAATACTGCATGTTCTTACTTATAAGTAGGAGTTAAACATCAGACTCATGGACATAAGGATGGCAACAACAGACACTGGGGACTACTAAAAAGGAGAAGAAGGAGAGGGGAGGGGTTGCAAAATTGACTACTGGGTACTCTGCTCAGTCCCTGGGTGACAGGATCATTCATACTCCAAACCTAAGCATCATGCAATATACTCAGGACATGTAACAAACCTACACATGTACTCCCCAAATCTAAAATAAAAGTTGGAACAATTGAAAAAATAACAGTCTGAAAAGCAAGGGCCCAAGCTTGATTTACCTGACATAGCATGTGTTCAAATGAAATAGAAAATCCTATTTCAGCCCATCTTCCCATTCGCTCATCACTACCACAAACTCAAGTAAAGAATTGTTGAGAACCCAAAGCAAACCACTCACCAGTTGCTATTCCAACTCCAATGGTAGCTCCAACATCTGTAGAAGCCGTAGCATCTGAGAAGAAATAGGAGAAAGTGGTATAGAATGCAGACATTTGGAAAAAAATGTGTAACAGTATTACTTTATATAATATCTCTGTGGGAGCCATCAGGTCCCCAGAAGTTCACGTAGGCAGGTTTCTCCAACTCTTTTATGACTTACTTGTGTTGGAACTCCCAGGTACAATGGTTGTGCCAGTAGTTATCCCAGTGGTAACTGAAATCACGAGAGGAGAGAATCCATTTGTGAATTTCCTTTTATCTAAAATTAGGATTTGGTTTAAAACAATTGGTTTCTCAAGTGAACTAAAAGGCTTATATCAGGAACGTTTTTGCTTTAAGCGATACATCATGCATGGTCTCATTATGTCATTAATTTGTAAGTTTTAAGTAAAGGAAAATTCACAGGGAGTAAACTGTTAATTTCCTGGTAATTTGTACTTAGTGACTGAATAAAATGCCCACTAAGTTCATTATAGCCAATTTGATTTAATTTAAGATGAAAAGAAAAAACAATTATTTGATTGCTAGTGCCCACCTATTTTACTTCCAGCCTCAGTGGTTCCACCATTGCCCAAAGAAGTTGTGGCCTCTAAGTAAAAGAAGAAAAAAATTAAATTCAGAAGAATCCTGTAACTGAGAAAATCTGGTGGTATTCCCACAGCATGGTAGGGAGTGTATATGTTTGGAGGGAGGGCTCAAGCCCCTTATATTCCTATTAGGTTACCTGTATTGGAACTTCCAGATGCAACTGTTGTGCCAGAGACTATACCAGTGGTGCCTAAAGCAGGGAGAGAGAAAGAGAACCCAAATGGTGATGCATTTACCATCCCAAGAAGAGCATGGCCAACAATAACTATCTAAGACTTGAAAGCAGCAGAAGACCTTTTTTGTGCTATCCGGTCATGATGAAGTGTCCATTTTAATGACTCTCTATTTTAAAATTCAGAGTCATAGTAAACACATTAGCTCATAGTCCAGTCTTGATTATTTGCCTCCTTAGAGTTAAATGTCAGAGGTGTCTGGGTCTTTTTCATGCTTACCTATTTCACTTCCAGGGTTTTGTCTCTCAGATGTGCCACTGGTAGCTTCTAACAACAAGAAATGAAAACAATATTTGTGTAAAGGAATTCAACTGGATTCAATAAACTTGTAACATCTGAATTCCAAAATATGATAGATTTAAACCTCCAGAGTAACTTCTATGTGCTGCCTTAAATGGGGCTATATGGATTTATGCTGCCTTTGTAGGTACCAGAGTGCAGCTTGAATGTTAAAAGGGGAATCTTTCTGGACTCTGAGCCTCTTTTTCTATAATTAAAGTATAAAGTTTGGACCCAGGAGGAATCATGTGATTTTATAAATATAAGCTTTGTTTAACAAATGTCTCTGAAAAGACAAAAACCCAATGTAGATTTGTAGAAACTCAAGAGTTGCCAATGCTTTGGCCAGGTGTAGTGGCTCACACCTGTTATCCCAGCACTTTGGGAGGCGAAGGCAGGCAGATCACTTGAGGCCAGGAGTTCAAGACCAGCCTGGCCAACATGGTGAAAACCCATCTCTACTAAAAATTCAAAAAAAGAAAAAAATAGCTGGGTGCTGTCGTGGATACCTATAATCCCAGCTACTTGGGCTGAGGTAGAATTGCTTAAACCCTAGAGGTGGAATTTGCTGTAGGTCAAGATCACACCACTATACTCTAGCCTGGGCAACAGAGTGAGACTGGCACAAGAAAATACATATTTCTCATTTCTCATTATTTCACTTTCATATTCATATATATATATATATACATATATGTGTGTGTGTGTGTGTGTGTGTGTGTATATATATATATATATATATATATATATATATATATATCATTGCCAATTCCACTTTCATTGGTTATGCTTCCTTCCATGGAAGTTAAAAAGAATAGAAAGAAATAAATACGAAGAATAAAAAGAAATTGGTGAGGGCTAACAGAAAATCATCAAAAGATATAATATGTCATTGCTGCCGAGTTAGCTCCCCAATGAGAAAAAAAAAAATAGCATCTCATTGACTCCCCTGTGTTGGAACTGCTAGGTGACATGTTGTTGCCAGAGACCATTCCAGTAGTACCTAAAACAAAATGGAAGTAGTACCTAAAACAAAACTTGATACCACTATATCAAGTTTACTCTTATAATAAAGGTGCATTCTATAATAGAATGAGGCAACTACAGAATCCTTCATTATGAAAAAAAGCCATTTTCAGGGATGGCCTGTTCCAAAGTTGTTTTGTGTGTTTGCAAATGTAATGCTCCATTCTCACTATAAATTTCATGGGGGAAATCTATAGTGAGGTGCAATGTGAGGTGGTGGTGGAGTCTCAATGAGAACATCTCTTTTTCTAGGCTGTCAGGAAAACAAAGGTACTTTACTTACCTAGTTGAGTGCTAGTGACTTGACCACCTGATATCTCTAGAAGAAGGAACAAAGCAGGATTGAATTGAATTTTCATTTGGGTAAAATGAAACTGTAGTGTTCTAGAAGAGTAGAGAGACATGACAAACGAGTGAGTGGTGATTTAGCATCATGGTTAAGAGGATGGATTTTGAAGCCAGAGTGCCTGAGTTGAAATCTGTTGTTTACTTGCAGTGTGATCTTCATTAAGTTACTTAATATCTTTGAGCCATAGTCTGTGGAAAGTTCTCACAGATTTTCCAGATGAGAAAACAATCTATGTTCCTCATCTGGAAAGTCTGTGAGAACATCACTGCTTGTCTCACAATTTGGGATGAGACATCAAAGAAATGACAAAAATGCAGACTAGTGCCTGGAACATAGTTCATGCTAGAAACTGTTAGCTACTATTGCCATTATTTTAAGTGAAAAGTGCACAGGTTAAGAAGCTTGTGTGCTCAGCTGTATTCATTCCATGTTCTGTGGTCCCAGTGCCTCTAAAGGATGTAGCTTCTAAGAGAGAAAAGGTAGGAAAATATGAGGTGAGAGGAATTAGAATTGTGAGTAAACTAAAGGATGCACTCTTCATAATAACAGTGCCAGGGGAGGCACTTTACCACTAGATCATTCTGTGGAGGACTCTACCAGATGGCAGGTTTAGGTGTGATGCCAGAAGCTACCCTAGTCTTGCTCTGTCACCCAGACTGTAGTGCAATGGCACCATATCTCACTGCAACCTCCGCCTCCCTGGTCTAAGTGATCCTTTTGCTTCAGCCTCCTGAGTAGCTGGGATTACAGGCTCCTGCCACCACACTCAGCTAATTTTTTGTGTTTTTAGTAGAGAAGAGATTTCACCATGTTGGCCAGGCTGGTCTCGAATTCCTGACCTCAGGTAATCCACCCACCTCGACCTCCCAAAGTGCTAGGATTACAAGATTGAGCCACCGTGCTTGGCCTGTATTTTCTCATGCATAGTTTTATTCCCAAACCAAATAAAGATGCAAATTCTTCAACAGAGGACTCCATTTTTCTGTAATTCAATGGCAGTAAGATAAGTGGTCCACTTAGCTGCCATATTTACCTATTGTGCTTCCAGTTCCTTGGTTTGCTGATCCTCCAGCAGTAGCTCCTAAAAGGATAAACATAGAAAAACTTTTGAATATAAAGGTAGACTAGAGTTCTAGGAACAACGACTATACATTTCAGTCATTATTGTATTCAAGGAAAAACAGATCGTTTGAGGCAAATATTCTGTGTACATTTTGGCCTTCAGTTGAATCGAAATAGAACTCTATGAGCCAGTAATCCCTTCTTCTGATATACCTAAAATTGAGATATCTAAAATGGAAAAAGAAACTTTTCATACAATTATCACTTTCACTCTCATTTGCAGAGACTCTTATATGTGAGGCTTGGCCCTGGAAATGGAAGGATATCTGCCCGAGTTCATTCAAAATAAAATAGAAAAACACTGATCCTGGATGAGAGTTCCTTGAAAGCTTCTCCTTGTAAAACTATCCTTTAAGAAGCGAAGTATAATTGTAATTTATTATCACTTAAAAGTCATGCATGCGTGCGCGCGCGCACACACACACACACACACACACCCCGTACACACCATTAATTCTCACCTGTTCTCCATCCCACTACAGTGGTTCTACCGAATCCCGTGGAAGTTGAGGCTTCTGGAAGAAAAAGAGAAGCAACGAGTAAAGAATGAGGATTCAGAAGGACGGGGAAATATACTGTGATGCTCTTACACAAGAAGAGCAATGTGAAGGACGTTTTTGCCATCTTATTTCTAGACAGGGAGGTTTCTTCTCAGCTTGTTAGCCTACCTGTACTGAAACTTCCAGGTGCAACAGTTGTGCTCAAGGCCACACCAGTAGTGCCTGAAACGAGAAGGCCATGGTGTCATCATGAAGAATCTTTTGCATGGAGACAATCTAGGTATAAAACAAATCTGTATTTCCAGGGCCATATCACTCATACTGTGCACTGGCCAGCTCTGGGAGGCACCCTTCACATAGACTGCTTTGTCTACGTGGCTGTCCTATGAGCATGTTCTTCCATTGGCCCTTTTGCTCCTGGATTGAATTGTGCATCTTTCCTATATTTTAATTATTGCATTCATTCAATAAATATTTATTGAGCCCTGTTTAGGACTAGGGATCAGCTGACGTGCTTAGTACTGGGCATCAGCTTCTTTTTTCTCATGAAGCCTATCTTCTAGTAGGCTTACTTAATACGTATAATGTAAAACCCTCAAATGGGAGACAAAAGAATTTCTTTAACATATTTGCCTGTTTTACTTCCAGTGACTTGATTGTCTGATGCATCAGAGATGGTTCCTGATGATTGAAAGTAGGAAAAAAGATTCTAAGTAGGTTTTGACCTGTAATCAATCACTGAAGCAACCATTCAGCAACTTAATATTTAAAGATCAAAATGGAAAGCAAACAATTTCTGAGTTCATTTTAGTCATCTGTTCACCTGAGTCAGAACCTTCTGGGCCAATCTGGACTCCTGCTGATTTTGTAGTAATACCTATAATATCCACTAGGTTAACTGTCCAGGGAATTACTGCTCCCACTTCCCTCTCCAGAAATTTATGTCCTAAGGCAAGGCACTGGAAAAGGCTGGTTCAGAAGTCAGCTCAGGGGTATGGATGGAAGGACCAGTGCCCCCACTATACGATAATCTTTCAGACCCCAAGGCAAACTCATGACATTACTCAATGGCTGTGCTAACCAATGACACCCCTAGTTCTCACTGATTTCACAACAGTGACCCTGATGGCTTCTAAGGAAGCTTTGGCCTTTGTAAGAGGAAATGAAGCAGAAAGTATGTTTAGGGTTACATATTTCTCCTTGAAGTTAAACAAGAGATGACCACCATTGAAAATATGCACTTACTTATAACAGAACTTCCAGGTTCAACAGTTGTGTGAGAGATGACACTGCTAGCACCTGGAATCACTAAGAGGAAGAAACGTATGTCATTTTCTTTACATTAACAGAAGGGCTAAGAAGAAAATTATTGTATGTTTTTTGTTAACTCAGATGGCCTATTCCAGAATTCCTCATATACCTTTCAACAAGGATACTTCATTTCAAAAAAGAAGAAAAAAAAAAAAAAAGCAAAGCCTAAGCTCTCACATTGGACATCTCCTTATTCTTGAATACTGGTAAATATCAGGAAGATATTCATACTTTCCCATGCTCACCTGTTTGACTGCTGGACAGCTGGCTTCCCAGGGCAGTGGTCATGGATCCTATAGAAGAGAAAAGAGAGCATATTCTGCTGTCTATAAATGTGAAAAATTGGGTAAAACACTATTATTCTGAAATTTAGGGGCTTGGACAAAGATTTCCATTGGAAATTACTTTGTATTTATTTCAATCAATTTGAATTGTTAGAAATATTTCACAAACTTCTCATATTTACCTGGGACTGTTACTGCTTCACTGATTCCAGAGAAAGTTGTAGCCTCTGAGAAAAAGGGGGAAAAGAATAGCAGTGAGGGCAAAGATTTGAAGAATCTGAGAAAAGCATGGTAGGCTCACCCAGGCAGACACTCCATTGAGGAGCCCTTTCCAAACAGTCGTTCCTCCCAGCCTGGTGCTTTACCTGAATTAGAGCTCCCAGGGGCAACTGTTGTAGCTGAGGGCACTCCAGCTGTGCCTAGGCAGGAAAGAAAAGAAAAAGATAAACAGAGCGACACATTTGTAACCTTTAGAAGAATGTGGCCAGCATCATGTCTACCTGGGACCTTGGAGCAGCAAAAGATACTTTCTGGATCTGTAACTGACAGGAGGTGGCATTTTCTCTGTTTACCATGTGCCTCTGTAAGGCCAAGGTTAATGTAGTGGCTAATGTGTCTGCTCTGATTGTTTTTGCCAAGATTGAAGGTCTTATCAAAGGCTTTCTCCAAGTTTACCTGTCTTACTTCCTGGTGCTCCAGTGGTGGCTCCTAATGAAAAGGAAAAGAGAAAGGAAGATGGAGGAGGAGGTGGAAGAGGAAAAAAAAGAAAAAGAAGAAAGGAAATTTTGAATTTTTACCCCTCAACTAAAATGTAACATCGTAATGATTTCTATGCTGAATACAAGTCAGTACTGTCATGTTATACATACTGAGTTATTTTCAAACTAGAAAGCCTTTCAGAGCCAGAGCTACTGTAACTCTTCTCTCTAGAGGCCTCAGACCCTGAGGCTAATCCTAGAGAAGAAAAAGCCTTTTAGAAATTTGGGCTCAAGATGTTCCAAATCTGAAAGGAAATCCTGGTTCCTTTGAAATAGCTTCAAAGGGAAATGAAAAACTCTACTCCACATTAAAGAGATTCTTTACATAATCTATGCAAACTTTCTATATTTCAAAACTATTCCAAAATAAAAATATCATCAAAAAAAGGTATCTTCTAACAAATCTATCAAAATACAGCAGTAAATAATGAAACCCCCATAATCTTCATCTAATTTTATTTCTGCTCTGGTGGTGCTACTTCCTCCTAGGAAAGCTGTGGTCTCTTAAAGATGGAAAGAAAACCAAAATTAATTGAGTGTTACAAGAAAGGGATGAGCTAAGCTGATGTCATTACAAGAGAGAAACCCAATTCAAACTGTCTTGCCACCCCCTAAGTTAGAAAAGAAACTTTTCGGACTGTAAAAGTGATATATGTAAGTTTTTTGTGTTTTTTTTTTTTTAATGGGGAATAAAAGGATTTTTACCCATACAGTTCTTAATTAGACTTTAGGTAGTTCTTAACTAGAATAAGACATATAAACTTCTTAATAAAAATGTTTATAGTAAGGAGCTTATCAGTGATAGATATGCTCACTACTATTATCATCATTTTCATTGATTTAAGTATCAGAATTTTCATGTGCAAGAATTTTGCCAGAGGGAGTTGGGGAAGTTTCAGGGCTGGCCACAGATTGCCTTTGCTTGGATGTCCCCTGTTCAAAAAAAAAAAAAAAAAAATTGCCAGCAGCTACCACAGTGAAACTTGGAATTAGAGAGTGACAGGAATCAGTATCTTTATTCTTTACCCAAAATAAGAAATAAAATGGCTGAGAATGAAGGTGAGGAAACTGTGTTTTCTCAATGTGCCAACAAACTTGTTTTTAGATGTTTCTAGAACCAGGAGTTGAATCTATATATGTTTTCCATGTACCATTTCTATCTCAGAAAATTAAATGACAAAAATTTTACTATCTTTATTTCTTCCTTTATATATAAATGAAAGAAAGAAAGACATTTCTCTCCAATCACCCAACTGATTATCTGTGACTTAGCTCCATGGTGAAGTATCCCTGAAGCAGAGGAAAGGAAGATAAAGTTATCTGAGTGTCACGTGTGGTTATTAGTAAAATCCCACCAATCTGATAATGCTTGTTCTGAAGACACTCTTCACAGGAAGTACAAACATTAGATGTGATTCAGGAGATGTTGTCTACTAGGAAGCAGGAAGTGCCTCATCAGGGCTTACCTGCAGTGGGTCCAGTGCCAGTCACTCCACTTGCTCCAGGAGAAGTTGTAGCTGCTGAGAGAGCAGAAAAAAAAAAATGGAAAAAATTCTGGGATTTAGAAAGGAAATAGTGCTGCTTTTGCATAGAAGCAGCAAAAGGGAAGACTTATTATTGTAGAAAGCAGCCAAGAAATGGCTCTGTAGCAAATTATGGACTCACCTGTGCTGAAACTTCCAGGGGCAACTATTGTGTCAGGTGCCATCTCAGAGGTGCCTGAAACACAAAGGGATTGGGGTGACCATGCTGAGTAAGTCAAAGGAAGACCTGAATCTAAAAGGAATATACTATATTTATTTTCCATAAAAGAAGTCATTTTCCCTGAGGATATGGCAGATGGTGAACTAGATGCATCTGCCTGGTTTCAATGCTTCACAGCTAGAGCAGATAGAGACAGCATCCTCAGCTTCAGGCACTTCTGGAGTTTGGTAAAAGGGAAACTAGATGGATTCCCCCAGTGCTCACCTGCTTGCTTTCCTGGAGCTGTAGTGATGCCTGCTGTGAGATAGAAAGGAGGGGGGAAATGTTTTAAATGTGCTGAAACCATCAGGTGTAGGAGAAGATAAAGAGCAAGAAAATACATAAGCACGCACACATATATAAATGCATGCATCCTGAGTCCAAGGGGCTCTTTTGTATTTCACACACTCTCATGGAAAACTTTCTGAATTCACCTCAAATGCTAGTGACAGTTGTAATATAAGTGCAGAAATTCCATTCCATCCTCAGACATAAAGCTGTAAGTCTCCATTCTAGAATTATTAGATTTCAAAAAAAAAATGTATCTCCACCAGCAAAACTATTTTGAATCTCTTGCAGCATCCCTAAATAAAACACAAACTGTCTCAAGGAAAGCTTAAGAGACCTAATACTTAGGGGTTGTTTCTTCTCACCAGTTTTGAATCCAGTTCCAGAAGTACCAGTCTCTTCAATGGAAGTTGCAGCCTCTGAGGGAAGAAACAGAGTGGTGAAGTCTGTGAATTTGGAATACTGGGAGAGGATACTGGGTTGGTATTTTATCATAGCAGCTCTAAAAGACATAGCATGATACAGGTATTGATCGACTTACGACCTATGCGACTTACGACCTATGCAGCTTACGACCATTCTACTTTACGACCACGATCGCTAGCCACCACTGCTCCGCGTCTGGCAGCACAAACGTTGCCCAGCTGGGTATACGACAGTGCGGACCACCTTCTGGCAGCACTACCATCTCCACGTGCACCATTTCAACTGTACATATAGCCTATTCGACTTATGACCAAATCGTGTTACGACCATTTCGTGGTCCCGACCGTGGTCGTAAGTCAAGCACTGCCTGTATTTGACATTAAGTAAGACACACTTCCTTCTTGTTAGGCTACCTGTGTTAGAACTTCCAGATATAATGGTCATTCGAGAAGACTCTCCAGTGATACCTGAAATTGAAAAAACGGGAAATGGAGTAATAGAGCATTGTCTCCCCAATTAAGCTCGGAAGCATCAACATGTCAGCCCTAAAGACTGGAAGCCCTTTCCTGGAAGGGAAGTGGGGGCAATCTCAGGGCTGGCCACAAATTGCCTTTGCTTGGATGTTACCTCTTCAAAAAAAAAAAAAATAGCCAGCAGCTACCACATTGGAACTTGGAATTAGAGAGCAACAAGAATCAATATATTTATTCTTTATCCAAAATACATATATATGAACAACTTCCTGGCACTTCGTTTTCCAGGCCAACCAGAGATGCATGTGTTGCTACTGGGTTTCTCTTTCACTATGACACAAGGGTAGAGTAGAGTTTAAATCACCCTAACCTGTTTCCCTTCTAGGAGCCTATCCCTGTGGTGGGACAGAGGTGACTACAGAGGAAACAAAGCATACTTTTATCTTTATAAGTCGAATTCTTTGATACAACTTGGGGCATTTAATAATCAGTTGTCTTCACGGTAAGGAGAGGGGGAAACAAACATCTTGTAAAAGTAAATAAGAAACATAACAGAAATTGTCAAGCTGCGGGTGGAAAAGTAAACTGGGAAAATGAGGACAGGAAGTTCTGGAAGGTTGGGATACATGCAATAGACTCTTAAGCTTCCTATCAGAAAAAAATGTCTCCATAAGCCAGGATACTGTAGACAATCTGGCTGAGCCATCTGAGGTCATGGAATCTTAAGCAGAATCACTGGTCAGGTAGATATGACATAATACGGCCCCAGAGAAAATCCCTCTCCCTCCAAACCCATCATAGGCTGCAACAACCCAACTAGACAGATGAGAGACTCAGGCCTCAGCCTAACAAGCTTACCTCCTGGTGGGCCTGCTCGAGTGGTCCCGCTGCCTCCTGAGAAAGTCGTGGCTTCTGAGAGAGAAAGGAATTGGAGGTATAATGATGACTACACATGACATTCTGTGGCCCTCAGAGAACAGACTGCTCAACGGGTCATGATTAGAATTCCTGACCTGTGTGGGCACCTCCAGCTTCCAGAGTTTTTCCAGAGATGCCCTCAGTAATACCTGAAATAAGAAAAGTTTGTGTGGTCGGTTGGTCAATTTGTGGTCCTTAATGATATGAGAATAAGCTCTTAAAGGATAAAGAAAGAAAAAAGTATTTGCTTCCATATACTAAAAATTTATTTTTCTGGGTTTTGTATTTTAAGGAGTTAATCCATATATTGTCCATGGAACATACAGTTTCCTTGGCAAGTTTACAAAAATCACAACTGAGGCCCCTTTTTAATGTTTAGATACAGGGAGATAGATTTAGGCTCAAGTCACCTCTATAACTATCAGGGAATGGGTCGCGTGATGACCTGATGAAGTGTCTTTAGGCCCAAGGCACAGATATAAGGAGGAAAAGTTGAAGTTTATGAACTGTACTTAATGATGTTAAATACTGAACATCTGCTGAATTTGTACTTAATATGCCAGAAATGGGAAATTGAAGGAGTTTTGTTATATTTCTAGCAAGACATGAGACACTATTACAAAGTACACTTCGTTCCTTAGGAGAGCTCACTTGTGACTATTTCAGCACTTGTTATTCCACTTTCTCCTACAGAGATTGTGGTCTCTGCAAAAGAGGAAAAAAGAATAGCAGTGAAGGCAAAGATTAGAAGAACCTGAGAAAAGCTTGGTAGGATCACCCAGGCAGACACCCCATTGAGGAGCCCTTTTTAAGCAGCGGTTCCTCCCAGCCTGGTGCTTTACCTGAGTTCGAGCTCCCAGGGGCTACTGTTGTAGCAGAGGGCACTCCAGCTGTGCCTAGGCAGGAAGAAAAGAGAAAGACAGGAACTTTTTTTGTAACCCTTAGGAGAAGGTGGTGAGAAGCATGTCTGTCTTTGACTTTGGAGCAGGAAAAGATGCTTCCTGGACCTATGGAGGACAGGCATATTTTGTGTTTTCTGGCTGCCTTTGCAAGGCCAAGGATAATATGCCTGCCCTGATGATTTATGTTTGCCAGTGTTGAAGGTCATAGAAAAGGCATTTCCAAATTCTACCTGTCTCACTTCCCGGTGCTCCAGTGGTGGCTCCTAATGAAAAGAAAAAGAGAGAAGTATGAGAAAGAGAAGAGAAAATTTTGAATTTTTATATCTGAAGTAAAGTATGACAACCTAATGATTGCTATGCTGAATGCAAGTCAATACTATGATGGCATACACACTATGCTCTTCTCAAAGGGAAATAATTTCAGAGCCAAAGCTACTGCAGCTCTGCTCTTCAGAGGCCTAAAACCCTGAACTTAGTCTCTGAGAAGGGAAAGCCTTCAGGAAATTTGGGCCCACATGTTTACAAATCCAGATCCAAGAAGAAACTGTTTTTCCTGAAGTATTAAAGTTTTAAAAGAAATTTAAAACTACACTCCACGTTAAAGTGATTCTTTGGATCATCAATACAGATTTTCTGTAACTTAAAAACTCATTGTTAAAAAAGTTCCTCTAAGAAATCTATCAAAATACAACGATAAATAATGAATACTGAAAAATATTTACCTGATTTTATTTCAGTTCTAGTGGTACCAATTCCACCTAGGGAAGTTGTGGTCTCTTAAATATGGAAAGAAAACTGAAATTAATTGAGTATTAAGGAGGAGGATGAGCTAAGTGGATGTAAAGACGAACAATAAGCCCAATTCAAAATGTCTTGTCACCTACTATTACGTCAGAAGAGAAATCCTGTAAACATGATGGAAACCTTCAATATCCAAGTTTAATTGTTAAAATGGTGAGAAAAAACATGTTCAAATCATATTGTTCTTAATTGAAACTTAAATGTTTCTCAATTATAAGTTATATAGACAATTTCAAAAGGTATACAGTCAGAACTCATAAATGATTGATATGCTTATTGTTATTACCATCATTATTTATTGCTGCAAGTATTAGACTTTTCACATGCAAGAATTTTGCCAGTGGCTAAATTAGAAAGTGATAGGAATAAATATCTAAATTCTTTACCCATAATGAGGAATTAGAAAGTGATAGTAATCAATATCTGAATTCTTTACCCAAAATGAGAATGAACATGTCATATCATGAAGGTGTAGGAACTATGTGTTTTCTCAATGTGCTAATAAGCTCTTTTCAGAGGTTTCTAGAATCACGATTTAACATATATATGTTTTCCATGCACCATTGCTGTCTCAGAAAATTTAATGACAAAACTTTCAATGACTCAATTATTTCCTTTAGATATCAGTGAGAGAAATAAAAAAGCATTTCTTTCCAACCACACAACTGATTCTCAGTGTCTTAGCTTCATGGTGAAGTCTCCTTGGAATAGAAGAAAGAAAAATAAAGGAATTCGAGTGTTGAGCCTTTAGTCATTTAGGTAATATCGTGCCTATCTGGTAATCTATGTTCAGAAAAGACTCTTTACAGGAAGTACAAATCCAACATGTGATTCAGGCAATGTCGTCTACTGGGAAGGAGGTAGTGGATTGTCAGTGCTTACTTAAATGGCTGTTAAGCCCAGCCATTCCACTTGATCCAGGAGAAGTTGTTGCTGCTGGGAGAGGAAGGACATGAATGGAAAAGATTCAGGGGGCAGGGGATGGAATGAAATGGTGGTGCTTCTGCACTGAAACACCCCAAGGCAGACACCAGGAAAGGATTCTCCACCACCCTGTGGACTCACTTGTGCTGAAACGTCCAGGAGCCACTGTTGTGCCAGGTGCCACCCCAGAAGTACCTGAAACACAAAGGGATCGAGGGGACCATACTGATTCAGTAAGTCAAATGAAGACTCAAATCTTAAAGGAATATGCTGTATTTATGTATTTGTTTTTTATGACATAAATCTCTCTCTGAGCATGAGGCAGAAGGTGAACTATATGTATTTGCCTGCTTTCAAAAATTCATAACCAAAGCTCATAAAAAATGTTCCCAACGTCAAGCATAACTACCAATTTTATAAAAGGGAAACTTGATGCATTTTCTCGATGCTCACCTGCTTGCCTCCCTGGGGTTGAAGTGATGATGCCTACTGTGAGGTAGATAAGAGGAGGAAAAAAATGTTTCAATGTGTTGAAACTTCAGATGTGGGAGAAAATATTGGGAAAGCCAATTGTAAGATACATACATACATATGCAGGCATGCACCCTGGTTCCATGGGGCTCTTTTATACTTCAAGCACATTTGCATGTGTACACACAGAAAACGTTCTGTCTTCCAGCTCCAATGCTGGTGACAATAGTAACACAATGGAGAAATCCCATCCCATCCTCAGCCTCAATGAAGGGAGGCTCGATTTTGGAATTTGTAGTCTTTCAAAAAAGATTTCTCCCTAATGACAAATCTAAATTGAGTTACTTGCAGTGTCTCTATAAAAACCACAAACACCATCAAAAAAGTTAAGAGACCTAATTTAGATTACCCCAAATTATGGGCTTTTGAGTCTCACCAGTTTTGAAACCAGTTCCTGAAGTACCAGTCGCTTCAGTGGAAACTGTGGGCTCTGAGGAAAGACATAAAGTAGGGAAGTCCATAAATATGAAATACTGAGAGGAGATATTGGGGTGTTATCATAGCAGCCCTAAAAGAAATATCATGACATCTGACATTAAATATAAGGTGCTTTCTTCTTGTTAAGCTATGTGTGTTAGAACTTCCAGATACAATGACTATTCCAGAAGATTCTCCAGTGGTACCTAAAAATCAAAAGAGGTAAATGCAGCAACAGAGCATTTTCTTCCCATTTATGCTTGGAAATATCAGTGTGGCCCTCAAGCACTGGAAGCCCTTCCTGAGGATACCCTCTCTGTGCAGTGAATGGAAAATGAACAACTTCTAGCACTTCATTTTCCAGGCCAACCTGAGATGGAATTTCCCTTTTGCTGTGAGGCAAGGGTAGAATAGCGTTTAAGTCACCCTAACCTGTTTCTCTTCCAGGGATCTATCCTCCTGATGTGCCAGAAGTGCTTACAGGAGAAATACAGCATGATTTTAACCTTATAAGCAGGACTCTTTGACACAGCTAGGGGCATTTAAATAATCAGTTGACATCATGGAGCTCTCTAGTGAGGGGAAAGAGGAAATAAACATCATATATAGATCAATAAGAAAAATGATAGAAAATGTCCAAGTGTGAGTGGAAAGGTAAATTGGGATGACTGGAAGTTCTGGAAGGTTGGGATACAGGCAATGGACTCTGAAGCCTCATATCAGAAAAAAAAATATCTTTATAAGCCAGGATACTGAAGACAGCCTGGCTGAGCCATCTGAGATCGTGGAATCAAAAGCAGAATAACGGATCAGATATAGGACAAAATATGGTCCCAGAGAAAATCCCCCTCCCTCAAAAGCCTTCACATTATATGTCCCTGTAATCACCCAGCTAGAGAGATGATGAGAGCCTCAGGCCACAGCCTAACAAGCTTACCTTCTGGTGGTCCAGCTCGGGTGGTCCTGCTGCCTCCTACGAAAGTTGTGGCTTCTGAAAAAGAAAGGAATTGGATGTATGACAACTGCACAGGACATCCTGGGACCCCATAAGCTGTATTGCCCAAGGGACCATGTTCAGAACTCCTGACCTGTGTGGGCACTTCCAGCTGACAGAGTTTTGCCCTCAGTAGTACCTGAAATAAGAAAGGACTGTGATTAGTTGCTCAATCTGTTGTCATTAATGAAATGAATATAGACTCCTATAGAAAAAAGAAAGAAAAAAACTTTGTTTTTCTTAAACACACCAGAAAATTTATTTCTCTAGAGTTTCTGTTTTTAAGAGTTAATCCATATATTGTCCATGGAACATATAGTACTTTGGCAGGTTTATAGAGAAAGTCCTCTGCCATGGAGTCCCTTTTTTATGGAACTATTACAGATAGATAGATTTGGGCCCACGTCACCTCTGTAACTGTCATGGAATGGGCCCCAGGATGACCTGATGAAGGATCCTTAGACCCAAAGCATAAGACATAAGGAGGAAATGTTGAAGTGTCTGAACTATGTTTATTGATGTTAAATATTGATCATCTGCTACCTGTTTTTCTAATATGCCAAATACGGAAAATTCAGACATTTGTCATATTCTATCAAGATGTCAGAAATTATAACAAAGTACACTTAGTCCCTTAACTGAGCTCACCTGTGATTATTTCAGCTCTTGTTTGTCCACTTTCTCCTAAAGACATCGTGGACTCTGCAAAAGAGGGGAAAACAATATCAGTGAGGGCAAAGATTAGAAGCATCTGAAAAAATCATGGTAGGATCACCAGGCAGACACCTCGCTGAGGAGGAGCCCTGCCCACGCAGTGGTTCCTTCCAGCCTGGTGCTTTACCTGAGTTGGAGATGCCAGGGGCAACTGTTGCAGCAGAGGGCACTCCAGCTGTGCCTAGGCAGGAAAGAAAAGAGAAAGAGCAACAGAGAGACACTTTTATGACCCTTGAAATAATATGGCTGACAGCATGTTTATCTGTGTCTTCGAAGCAGAAAAAGATGCTTCCTGGACCTATAACTGACAGGAGAGGCATTTTTCATGTTTATTGTGTTCCTTGGCAAAGGCGAGGTTAACACAATGGCTAATATGCCTGTCTTTATTATTTACTTATTATTATTATTATTTTGCCAACATTGAAGGTCATATAAAAGGCTTTCCCCAAATTTACCTGTCTTACTTCCTGGTGCTCTGGAAGTGACTCCTAATGAAAAGAAAAAGAGAAGGAGAAGGAGTAGGAAAGAAAGAGAAGGAAGAAAGAAAAACATTTTTTGAATTTTTATCTCTGAACTAAAATATGAACATCTTAATGATTTCTACACTGAATTGAAGCTAGTATACTAATGTTATATAGACTATGCTCTTTTCAAAGGGAAAACCATTTCAGAGCCAGAGCTATTACTGTAACCCTCCGCTGCAGAGTCCTAGACCCCTGAGGTTAGCATCTGAAAAGGGAAAGCCTTTAGGAAATTTGGGATCACATAATTACAAATCCAAATCCAAGAAGAAACTCTGTTTCCCTTGAAATATTCATAGCTTTAAAGGAAATGTAAAACTCCATTCCACATCAAAGTGATTTTTTGCATTAATGCAAATTTTCTGAAAATTATTTCAAAATGAAAAGCTCGTTTAAAAATATTTTTCTCTATGAAACCTATCAAAATACAACAAAAACATAAATACTCCAAAGTCTTTACCTGATTTTACTTCTGCTGCAGTGGTGGCACCTCCTCCTAAGGAAGTTGTGGTCTCTTAAAGATGAAAAGAAAACCAAAATTAATTGAGTACTAAGGAAGTGGGATGAGTCAGTGGATGTCACTACATGAAATAAGCCCAATTTGAAATGTCCTGTCACCTATTAAGTCAGAAAAGAAGACCTCCTGAGTGTAAAAATGATGGAAACCTTCAATATACACATTTAAGTGTTAAAATGGGGAGATAAAACATTTTAACTCACATGGTTCTTAGTTGGACCTTAGATATTTCTTAATTGGAATAAGATATATAAAATTCTTAATAAAAAAGAATATATAATAAGGAACTCATAAATCATAGATATGCTCACTACTATCATCGTCATTATTTATTGCTTTAAGTATTATAGTTTTCATGTGCAAGAATTTTGCCAGTAGCTACCAAAATTCTTAGAATTTTGAACTTAGAACTAGAGAGCAATGGGAATCAATGTCTCAATTTTTCCGCATAATGAAAAGACAATGGCCTACAATGGGGTAAGCGAGCTATGTTTTCTCAGCATGTCAACAAGGTCTTTCCAGAGGTTCTAGAATCAAGAGTTAATTTATATGTTTTTCATATATTTATATCTCATGGAATATTTGATGACAACCATTCCAATAACTCAATTACTTCCTTTAGATATCAATGAGAGAAAGACATTTCTTTCTAATCACCCAACTGATTCTCAGGGCCTTAGCTCCATGCTGAAGTCTGCTTGAAGCAGAGGGAAGGAAGATAAAAGAGTCTGAGGGTCTGACATTTGGTTGTTAGGTAAAATCCTGACTAACCAGTAATCTTTGTTCAGAAAATGCTCCTCACAGGAGGTACAAACAATAGACATGATTCAGACAACCTTGTCTACTAGGAAGCAGTTAGTGGTTCGTCAGTGCTTACCTGCAGCGGGTCCAGCCCCAGTTGTTCTGCTTGCTCCAGGAGAAGTTGTGGCTACTGAGAGAGGAAGGGACATAAATGAAAAAGATTCAGGGACCTAGGGATGGAATGGTGGTGTTCTGCATAGCAGCTCCAAAGGAAAGACATTTTTGTATCAGGCACCCAGGAAAGGATTCCATGTCATTAGTAAAGAAACTGTGGACTGACCTGTGCTGAAACTTCCAGGGGCAACTGTTGTGCCAGGTGCCACCCCAGAGGTGCCTGAAACACATTATATCTCTTTTAGAGTCAGGTCTTCATTCAACTTACTGATCATTGTGTTTCAGTAAGTCAAGTAAATACCTGACTCTAAAATGGATATAATGCATTTCTTTGCTATAACTGAAATCTCTTTTTCTGAGCTTGTGGCAGAGGGTGAACTAGTTGTATTTGCTTGCATTCAACAATTCAGAACCAAATAAAACAGAGAAAAATACTGTTTGCAACTTCAAGTGCTTCTCCTGAAAATGTAATGAAAGGGAAACTAGATGCATTTCCCTAGTGCTGACAGACTTGTTCCCCTGGCACTGCAGTGATGCCTGCTGTGAGATAGAAAGAAGGGGAAATAAGGTTTAAATGTGCTGCAAACTAGATGTAGGACAAAATATTGACAAAGCAAAGTTTTATCCATACACAGATACACACACATTCATGCATGCATCTGGTTCCATGGGCTTTTTTTCTATTTCACACACATACACTCACACACACACAAGGAAAACATTCTGAATTCCAGCTCCAATTCTTTTGATAAGTGTAATACTGCTGGAGACACCTCAACCCATTCTCAGAACTGGAGCAGTGAGGCTCAATTCTAGAATTAGCAGACTTGCAAAAAATGTATTTCTAATAGCAAGTCCATTTTAATTACTTGCAGTGTACCTAAATAAAATGTAAACACTCCTAAGGAAAGCTGGATTCCTATCTTGATGATACAAAATCATGGACTCTTTATTCTCACCAGTTTTGAATCCAGTTCCAGAAGTACCAGTCGCTTCTGTGGCAGGTGTGGCCTCTGGGGAAAAGGAAATGGGTGCATAGTGACATCTGGGAATTTGGAATACTGCAGAGGATATTGGGGTATTATTTTATAATAGCAGCCCTAAAAGAGATATCATGAAATCTGACACTAAATAAAAGGCATTCCCTTCTTATTAAGCTACCTGTGTTAGAACTTCCATATACAATGGTCATTCCAGTCAATTCTCCAGCGGTACCTAAAATGCAAAAAAAAAAAAAAGGAAAATGGAGCAATAGATTATTATCTCCACAATTAAGCTGGAAGCATCAAGGTGCAGCTCTAAAGCACTGGAAACCCTTTTCTGAAGACACTGAATCCCTGTAGAGAATGGAAAATGAACAACCTCTGAGCACTTGATTTTCCAGGCCAACCTGGGCGGCATCTGATGCTACTGGGTTTCCCTTTCTCTATGAGGCAAGGGGAGAATAGGGCTTAAATCACCCTGGCCCAGGAACATATCCTCCTGACAGAGGTGCCTATAGGAGAAACAAAACACAGTTCTATATTTATAAGTAGGACTCTTTGATACAACACGGGGCATTTTAACATCAGTTGTTCTCATGAAATGTTGTAGGAGGGGAGAGAGGACACAAACATCATGTGTAAGTAAAGGAGAAAAATGACAGAAAGTGTCTCAAACTGTGGGTGGAAAGGAAAACTGGGTAAGGAGAATTGGAAGTCCTGGAAAGTTATAATATATACAATATACTCTCATACTTTGTATCAGAAAAAATTGTCTCTGTAAACCAGGACACTGAAGACAGCCTGGCTGAGACATCTGAGGTCACTAATTCACATGCAGAATAACTGACCAGGTTGATCTGACACACTATGGGCACAGAGAAAATGAAGGACCTTCCTTCAAATGACTTCACATTATTGTTCACTGCAGCCACCTAGGTGGAGAGATGATGAGAGCCCCATGCCTCAGCCTGACAAGCTCACCTCCAGGTGGTCCTGCTCGGGTGTTTCCACTGCCTCCTGGGAAAGTTGTGGCCTCTGAGAGAGAAAGGAATTGGAGGTATAAAGACTGGACAGGACACTCGGGGTTTCCCAAAGCTCACACTGCCTAAGGGGCCATGTTCAGAATTCCCGACCTGTGTAGGCGCTTCCAGGTTCCTGAACTTTGCCAGAGACGCCCTCAGTAGTACCTGAAATAAGAAAGGTGTTCAGCTGGTCAATTTGTTGCCTCTCATGAAATGAGCATGGGCTCTTAAAGGAAAGATAATAACTTTATTTCTTTGAATATACCAGTACATTTATTTCTCTGGACTTTCTAGTTTCAAGAGTTCATTCATATATTGCTGGTGGAACATATAATTCCATCGGCAAGTTTACACAGAAAGTCCTCCACCACTGAGACCATTTTTTCAGGGTTCAGTTGCAGAGAGATAGATTCAGGCCAAGCCACCTTTATAACTGCAAGGGGATAAATGGGTCCCATGCTAGCCTGATGAAAAGGCCTTTGACACAGCAAACGAGACACAAGGAGGGAATGTTAAAGTGTTGGAACCGTATCTACTGATATTAAATACTGCATATATGCTAAATATTTTTTAATATGCCAAATGGTGGAAAGAGTTTTGCTATATTTCAAGTGAGACATTAGAAGGTATTACAAAGTACACTTAGTTCCTTAGCTGAGCTCACCTGTGATTATCTGAGCTCTTGTTTTTCCATTTTCTCCTACAGAAGTTGTGGCTTCTGTAAATGAGGGGAAAGGAATAACACTGAGGGCAAAGATTTGAAGAATCCACGAGTAAGGTTTGATCACCCAGGCAGACACCCCACTGAGGAGCCCTTCCCAAGCAGTGGTTCCTACCAGCCTGGTGCTTTACCTGAGTTGGAGCTCCCAGGGGCAACTGTTGTAGCAGAGGGCACTCCAGATGTACCTATATGGGAAAAAAGAGAAAGATCAACATGGCAACAATTTTGCAATCCCAAGAAGAATGTTGGCAACAAGTCTGACTGTGACTGTGAAGCAGCAAATGATACTTTATGGACCTAAAACTAACAGAAAGTTAAACCTGTTGCGTGTCTACCATTTACCTTTGCAAAGCCAAAGTTAACACCGTGGCTAATATTCCTGCCAATCTTTGCCAAGATTAAAGATTGTATCAAAGGCTTTTTCGATATTTACCGGTTTTAATTCCTAGTGCTCCATTAGTGGCTCCTAATGAAAAGAAAAAGAAGGAAGAAGAGAAGGAGGAAGAGGAAGATAAGAGGAGTAGGAAGAGGAGCAGAAAGAGGCAGAGGAAGAAATAAAGGAGCCAGAGGAGAAGAAGCAAGAGGAGGAGGCAAAGGAGAGGAGGAGGCAGAGGAGAGGAGGAGGAAGAAGAGGAGGAGGAAGAGGAGGAGAAAGAAGAGGAAGAAAAGGATGAAGAAGATAGAAAAGGAGGAAGAGGATGAGGTAGAGAAGAAGAAAGGAACAAGAGGAAAGACAGAGGAACAGGAAGAAAAGAAGAGGAGGAGGAGGCAAAGGTGGAGAAGGAAGAAGAAGAAAGATTTAGAATTTTTTCTTTAAAATGTGATATCTTAATGATTTCTACGCTGAATAGAAGTAAGTACTGTCATGCTATACAGACTAAACTCTTTTCACGGGAAGATCCATTTTAGAGCCAGAGCTATTATACCTGCTCTTCCAAGAGGCCTAGAACCCAGGGATTAGTCCCTGAGAAGGGACTTCAGGAAATTTGTGGCCAGGTGGTTACAAATCCAACAAGTATTGCTGGTTTCCCTGAAATACCATATCCCCCAAAGGATATAAAAACTCCATTCCACATGAAAGGGATTCTTTGCTTTATCTTTGCAAATTTTATGTAATTTAATACTTGAAAATAAAAGGCTTTAAAAAAAAACACCTGTTTTCTCCAAGAAATCCATGAACTTGGAATCAAACTACAACAATAAATAATGAAAATATCCAAATCTTCACCTGATTTTATTTCTGCTCCAGTAGTACCACTTTCTCCTAGGGAAGTTGTGGTCTCTTAAAGATGGAAAGAAAACCAAAATTAATTCAATATGAAGGAAGAGGGATGAGTAAGCTGACGAGACTGTGTGAAACAAATACAATTCAAAATCTCTTGTCACCTACTGCTAAGTCAGAAAAGAAGCCCTTTTCCATGTAAAAGTGTTTATCTTCAATACGCAAGTTTAATTTTCCATTTTTAACTCATGGATCTTCTTCTGACCTTAGATAGTTGCAGTGATAATAAGGTATGTAAAAGTCACATACAATATGCATATATCAAGGAAATTATAAATGATCAATATGCTCATTACTATTATCATCATTATTTATTGCTTTAAGTATTAGACTTTTCACGAGCAAAAATTTTGCCAGTGACTACCATGTTAGAACATGGAATTAGAAATAGAAATCAATATCTCAATTCTTTACACATAATGAGAAAGAGAATGGCCTTGAATGGGATAAGAAAACTATGCATTTCCTCAATGTGTCAACAAGCTGTGTTCAGAGGTTTCTAGAAGCAGGAGTTAACCTATATCTTTTCTACACATCATTTGTGTCTCATGGAATATTTAATGACTAAAATATCAATAACTCAATTACTTCATTTAAATATCAACAACAGAAAAAAACATTTATCTTCAATCTCCTAACTGATTCTCAGTTCCTTGGCTTCATAGTGAAGTCTCCCTGAAGCAGAGGAAAGGAAGGTTAAAAAGTTTGAGTGTCTGGCCTTTAATTATTAGGGAAAATCCTGCCTATGTGATCATCTTTCTTCAGAAAATGCCCTTCACAGGGAGTACAAACAGTAGATGCAATTCAGGCAACGCTTGTCTACTAGGAAGCAGGTAGTGGTTCCTCAGTGCTTACCTGAGGTGGGTCCAGCCCCAGTCATTCCACTTGCTCCAGAAGATGTTGTGGCTACTGAGAGAGGAAGGACATAAATGGAAAGGATTCAGGGACTTGAAATGGAAACATGGCACTTCTGCTTAAAAGCACCAAAAGGAAAGGCATACTATCGTAGCAAGCATCCATGAAGTGATTCCCCACCACACCGTGGACTCACCAGTGCGGAAACTTCCAGGAGCAACTGTTGTGGCTAGAGACACCCCAGAGGTGCCTGAAACAGAAAGAGACTGACGTGATCGTGGTGAATGAGTAAATCAAATGAAGAACTGACTCTCAAAGGAATATGCTCTATGTATGTATATATTTATTTATTTGTATGCCACCATAGAAAGCTCTCTCTGAGCTCAAGACAGATGGTGAACTACATATATTTGCCTGCTTTCAGCAATTCAAACCAAAGCACATAGAAAATGTTCCCAACTTCAGGCACAACTGGGAATTCGAGAAAAGTAAAACTAGATGCATTTCCCCAATGCTTACCTGCTTGTTTCCCTGGGGCTGAAGTGATGCCTGCTGTGAGGTAGAAAGAGGAGGCAAAAAAGGTTTAAATGTACTGAAACTTAAGATGTAGGAGAAAATACTGAGCTATCATTTTTGTTCACATATACGCTTGTAAATGCATGCATCTTTTCTGTCTCACACACACAAAGAAAACATTCTGAATTCCACCTAAACTGCTAGCAATAGTTGTAACACGAATGGAGAAATTCCATTCCGTTCTCAGAAATGGAGCAGTAATGCTCCATTTTAGAATTAGTAGATTTACAAAAAATGTATCTCCACCAGCAAATCTATTTTGAATCACTTGCAATGTCCCTAAATGAAACAAACACAAACTCTCTCAAGACAAGCTTGAGAGACCTAATGCTTATGACACCAAATCATGGGTTGTCTCTTCTCACCAGTTTTGAATCCAGTTCCAGAAGAACCTGTCCCTTCTATGGAAGTGGTGGCCTCTGATGGAAGAAATAGGAGAATGAAAAATGCTGGAAAATTAAAATACTGGAAGAAGATATTGGGGTATTACTTTATCATAGAAGCCATAGAAGAAAAATGACACCTGACATTAAATAAGAAGCATTTACTTCTTGTTAAGCTACCTGTGTTAGAACTTCTAGATATAATGGTCATTCCAGACAATTCTCCAGTGGTAACTAAAATGCCAAAAAAGAAAAAAAAAGAAAAAAAAAAAGAAAGAAAGAAATGAAGCAATAGAGCATTTTATCTCCAATTAAACTTGGAAGCATCAATGTATCCCTGAAGCACTAGAATCTGTTTCCTGCACTCACTCTATTTCTATAGAGAATGGAAAATAAACACCTAGAGATGCATAAGTTGATGCTGGGATTCCCTTCCACTATAAGGCAAGGGGAGAACAGGGCTTTAAATCACCTTGACCTGTTTCCTTTCCAGGAACACAGTCCTCTGGTGGAATAGCGGTAACTACGGGAGACATTATATTTATAAGTAGGACTGTCTGATACAACTTGGGATATTTTAATAATCAATTACCTTCATGAAGCTTTCTAGTAAGAGGAGAGAGGAAATAAACATTCTGTGTAAGTATATGAGAAAACAATAAAAAATATCAAACTGTGAGTGGAAAGGCTGGGTAAGGGAAACAGGAAGTCGGAACGTTGGAATATATGAAATATTTTCTAATACCTTTAATTAGAAAAAATAATGTCTCCAGAAGCTAGAATAGTGCAGACAGCTTGGCTGACAATCCAAGTCATGAAATTTCCAAGTCCAATAACTGACCAGGTTGATAGGACACAATATGGCCAAAGAGAAAATGCAGTCCCTTCCTTCAAATGCTTTCACATTATTTATTCCCTGTAGCCACCCAGATAGAGAGCTGATGAGAGCCCCAGGTCTCTCACCTCCGGATAGTCCTGCTCGAGTGGTCCTGCTGCCTCCAGGGAAAGTTGTGGCCTCTGAGAGAGAAAAGAATTAGAGGTATGAAGACTGTACAGGACATTCTGGGGCCCCATAAGCTATATTAGCCAAGGGGCCACATTCAGAATGCCTGATGTGTGTGGTCACTTCCATCTTTTGGAGTTCTGCCAGAGATTGCCTGAGTAGCAAAGAGGAAAGAATCTTGGACATTTGGTCAACTTGTTGCCCCTTATGACTCTTAAAGAAAAAAAAACACATTTTTTTTCTTCAATAAAACAGAAAATTTATTTCTCTGCGGTTTCTATTTTTAAGAGTTAATCCATATATTATTCATAGAACCTATAATTCCCTCAGCAAGCTTACAGAAAAGGTCTTCTGCCACCATGTTTCATTTTTAAGGTTTAGGTAGAGAAAGATAGATTTGGGCCCAAGTCCCATATATAGCTGTCAGGGAATGGACCCCGTGATACCCTAATGAAGGGACTGATTTTAGAGCCAAAAGAAAAAAGGAGAAAATGTTGAAATTTCTGACCTATACTTATTGGTGTTAAAATTTGAACATCTGCTACATTTTTGCCTAATATGCCAAAAATTCAAAAACTTTTGTCATATTTCGAGCAAGATGTGGGAAATTATAACAAAGTACACTTAATTCCTTAACTAGGCTCACCTGTGATTACTTCAGCTCTTGTTATTCCACTTTCTCTCAAAGAAGTTGTGGCCTCTGCAAAAGAGGGAAAAAGAATAGCAGTGAGGGCAAAGATTAGAAGAATCTGAGAAAAGCATGGTAGGATCACCCAGGCAGACACCCCATTAAGCCCTTTCCAATCAGCGGTTCCTCCCAGCCTGGTGCTTTACCTGAGTTGGAGCTCCCAGGGGCAACTGTTGTAGCAGAGGGCACTCCAGCTGTGCCTAGGCAGGAAAGAAAAGAGAAGGATTGAGATGGGAACCCTCTTGTGACCCTTGGAAAAATGTGGCTAACAGTATGTCTATTTGTGACTTTGAAGCCAGAAAACACACTTCCTGGCTTATAGCCGACACAAAGACAAACACGTTTCAGGTTTACTGTGTGCCTTTGCAAAGCCAAGGTTAATGCAGTGGCTAATATTCCTACCCTAATTATTATGAACAATATTTGGTCACAGTGGAAGGTCATATGAAAGGCTTTCCCCAAGTTTACCTGTCCTACTTTCTGGTACTGTAGTGGTTGTTCCTAATGAAAAGCAAAAGAGAAAAGGAGAAGAAAGAAGAGGAGAAAACAAGAAAAAATAAGAAGAAAGACAATTTTGAATTTTTATCTCTAAACTAAAATATGACATCTTAGTGATTTCTAATGTTATATAGACTATGCCCTTTTCAAAGGAAAAAACTCTTCAAAGCCAGAGCTATTATTGCAAGACTCCTCTCTAGAGACTTAGGACCCTGATGTTAGTCTCTCAGAAAGGAAAGACTTCAGAAATTTTGGGCTCAAGAGTTTACAAATCCAAATCCACGAGCAAACTCTGTTTCCTTGATATATTATAGACTCAAAGGAAATTTAGACCCACACTCCACATTGAAGGAATTCTCTGCATTATCTATGATAATTTTCTGTAATTTAAATTTACTTCCAAATTAAAAGCTCATTAGAAATAATTTTCTCTAAGAAATCTGTCAAAATAAAACAATAAATATAAATAATCTAAAGTCTCTACCTGATTTTCTTTCTGCTGCAGTGCTGCCACTTCCTCCCAGGGAAGCTGTGGTCTCTTAAAGATGAAAAGAAAACCAAAATTAACTGAGTACGAAGAAAAAAGGATAAGGTAAGTTTATGTCATTACATGAGATAACTCCAATTAAAAATGTCTTGATACTTTCTATTAAGTCAGAAAATAAGTACTTCTGACTTTAAAAGTAATGAAAACCGTAAATACACAAGTTTAATTGTTAAAATCAGGAGATACCACATTGGTAAATTTATTTCTTAATTGGACCTTAGACATTTCTCTTTTTGTTTCTTTGTTGTTGTTGTTGTTTTTGTTTTTGTTTTTTTGTTTTTCTGGACCTTAGATATTTCTTAATTGGAATAAGATATGTAAATCTCTGATTAAAAAAGTGGATACAGTGAGGAACTCACAAATGATCAACATGGTCATTACTATTATTATGAGTATTTATTGCTTTAAGCATTAGGCTTTTCATATGTAACAATTTTGCCAGTTGGAACTTGGAATCAGAGAGGTGTAGGAATCAATATTTTTATTCTTTACACACAATAAAAAGAAAACAGCCTTCGATGGGGTAAGATTAATCTGTGTTGTCTTAATGTGTCAAAAAGCACTTTTCAGTGCTTTCTAGAATCAGGAATTAATCTGTGTGTTTTTCATGCACCATTTCTATAGATCAGCTAATGAGAAAAATTTTAATAGCTGTTATTTCCTTTATATATCACTGAGGGAAAGAACGACATTTCTCTCCAATCACAGAACTGATTCTTAGTACCTTAGCTCCACGACGAAGTCTCTTTGAAGCAGAGGTAAGGAAAATAAAGGTATTTGAGTATCTAGTCTTTACATATTAGATAAAATATTGCCTATTTGAATTTTTTTTTTTTTTTTTTTGAGACGGAGTTTCGCTCTTGTTACCCAGGCTGGAGTGCAATGGCGCGATCCCGGCTCACCGCAACCTCCGCCTCCTGGGTTCAGGCAATTCTCCTGCCTCAGCCTCCTGAGTAGCTGGGATTACAGGCACGTGCCACCACGCCCAGCTAATTTTTTTGTATTTTTAGTAGAGACGGGGTTTCACCATGTTGACCAGGATGGTCTCGATCTCTCGACCTCGTGATCCACCCGCCTCGGCCTCCCAAAGTGCTGGGATTACAGGCTTGAGCCACCACGCCCGGCCTGAATTTTTTTAAAAAATATCCTTCACTGGAAGTACAAACGGTAGATGTGATTGAGGCAACGTGACCTACTGGGAAGGAGGTAGTTCTTACTTGTAGTTGTTGTGACCCCAGTTATTCCACTTGCTCCAGGAGACGCTGTGGCTGCTGGGAAGACACAAATGGAAAAGGTTCGGGGGATATGAAATGAAATAGTAGCATTCCTGCATAGAAGCATCAAAAGGAAAGGCATGTTACGGTAGCGAGCATCCATGAAAGGACTCCCCACCACACAATGGACTCACCTGTGCTGAAACTTCCAGGGGCAACTGTTGTCGCAGGAACTACCTCTGAGGTGCCTGAAAACAAAGAGACTAAGGTGATCACAGTGAATGAGTAAGTCAAATGACCCAAATCTAAAAGGGATGTGCTGTATTTATGTATTAAATTGCCATAACAGAATTCTCTTTCTCTGAACCTGAGGCAGGTGGAAAACTCAAAGTATTTGCCTGCTTTCAACAATTCATAACAAAAGGATATAGAGAGACAAGTTTCCAAGTACAAGCACAACTGAAAATTTGATAAAAGTGAAACTAGATGCATTTTCCCAATGCTCACCTGCTTTCTTCCCTGTTGCTGTAGTGACGCCTGCTGTGAGATAGAAAAACGAGGAAAAATGGTTGAAATACTTTGAAATTTCACATATAGAGAAAGAATTGAACCAGTATTTTCGTTCACATATACACTTTAAATGTATGTGTACTGGTTCTGTGGGGCTCTTTTCTGTTTCACATAAAAGCACAGAAAATTTTCTGAATGCCACCTAAACTGCTAGTGACAGTTGTAACATAAATGGAGAAATTACATCCCATCCTCAGAAACGAAGCAGTAATGATCCATTTAAGAATTAGTGAAATATATATATATATATATATATATATATATATATATATATATACCTCCACCAGCAAATCTATTTTGAATCACGTGCAACGTAGCTAAATAAAACAAACACAGACTCTCTCAAGAAAAGCTTGAGAGACTTAATACTTATGATGCCAAATCATGGACTGTTTCTTCTCACCGATTCTGAATCCAGTTCCAGAAGTGCCAGTCCCTGCTGTGGAAGTGGTGGCCTCTGATGGAAGAAAGAGGAGAATGAAAAAGGCTGGGAATTCAGAATACTGGAAGAAGATATTGGGCTTTTACTTTATCAAAGAAGCCCTTTAAACAAATCATGATATCTGACATTAAATAAGAGGCATTTCTTGTTAAGCTACCTATGTTAGAACTTCCAGATATAATGGTCATCCCAGACAATTCTCCAGTGGTAACAAAATGCAAAAAAAAAGAAAAGAAAAAAAGAAAGAAACCAATAGAGCATTTTATTTCTAATTAAGTCTGAAAGCCTCAATGTAGCCCTAAACACTGAAAAGCGCCCTCTGCTGTAGACACTGTATTTCTACTGAGAATGGAAAATGAACAACTTCCTAGCACTTCATTTTCCAGGCTAACATGGGATGGATGTGTTGTTGCTGAGATTACTTTTCACTGTGAGGCAAGAAAAAATAGGACTTGAATCAACCCGACCTGTTTCCCTTTCAGGAATATATCTCCCTAGTGTGACAGAGGTGCCTAAAAGAGAGGAAAAAAAATCACTGTTTTCTACCTATAAGTAGGACTGTTTCAGTCAATCATTTGTTTTCATGAAGCTTTCCAGTGACGGGAGAGAGGAAGTAAACATCATGTGTAAGTATATGAAAAAAATGATCAAAAGTATCAAGCTATGAGTGGAATGGTAACCTGGGTAAGGGGAATAGGAAGTCCGGAAGGTTAAAATATATAAAATATTTTAATATCTTTTACCACTAAAAAATAATGTCTCCATAAGCTAGAATGGTGCACACAGCCTGGCTGACAATACAAGGTGATGAAATTCAAGAGCAGAATAACTGACCAGTTTGACAGGACACAATATGATCAAGGAGAAAATGCAAGCCCTTCCTTCAAATGCCTTCACTGTTTGTTCCCTGTAGCCCCTAGATAGGGAGATGATGAGAGAGAGCCTCAGGCCTGAGCCTGACAAGCTCACCTCCAGGTGGTCCTGCTCGGCTGGTCCCACTGCCTCCTGGGAAAGTCGTGACCTCTGAGAGAGAAAGGCATTGGAGGTATGAAGACGGCACTGGACATTCTGGGACCCCATAAGCTGTATTGCCCAAAGGGCCCCGTTCAGAATGCCTGACCTGTGTGGGCACTTTTAGCTTCCAGAGTTCTGCCAGAGATGCCCTGAGTAGTACCTGAAAAAAGAAAGGATTGTGGTCAGTTGGCCAATTTGTTGCTCCTCATGATATGGGCATAGGCTCTTAAAGAAAAAAAAAAAACAATTTTTTTCTTTAATATAGCAGAAAATTCATTCCACTGGAGTTTCTATTTTTAAGAGTTAATCCATATATTGCCCATAGAATATATAATTCCCTTAGCAAGTTATAGAGAAAGTCCTCTACCACTGTGTTTCATTTTTAGAATTTAGGTACAGAAAGATTTGGGTCAAAGTCACCTACGGAAATGTCAGGGAATTGGCCCCTTGATGCCCTGATAAAGGGTTCTTAAACCCAAGGCAAAAGACATAGGGGGAAATGTTGAAGCATCTGATCTATATTAGTGATATTAAATATTGAACATCTGCTAAATTTTTGCCTAATATGCCATATTGGGAAAATTCAAAAATTTTGCCATATTTCAAACAAGATGTGGGAAATTATAACAAAGCATGCTTAGCTCCTTAACTAATCTCACCTGTGATTATTTCAGCTCTTGTTATTCCACTTTCTCTCACAGAGGTTGTGGCCTCTGCAAAAAAAGACAAAGAATACCAGCGAGGGCAAAGATTAGAAGAATCTGAGAAAACCATGGTAGGCTCACCCAGGCAGACACCTCATTGAGGAGCCCTTTCCAAGCAGTGGTTCCTCCCGGCCTGGTGCTTTACCTGAGTTGGAGCCCCTAGGGGCAACTGTTGTACCAGCGGGTACTCCAGCTGTATCTGGGCCAGAAAGAAAAGAAAAAGATCAACAGGGGAAGTCTTTTGTGACCCTTGGAAAATGTGGCCAATAGTATGTCCATTTGTGACTTTGAAGCAAGAAAACACACTTCCCGGACTTAAAACTGACAAGAGAACACGCATGTTTCAGGCTGATTGTGTTTCCTTGCAAGGCCAATGCTAACACAGTGGGCAATATGCCTGCCCTTATCATGATGATTATTATTGTGCCAATGTTGAAGGTCCTGAGAAAGACTTTCCCAAGTTTACCTGTCCTACTTCCTGGTGGTCCAGTGGTGGCTCCACATGAAAAGAGATTAGAAGAAGAGGAGGAAAGAAGAAAAAAGAAGAAAGAAAATTGTAAATTGTTATCTACGAACAGGACACTAATGTTACAGAGACTATGCTCTTTTCATAGGGAAAACTATTTCAAAGCCAGAGCTACTGCTGCTACTCTCCTCCAGAGACTCTGAACCCTAAGGTTAGTCTCTCAGAGAAGGGAAAGACTTTAGGAACTTTGGGCTCAAGTGTTTACAAATCCAAATCCAAGAACAAACTCTGTTTCCTTGAAATATTATAGCCTCAAAGGAAATTTAAAACTATACTCCACATTAAAGGAATTCTCTGCATTATGTATGATAATTTTCTGTAATTTAATTTCCAAATTAAAAGCTCATTTAAAAAAAAAGTTTCCTCTAGTAATTATATCAAAATACAACAATAAATATAAATACCTCAAGGTCATTACCTGATTTTCTTTCTGCTTCAGTGGTGCCACTTCCTCCAAGGGAAGTTGTGGTCTCTTAAAGATGAAATGAAAACCAAAATGAATTGAGTTTTAACAAAGAGGGATGAGCTAAGCTGATATCATTACATAAGGAAACCCAAATTCAAAATGTCTTGACATCTTCTATTAAGTCAGAAAAGAAGTCCTTCTGACTTTAAACATAATGAAAGCCAACCCATAGCCAATATCATACTGAATGGGCAAAAGCTGAAAGCATTCCCTTTGAAAACTGTCACAAGACAAGGATGCCCTCTCTCATCACTCATACTCAACATAGTACTGACGCTTCCGGCCAGGACAATCAGGCAGGAGAAAGAAATAAAGGACATTCAAATAGGAAGAGAAGAAGTCAAATTGTCTGTTTGCAGATGACATGATTGTATATTTTTAAAACCCCATCATCTCAACTCCAAAACTCCTTAATTTGATAAACAACTTCAGAAACTCTAAGATACCAAATTAATGTGCAAAAATCACAAGCAATCCTATACACCAATAATATACAAGCAGAAAGCCAAATCATAAGTGGACTCCCATTCACAATTGCTACAAAGAAAATAAAATACCTAGGAATACAACTTATAAGGGACAAGAAGTACCTCTTCAAGGATAACCAAAACCGCTGCTCAAGGAAATAAAAGAAAACAAACCAAACAAATGGAAAAAGTTCCATGCTCATGGATAGGAAAAATCAGTATCATGAAAATGGCCATAGCGCCCAAAGTAATTTACAGATTAAATGGTATTCCCATCAAGCTACTATTGACTGTCTTCACAGAAGTAGAAAAAAACTACTTTAAATTTCATATGAAACCAAAAAGGAGCTCATATAGCCATGATAATCATAAACAAAAATAACAAAGCTGGAGGCATCACACTACCTGACTTCAAACTGTACTACAAGGCTACAGTAACCAAAACAGCATGGTACTGGTACCAAATGAGATATATAGATCAATGCAACAGAACAGAAACCTCACTGAAATAACACCACACATGTACAACCATCTGATCTTTGACAAACCTGACAAAAACAAGCAATGGAGAAAGAATTCCTTACTTAATAAATGGTGTTAGGAAAACTGGCTAGTCATACGCAAAAACTGTAAACGGGACCTCTTCCTTACACCTTATATAAATATTAACTAATGATGGATTAAAGACTTAAATGTAAAACCTAAAACCATAAAAACTCTGGAAGAAAACCTAGGCAACACCATTCAGGACACAGGCATGGGCAAAGACTTCATGACTAAAACACCGAAAGCAATTGTAACAAAATCCAAAATGGACAAATGGGATCTAGTTAAACTAAAGAGCCTCTGCTCAGCAAAAGAAATTATCAGCAGAGTGAACAGGCAACCTACAGAATGGCAGAAGATTTTTGCAATCTATCCATCTGCAAAGGGCTCACATCCAGAATCTACAAAGATCGTAAACAAATTTACAAGGAACAAACAAACAACTCCATCAAAAAATGGGCGAAGAATATGAACAGACATTTCTCCAATGGAGACGTTTGTGCAGCCAAAAATCATATGACAAAAAGCTCATCATCACTGGTCAGTAGAGAAATGCAAATCAAAACTACAAGGAGATACCATCTCAAACCAGTTAGAATGGTGATCACTAAAAAGTCAGAAAACAGCAGATGCTGGAGAGGCTTGGAGAAATAGAAATGCTTTTACATTGTTGGTGGGAGTGTAAATTAGTTCAACTGTTGTGGAAGTCAGTGTGGTGATTCCTCAAGGATCTAGAACCAGATATACCGTTTGACACAGCAATCACATCACTGGGAATATATTCAAAGGATTATAAATCATTCTACTATAGAGACACATGCACATGTATGTTTACTGAAGCACTGTTCACAACAGGAAAGACTTGGAACCAATCCAAATGACCATCAATGACAGACTGGATAAAGAAAATATGGCACATATATACCATGGAATACTATGCATACATTAAAAAAAGAAATGAGTTCATGTTCTTTGTAGGGAAATGGATGAAACGGGAAATCATCAACCTCAGCAAACAGAGGAACAGAAACCAAGCACCACATGTTCTCACTCATAAGTGGGAGTTGAACAATGAGAACAAATGGACACAGAGAGAGGAGTATCACACACCAGGGTAGGGGCAAAAGGAAGGAAGAGCATTAGAATAAATACCTAATGCAGGCGGGCTTAAAACCTAGATGATGGGTTGATAGGTGCAGCAACCTATGTAACAAATCTGAATGTTCAGCAAATGTAACCCAGAACTTAAAATTTTAAAAAATTAACAAAAAAGTAAAAGTAACGAAAACATAAATATACATGTCTAATTGCTATGGGGAGGTACATCATTTGTAAATTTTTTTAATTGGACCTTAGATATTTCTTAATTAGAATAAGATGCAAAAAATTCTAATTTAAAAAGGGGATACAGTAAGGAATTAAAAAATAATATGCTCATTACTATTATCATCATTATTTATTGCTTTAAGTATTAGAATTTTCATGTGTAAGAATTTTGCCAGTGGCCACCACATTGGAAACTGGAATTAGAGAGCTATAGGAATCAATATATTTATTCTTTACACATAATGAAAAGTAAATGGCCTTCAATGGGGTAAGGGAACTCTGTTGTCTTAATAGGTCAAGCTCCTTTTAGAGGTTACTAGAACCAGAGTTAATCTGTATGTTTTTCATGTACCATTTCTATAGAATATTTAACGAGAAAAAAATTTAATAGCTATTATATCTTTATATACTGAGGAAAAAGAAAGACATTTCTCCCCAATCACACAACTAATTCCCAATGCCTTAGCTCCATGGTGAGGTCTTCTTGAAGCAAAGGAAAGGAAGATAAAGGCATTTGACTGACTGACCTTTATGTATTATGTAAAATCTAGCATAGCTGAAAATGGTGTTTCTTTGTTTGTTTGTTTTACAAAAAACAAAATGCCCTTCACAGAAAGTACAAATGGTAGATGTGACTGATGGAATGTGGCAATGTGACCTACTGGGAAGGAGGTAGTGGACTGTCAGTTCTTACTCGTAGTTGTTGTAACCCCAGTCATTCCACTTGCTCCAGGAGAAGCTGTGGCTGCTGGGAGAAGAAAAACACAAATGGGAATGATTCAGGGGGCATGGAAGGGAATGGTGGCACTCCTGCATAGAAGAAATGTTGCAGGACAAGCCACCGACAGAACGACAGAACCCCTTACCTATTAGTCACCAAAGTGAGGAAGAAAGAGACTTTTATTCAGCTAGCTGTGGAGCATCAGTTGACTAGTGTCCAAAAAGCAGAGCTCCCCCAAAAGCAGTGTTTTTTTTTTCCCTTTTTAAAGACATACAACCCAAGGGGGAGCAGAGGTAAAACTGTGTTATTGCCCATTGGCTGGACATCTGACCTTACAGTTTTTGGCTTTCATTGATTTGTTAATTTACATGTGGCATACATGGGAAGGGAAGAGTTACAGAAGTTGAACCAAGGCAGTAAATCACTTAGTGACAGGGACATCTCTAAGGGGTGGGGAGTACGTGACTCAAGGAAGGTCCTTGGTCAGTAAGAAAAACATATGCAACACTTAACAAGGCTTACAGATAACATAGGCACCAGTTACAGAGAGGGGCGTTACTTTCTCAGTCCTTGGGCCCCGCTGCAGTCGGGCTGGTGGAGTCATTGAGCTGCCCGATCACTGACTTCAGCTTTGTGCTATTTTATCTCCCCTCCCCACTTTTCTAACAGAAGACAGGCAAGAGAGAGACAGAGAGAGATGGTCTCCTCTCTCAGCATCAAAAGGAAAGGCGTGTTTCTATAGCAAGCACCCATGAAAGGACTCCCCACCACACAGTGAACTCACCTGTGCTGAAACTTCCAGGGGCAACTGTCGTGGCAGGAGCTACCTCTGAGGCACCTGAAAACAAAGAGACTAAGGTGATCACAGTGAATGAGTAAGTCAAATGACCCAAATCTAAAAGGGAAGTGCTGCATTGATGTATTTATTTGCCGTATTAGATATCTCTTTCTCTAAGCCGGAGGCAGAGATACGTATTTGTATTTGCCTGCTTTCAATAATTCATAACAAAAGGAGATAGAGACAATGTTTCCAAGTATAAGCAGACTGAAAATTTAACAAAAGTGAAACTAGATGCATTTTCCAAATGCTCACCTGCTTCCTTCCCTGGTGCTGAAGTGATGCCTGGTGTGAGACAGAAAGAGGAAAAATGGTTGAAACACTTTGAAACTTCACATGTAGAGAAAACACTGAGCCAGCATTTTTGTTCACAAATATAGTTGTAAATGTATGTGTACTACCTCCATGGGGCTCTTTTCTGCTTCACACACACACACACACACACACACACACACACACACACACACGGAAAACATTCTTAATTCCACCTAAACTGCTAGCAATAGCTGTAACAGAAATGGAGGAATTCCATCCTATTCTCAGAAATGGTGCAATATGCTCCAATCTAGAATTAGTAGATTAAAAAAAAAAAAGTATCTCCACCAGCAAATCTATTTTGAATCACTTGCAATGTCCCTAATTAAAACAAACACAAACTCTCTCAAGAAAAGCTTGGAGACCAAACACTTATGAAGCCAAATGATGGGGTTGTTTCTTCTCACCGATTCTGAATCCAGTTCCAGAAGTGCCAGTCCCTGCTGTGGAAGTGGTGGCCTCTGATGGAAGAAAGAGGAGAATGAAAAAGGCTGGGAATTTAGAATACTGGAAGAAGATATTAGGGTATTTATCAGAGATGCCATTTAAAAAATCATGATATCTGACATTAAATAAGAGGCATTTCTTCTTAAGCTACCTGTGTTAGAACTTCCAGATATAATGGTCATTCCAGACAATTCTCCAGTGGTACCTAAAATGCAAAAGAAAAAAAAAAAGGAAACAAAGCAATAGAGCATTATATCTCCAATTAAAGCCTGAAAGCATCAGTGTAGCCCTAAACACTGGAAGCCCTCTCCTGTAGACACTCTATTTCTACTGAGAATGGAAAATGAACAACTTCCTAGCACTTCATTTTTCAGGCCAACATGAGCTAAATGTGTTGTTGCTGTGATTCTCTTTCACTATGAGGTAAGAAAAAATAGGGCTTGAATCAACCCGACCGGTTTCCCTTCCGGGAATATGTTCCCCGTGTGACAGAGGTACCTATATGAAGAATAAATCATTGTTTTATATTTATAAGGAGGACAGTTTCATACAACTTGGAGCATTTTAATAATCAATTGTTTTCATGAAGCTTTCTGGCGAGGGGAGAGAGGAAATCAATGTAATGTATAAGTAAATGAGAAAAATGGTCAAAAGTATCAAGCTATGAGTGAAAAGGTAACCTGGGTAAGGGGAATAGGAAGTCTGGAAGGTTAAAATATATAAAATATTTTTAATATCTTTTACCACTAAAAAATAATGTCTCCATAAGCTAGAATGGTGCACACAGCCTGGCTGACAATACAAGGTGATGAAATTCAAGAGCAGAATAACTGACCAGGTTGACAGGACACAATATGATGAAGGAGAAAATGCAAGCCCTTCCTTCAAATGCCTTCACTGTTTGTTCCCTGTAGCCCTCAGATAGGGAGATGATGAGAGAGAGCCTCAGGCCTGAGCCTGACAAGCTCACCTCCAGGTGGTCCTGCTCGGCTGGTCCCACTGCCTCCTGGGAAAGTTGTGACCTCTGAGAGAGAAAGGCATTGGAGGTATGAAGACGGCACTGGACACTCTGGGACCCCATAAGTTGTATTGCCCAAAGGGCCCCGTTCAGAATGCCTGACCTGTGTGGGCACTTTTAGCTTCCAGAGTTCTGCCAGAGATGCCCTGAGTAGTACCTGAAAAAAGAAAGGATTGTGGTCAGTTGGTCAATTTGTTGCTCCTCATGATATGGGCATAGGCTCTTAAGGAAAAATATATATATTTTGTTTAATACAATAGAAAATTTACTTATCTAGAGTTCTATTTTTCAGAGTTGATCCATATATTTCCCATAGAATATATAATTCCCTCAGCAAGTTTGCAGAGAAAGTCCTCTGCCACTCAGTTTTATTTTTAGAATTTAGATACAAAAAGATAGATGGACCAAAGTCACCTGTGTAACTGTCAGGGAATAGTCCCCATGACGCCCTAATGAAGGATTCTTAGATCCAATGCAAAAAACATAAGGGGGAAATGTTGAAGTGTCTGACCTGTATTTATTATTTGATATTGAACATCTGCTACATTTTTACCTAATGTACCAAATGTGGAAAATTCAATAACTTTTGCTATATTTCTACCAAGACATGGTAAATTATAGCAAAGTATACTTAGTTTCTTAACAGAGCTCACCTGTGATTATTACAGCTTTTGTTATTACACTTTTTCCTACAGAAGTTGTGACCTCTGCAAAACATGGAAAAGAATAGCAGTGAGGGAAAAGATTAGAAAAATCTGAGAAAAGCATGGTAGGATCACCCAGGCAGACACTTCATTGAGGAGGAGCCCTTCCCAAACAGTGCTTCCTCCCAGCCTGGTGCTTTACCTGAGCTGGAGCTCCCAGGGGCGACTGTTTTACCAGAGGGCGCTCCAGCTGTGCCTTCAAGAAAGAAAGAAAAAGATCAACATGAGAACTCTTCAGTGACCTTTAGAAAAATGTGGCCAACAGTAGGAATATTTGTGACTTTGAGGCAAGAAAACACTCTTCCTGAAGTTCTAACTGACATGAGGACAAACATGTTTTCAGGTTTATTGTGTTTCCTTGCAAGGCCAAGGTTAATGCAGTGGGCAATACGCCTGCTGTCATGATGATTATTATTGTGCCAATGTTGAAGGTGCTATGAAAGGCTTTCCCAAGTTTACCTGTCCTACTTCCTGGGGCTCCAGTGGTGGCTCCACATGAAAAGAGATTAGGAGAAGAAGAGGAGGAGGAAAGAAGAAGAAAGAATAAAGAAGATATTAAATTTGTATCTATGAACAGGACACTAATGCTATGCAGACTATGCTCTTTTCAAAGGGAAAACCATTCCAAAGCCAGAGGCACTATTGCAACTCTCCTCTCCAGAGACCTCGAACCCTGCAGTCAGTCTCTTAAAGGAAGAGACTTTGAGAACTTTCAACTCAGCAGTTTACAAATCCAAATCCAAAGAGAAACTCTGTTTCCTTGAAATATTATAGCCTCAAAGGAAACTTAAAACCACACTCCACATTAAAGGGATTCTCTACAATATCTATGATAATTTTCTGTAATTTAAATTTATTTTCAAACTAAAAGCTCATTTAAAAAAATTTCTTCTAAGAAATCCATCAAAACACAACAATGTATATAAATACCCTCAAGGTCTTTACCTGATTTTATTTCTGCTCCAGTGGGGCCACTTCCTCCTAGGGAAGTTGTGGTCTCTTAAAGATGAAAAGAAAACCAAAATTAATTGAGTGTTAAGAAAGAGGGATAAACTAAAGATGTAATGATGTCATTATATGAAATAATCCCAATTCAAAATGTCTTGACACTTTCCATTAAGTCAGAAAATAAGTACTTCTGACTTTAAAAGTAATAAAAAGCATAAATATACAAGATTAATTGTTAAAACTTGGAAATATATCATTTGTGTATTTATCTTCTTAATTGGACCTTGGCATTTCTTAATTGGAATAAGATATATAAATCTCCAATTTAAAAAGTGGACACAGTTAAGGAACTTATAAATGATCAATATGCTCATTGCCATAATTATTTATTGCTTTAAGTATTAGACTTCATGTGTAAAAGTTCTGCTATTGGCTACCACATTGGAACACAGAGTGATAGAAATCAATATTTTTATTCTTGACACATAATGAAAACAGCCTTTGATGGGGTGAGGGAACTCTGGGTTGTTAATGTGTCAACAAGCTCTCTCAGAGGTTTCTAGACCATGAGTTAATCTGTATGTTTTTCATGCACCATTTCTATAGAATATTTAATAAGAAAAATTTTAATAGCTATTATTTCCTTAAAAATCACTGAGAGAAAGAAAGACAAATTCTCTCCCATACACAACTGATTCGCATTGCCTTAGCTCCATGGTGATGTCCCCTTGAAGCAGAGGAAAGGAAGATAAAGGCATTTGAGTGTCCGACCTTTACGTATTAGGTAAAATCTTGCCTATTTAGAATAGCGATTTTTTTTCCCAACAAAAATGCCCTTCACAGGAAGTACAGATGGTAGATGTGATTGAGGCAACTTGACCTACTGGGAAGGAGGTAGTGGACTGTCAGTTCTTACGTGTAGTTGTTGTAACCCCAGTCATTCCACTTGCTCCAGGAGATGCTGTGGCTGCTGGGAGAAGGAGGACAAAATGGAAAAGATTCAGGGGACATGAAATGGAATGGTGGCATTTCTGCATAGAAGCACTGCATAGAAGGAAAGGCATGTTACTGTAGCAACCACCCATGAAAGGACTCCCCACCACACAGTGGACTCACCTGTGCTGAAACTTCCAAGGGCAACCGTTGTGGCAGGAGCTACTGCCGAGGTGCCTGAAAACAAAGAGAGTGAGGTGATCACAGTGAAGGAGTAAGTCAAATGAGGACCCAAATCTAAAAGGGATACGCTCTATTTATGGACGTATTTGCTGTAACAGAAATCTCTTTCTCTGAGCACAAGGAAGGCGGACAACAAGATGTATTTCCTGCTTTTAACAGTTCATAACAAAAAGAGATAGACAATGTTTCCAAGTACAAACACAACAGAAAATCTGACAAAAATGAAACTAGATGCATTTTCCCAATGCTCACCTGCTTGCCTCCCTGATGCTGCAGTGATACCGGCTGTGAGACAGAAAAACTGGGGGGAAAAGGTTTCAATGTGTTGAAACTTCAAATAGAGGAGAAAATACTGGGGAAGTCAATTGTTAGATACACATGTATGCTTGCATGCACCCTGGTTCCATGAGGCTCTTTTCTACTTCACACACATTCACACAGAAAACTTTCTGGTTTCCAGCTCAGATGCTAGTGAGAGTTTTAAGACAATGGAGAAATCCCATCCCATCTTCAACTTGATGAAAGGAAAGAAGGCTCAATTCTAGGACTGGTCATTTTTCTAAATAAATAAATAAATAACAGCAATCCTATTTTGAATTACTTGCAGTGTCTCTAAATGAAACACAAACTCTCTCAAGGAAAGCTTGAGAGTACTAATCCTTTTGAGGCCAAAGTATGGGCTGTTTACTGTCACCAGTTTTGAGTTCAGTTCCAGAAGTACCACTCCCTACAATGGAAGTTGTGGCTTCTGAGGGAAAAAAACACAATAATGAAGTCTGAAAATTTGGAAAACTGGAGGGGATTTGGGTGTTATTTTCTTGCAGCAGTCCTAAAAGAGATACCGTGATATGTGACATTAAATAAGAGGTATTTCCTTCCTGTTAACCTACCTGTGGTGGAACTTTCAGATATAATGGTTGTTCCAGATAATCCTCCAGTGGCACCTAAAATCCATAAAAGGAAAATGGAACTGTAGAGTATTTTCTCCCCAGCTAAGTAAGCTTGGAAGCATCAATGTGGCCCTCAAGTACTGGAAGCCCATTCCCAAGGACACTATGTATATAGAATCAAAGATGGACAGCTGCTTAGCTCTGGGTCTTCCAGGCCAACATGGGATAGATGTGTGGCTACTGTGTTTCCCTTTCACTACAAGGGAAGGGGAGTGCAGGGCTTTAGATCACCCTGACCTGTTTCCCTTTCAGAGACGTAGCCCCCTGCTGTGACAGAAGTGCCTACAGGAGAAATAAAGCATGGTTTTATCTTTATAAGTAGAAGATTTGATACAACTTGGAGGCATTTTAATAATCAGTTGACTTCATGAAGCTTCCTAGTGAGGGGATACAGGAAATAAGCATTGTATATGAGAAAAATGATAGAAAATGTCAAGCTGAATAAAACGGAATGAGATCATGTCCTTTGCAGGGACATGGATGGAGCTGGAGGCCATCATCCTCAGCAAACTAACACAGGAACAGAAAACCAAACACTGCATGTTCTTGAGCAATGAGATCACATGGACACAGGGAGGGGAACGTCATACACTGGGGCCTGTCAGGGGTGGAGAGGGTATGGGAGGCAACTTAGAGGACGGGTCAATAGGTGCAGCAAACCACCATGGCACATGTATACCTATGTAACAAACCCGCACATATCTTGGCACTTAAAGTAAGATGAAAAGGAAAGAAGAAAAGAAAATGTCAAGCTGTGGGTGGAAAGGTAAACCAGCTAAGGAAGACCGGAAGTCCTGGAGGGTTGGAATACGTGCAATGTACTTCCAATCCTCCTATCAAACAAAAATGTCTCCCTACGCCAGGATACTAAAGATAGTTTGCCTAAGACATCTGAGGTCATGGAATTTATAAACAGAGTAACTTCCTAGACTGTTAATGACATAATATGGCCTCAGAGAATTCTGACTCCTCCTCAAATGCTTTCATATTATTTGTTCACTGCAGCCACCAAGACTGAGAGATGACGAGAGCCCCAAGCCTCCGCCTGAAAAGCTTACCTCCAGGTGGTCCTGCTAGGGTGGTCCCGCTGCCTCTTGGAAAAGTTGTGGCCTCTGAGAGAGAAAGGAATTGGAGGGAAGATTTAACAGCATTTGTAGTAACCTGGATGAGACTAGAGACTATTATTCTAAGTGAAGTAACCCAGGAATGAGAAAAGAAACATTGTATGTTCTCAGTGATATGAGGGAGCTAAGCTATGAGGATGCAAAGGCATAAGAATGATACAATGGACTTTGGAGACTTGGGGGGATTAGAGGGAAGGGGTTGAGGGATAAAAGACTACAGATATGGTGCAGTGTATACCGCTCAGGTGACGGGTGCACCAAAGTCTCACAAATCACCACTAAACAACTTACATCACCAAATACCACCTGTACCCCAATAACTTATGGAAAAATAATAATTTTTTTAATAAAAGACTACACAGGACATTATGAGTCTCCCATAACCTGTATTACCCAAGAGGCTACGTTCCTGACCTGTGTGGGCACTTCCAGGTTCCAGAGTTTTCCCAGAGATGCTCTCAGTAATACCTGAAATAAGGATTGTAATCAGTTGGTCAATTTATGGTCCTTAATTTAATGGGCATGGGCACTTAATAATAAAACAGATGAAATGTTTGCTTCTTTAATACACCAGGAAATTAATTTTTCTGGACTTTGGTTTTGTGAGTGAATCCACACTTTGCCCACGGAACATATCATTCCCTGAGCAAGTTTACTGTGATTTGTTCTCAGAGAAAGTCCTCCACCACTAGTCCCGTTCTTAGGGTTTAATGATAGCAATGTACACTTGGGCCCAAATCATCTATAAACCTGTCAGGGAATGGATCTCATGATGCTCTGATGAAGGATCCTTAGACCCACGGTGCAAGACATGAGGAGGAAAAGTTGAAAGGCCTGTACGGTATTTACTGATGTAAAATATTGGACGTCTGTTAGATTTTCCTTAATATGCCAAATCTGGGAAATGCAAAAAGTGTTTACATATTTCAGACCAGATTCTTGGGAACTTTTTAGGAATAGTCAGTACCTTAACAGAACTCACCTTTGATTATTTCAACTTTTGTTGTTTCTCTTTCTCCTACAGAAGTTGTGGCCTCTGAGAAAGAGGAAAACAGGACAGGAGTGATGAACGATATTTCAAGACTGTGGAAAACTTAAAATAGCTCCATACCCAGGATAACACTGGAGGAGAATTTATCATAGATGGACTCCTGGAGGAATCTGCCACCTCAGTGACTCACCTGTGTTGGAACTGCCAGGTGCAACAGTCATGCCAGGAGCTACCCCAGTGGTGGCTGAAACAAAAAGGGTCTGAGATCATCACAGTGACTCGTGTTTGTTTTCTGAAGACCTGCCTCCGGAAGGAATCTGGGTGTATCTTTGTTATATCAAAGAGCCCTTTCACTGCTTCCTGATGAACTGAGAATCATGCCTTTGCTATGGCCTATATCACTAACAAAGCAAGAGGAATGGTAATGTGCCCAAATTGAGGACCCTCCACTGAATTCCATACATTCACCCCTAGACAAGGAAACAGGGTGGCTTTCCCTCTTCTTCACCTGTCAGGCTCCCAGTTGCTTGGCCTCCTGATGCTGGAGTGGTACCTACTGTGGAATGAAAACCAGAAATATGTTTTAATGTGCCAATAACACTGGAAAATATTTAATATCATTATTGTTTTTTTGAGTGAGAAAACCTTGATATAGAATACGCCTGCTTGCAGGATTAATATAAATTTCTTTCCAGAAATACAGTATTTTTCAGCTCCCCCTACACCACAGTGGTATATATGACTTTGCAGGAGAAATCTCTTAAGCTGACTGCACCACCAGCCCATCATTAGAAACTTACAGCTATGGGGCTAGATGTTGGTATGGGGCTAGTTTTCCAAAATATATTCAGTGTAAGAAAATACTGGAAGTAAATGCAAACCGCTACCCAGGAAAACACACTCCCAACAAGTGAGCCTACGGAGAGTCATAATTTACAGTAAACCCTAAGTCGTGCTCTGCTCATTCTCACCTGGGCTGGATCCAGACGGAGGAATGCTGCGGCCTTCTGTTGAAGTTGTGGCCTCTGATGGAGAAAGTGTTGAATGGTGAGGTCAGAATTTGAAATATTGAGAAAAGAATGAGGTTACTATTTCATCAAAGCAGCTCTAATAACTAAGACGTTAAACATGGAGATTTCCTCATTATCCTACCTGTGTGGGAAGTTGTAGATATAGCAGCTGTCCCAGAGAATTCAGTAACTAAAACAAGAAAAAGAAAGGAATCAACATGATATTACCTCCTAAATCTGTTGTGGAAGTAGCCATGTGGCTTTAACCCACTGAAAGAACTTTCCTGAAAGCCTCGGTTTTGTAAGGAAATGAACCGTAAGTGACTACTCCTTCATGTCCTGGCCCACCTATCCATCATTCCTATCCACCACTGTTACTCCTGGGGTTCCCTCTCCATAGAGCACAATGGATGTGGATAGGAACCTTATCTCCTCCTCACCTGTTTCATTTTCAGATGCTGAGCTCTCTGGTATGACAGAGGTGCCTTTAAGAGAAAAAGAGCCGATGGCAGATTCACCTTTCTGAATTTTACTCATCAATTACCTGAGGCATTTTGATACTGAGAATTTGAAAATAGAACTCGTTAAAGAATCCTTGCATTTGAGAACTGTATTTAGTCCTTCCTACCTGGCCTGGAGCTCTGTGAACTACTGCTGAAGCCAGGTGAAACCACAGTTGGACCTGTTAAAGCAAGTGGAGTGAAAAAAATCTTCAAATAATACATTTCACCTTTCAACTAAGCTTTATTAAATATCTCTTCCATGTAATACTGTTTTAGGCCCTTGGGATGTATCAGTGAGCAAAATGTTGAAAGATTTCTCTCCCAATGCACCTTACATTCTAGTAGCTGGAAACCAGCAATGACAGTAAACGTAATAAATAAGTCAGTGTAAAAGATGTTAGTAAACACTCTGGGAAAAAGGCAAATTGTATTTAGGATCAGGGACCCTGATCAGCCGGGTGTATCCAACAGCTTGCCTTCATCCCTGCTACATAATAGCTAGCTCTCCAAGTCTGGGCTCCTGGAAATCCAGAGGGATAAGTCAGGTGAGGCCAGGGAATTCCTGGGCACATCCAGGTTTTTGATCCTGGTATGCTGTGTTTCCAGGAGAAATGCAGGCTCCATTCCTCTGCCCACTTTCACACCCATGTCTTTACTGCAGAGAACAGGGATTTGGTACAAGCCCTAAGGCCTCAGAGTAAAATGCTCACCTCCTGGATGTTCTGCTTGGCTGGTGTCACTTCCTACTGTGGAAGTTGTGGCCCCTGAGAGAGAGAAAGAAAAGAAAGGAAGGAGTGGTTTGGAAGAGTATACATGGTGCTGCGGGTAGAGTACGTCAACCAAGGTGCCCATATCCAGATTTTGCAAGTATTTTCGGACATGTGTGTCTTGTAACTTCCAGGTTTCAGTGTTTTTCCAGAGACTACACTAGTAATATCTACAATAAGAAAGAGATGGTGTCACTAGTTCAACTGTTTGTCCACTGATTTGAATAGGAATTTCAAATCCACACTTGGAAGTAAACTATCACGCTGAGACTCGCAGTGCTAGAAGTAATTTATATTTGTCCCATGCAACATTTTTTTCCACAGAAATTTTACTGAGACAGTTTTTAACCATCATATCCTTCTTTTTGGTGGGGAAATTGGAATTTTTCTCCCCATATTACCTATTTATCTGTCATGATTCAATGTTATGATGGTTTAATGAAAGCCCTTGTAAGTTCAGGAAATGAGGCAATATAATGAGTGTCTAGTCTTTTTCTCTGAATTTCCACAATATAGCATATACAAATCTATAGGTATTTTCAGAATAATATTGAAGGTCTCATTAGGAATTAAAGGTCTTAGGTTAGCATCACTCACCTGTGGCTCTTCCAACACTTGTTGTTCCACTTACTCCTGGGAACGAGGTGGCCTCTGAAGGAGATAAAGAGATGAGAGTTACCTAAAGAATATTTAAGGATCACAGAGAAGATATGGCAGCACTTCTACAAGGGATAATACAAAGGAGACATCTAAATTATGGGAGGGCACGTGGAAGATTTCATGTCAACCTGTTGACTTACCTGTCTTGGAACTGCCAGGGGCAACAGTTGTGCCAGGAGCTACCCCAGTGGTGGCTGAAACACAAGGGGAACTGGCATCACCACAGTGACTCTCGGTTGTCTCCTGAAGACCTGACTCTAGAAGGAATCTGTTTACATCTTACAGATGTCAAAGGTCACTTTCTCTGGCTGCCACTCTGATGTGTTTTCTCATTAATTAATAAACTATCAAAGCAATCAAAGGGGCCAAACTTAGGGCACTACATTTGGCATCCCATGACAGCAAGACAGATGGTTTTCTCCCATGCTTACCTATTTCACTGCCAGGAGTAGATGAAAAAAAATCTTTGTTTTATGATAATTGTATCTATTTTTAATTATATTTTTAGTTGACACATAATTTTACATATTTATAGTGTGGGGTTTTGATTATACACAAACACACATAGACATGTATATATATATATACACACACACACACACACACACACACACACACACACACACACATACACACAGTGTAATAGTCAAGTCATGGTGTTTAACGTAACCATAACCTCTGACATTTATTATAGCTTTGCAGTAAGAAAATTACAATCCTCTTGATATAGTTTGGCTGTGTCCCCACCCAAATCTCATCTTGAAATATAGCTCCCACAATTTGCATGTGTCACGGGAGAGACCCGGTGGAAGATAGTTGAATCATGGGGCTGGGTCTTTCCCCTGCTGTTTTTCTGATAGTGAATAAGTCTCACAAGATCGGATGGTTTTATAAAGGGGAATTTCCCTGCACAAGTTCTCTCTTGCCTGTTGCCATGTAAGACATGCCTTTCTCCTTCCACCATGATTGTTAGGCCTGCATAGCCATGTGGAACTCTGAGTCCATTAGACCTCTTTTTCTTTATTAACTATGCAGTCTTGGGTATGTCTTTATCAGCAGCATGAAAATGGACTAACACACCTCTCTTCAAAGTATTTTCAAATACATACTATAATATTGCTTACTATAGGCACACCACTGCACTATAGACCACCAGAATTAATGCCCGCTATCTAATTGTGATTTCATACCCATTGACTTACTACTAATTATTTCTATCACTTTGGGGTAAGAAAATATTTATGTAGGCATGATTCCAAGAGTCATATATCTCTACTTCCCAGGATTAAAACTGTTTTAGTTCTTACTACTATGCAGAAAATGTTTCTATCTTATATTATGGGGAATTTCTCAAAACAATTACATTTCATTTACATCCCAACTAGAAGAGTCAACTCATTTGAAAAGTGTGTATTAAAAGGTTAAGGGAAATATTAAAAGATATATTTGGCCTCAGATAGATTGTCCCTAGATAAATTACTTAATATTCTGTAGGAAAGCCTACTTACTCACAAGTCATCCCAAATGGTACCCCCCCCAAATCATGAGCTGCCCTCCTCACCTGTTCTGGATTCACTTCTAGTACTGCTTCTGTCTCCTGTGAGAGTTGTGGCCTCTGAGGAAATAAAGAGCAGAATCAAGAGGTCTAGGAAATTTGAGATACTGGTAAAAAGTATTGAGTTGCTATTTTATCACTGAATTTCTATAAAGTTATCATGGATGCAAGATGAGGATGTCCATCAGATTGAACTACCTGTGTTGGAACCTCCCAATGAAATGGTTATCCCAGAGATTTACCAGAAGTCCCTAAAATGAGAGAATATAGGAGCTAATAGAGCAAGCAGGACTGGAATCAGCAATGTGGTCCTGAACCACTGGAAGACCCTTCTTAAAAACTTATTTCAGAAAATATAAACGATGAATAAATTTTTGCCAACTTATTAACTAATGTTTTATACTGACTATTCCTTCCCCTGTACTCTACTGAAAAGGAAAGCTTAACTCCACTTTCTGATTTTACTTCAAATGTTGTGATTTCCTTGTGTTATCAGGAAGGATAAAAAGACTTGAACATTCTAAATGTTCTCATATCAGAGTTGCAGATATTGTGCTTATCAGATGCTGAGTAATGCCCTTCTATAGGATATTTATATCTTCCCCTGCTGATTTTAAGTAGTTCTTGCCTGGGTACCTGTGAACTGCTGCTGACACCAAATTAAACCATAGTGGTAGCTGTTAAAGTAAACACAGTGATGCTCTGCATAATGATATGCCTGTTACCCATCTCATATTATGGAAGCATTTCCTTTGTGCTTGACATAGAGGAAAAGAACAGATAAAGGTCTCTGCCTCATGTGATTTACATTTGTGAAAGAGAGAACACAGGAAATAAACAAGATGTGTAAGAAATATGTTCAAGAGGTGGCAGCAGGTGATAGTGCTTTGCAGAATCATTATGAGCAGAGTGGGGAGAATCAGGGTCCTGGGGAGGCTGCTGCAGGTCAGTGGGCCTCAGCCAGGTGTCCAGAGAACTAACACTTTCACACAGGACATGGAGCAATGCCTGACCTAGGTAGCCCAGTGTGTGAAATTCCTTAGCAGAAACACTCAGGATAGTCAGAATACATGTTGTCCTTCCAGACAAGAAGTAACCCCTTATGTTGACCCTGATTCTCATCTATGTGTTATCCTGAGCACAATACAGCAATGATGAGAACTCTGAAGCCTGGGACTGATGAAGCTTACCTGCTGGAGCTTCTGACCCTGTGGTGCTGACTCCTCTTGTGGAACGTGTGGCCTCTGAGAGAAAAGAAAGCAAAGATAAAGTCTGCAGTATTGTAAGGTACAGGGTTTTGTAACCCTAGGAAACTGTCACCTGAGCAGCCAAAGTGTAGCATTCCCTGTGTGCTTTTGGACTTGCCTGTGTTGTCATTCCCAGGTTCAAGAGTCTTTCCAGAGAATGCTCCAGTGGTAGCTATTAAGAAAGTGATGGGTAGTCATGGGTTAGCACCTTGTCATCATCAAGTGGGCAGAGAATAACATGCTAATAAATGGCTAAATCTGTATACTTATTCAATATCACAAGGAACTTGGCTTTAAATCCCAAGAGGTCAACTATATACTCCTCATATAATATCCTTCTCACGGTATATTATCAAAGGAATGTAACTTATTAGGTCTCCATTTCTCTAGCATTCATGAACTGGGTCCTAGTAGCTATCACTCTCGATTCTCTATGTAACTGTCCAATGGCTACATGATTACCTTGGGGACTAGCAGAAGGGTCTGCATAAAGTGTATAAAGAAATTAATTTTGAGTTTATGATTTGCTATTACTGATTTGTTGCTTTTGAATTTCTGATTTGTTACTATTTTCAATAGCAAAACCACAATTACTTTTGCACAAATTTGATATAATTAATGAATGAAAGTAAGATTTTACCTAACAATGTTCAATGTTGCAGAAATGTGTGTCATGGATACATTTCAAGCAATGACATCTACTGGTTATTAAAAACTGAGTCCAATGACCCAGAAATGCTCACCGCTGGTTGTTCCACCTCTTGTTGTTGCACTTTCACCTAGAGAAGCTGTGGCCCCTGAGAAACACAAAAAAAGAAAAGGCATATTAGGAAATATTCAAGGACTAAAGAACATGATGCAATTTCTTGAAAGAACAGCACCAGACGAAACATTGGACATAGAGGAACTCTGAAGGGAGGAACTCTGAAGTTCCGGCAACCTGCAGACTCACCTGTGTTGGAACTGCCAGGGGCAAGAGTCATGCCAGGAGCTGCCCTCGTAGTGGCTGAAACACGATGAAGAGTGGGATCATCATGCTGACCAACGTTTTCCTTTCCTATAGGCCTGCCTCTAAAAACTATCTAAACCTATCTTAGTAATTTATAAATGGTGCTTTCCATGATTCTTCCTGGGGTCATGCCCTGTGTATTTTCTCAGTATGCACTTTCCTAGCAAAACAATCAGAAGGTACTATTCCTCATTCTGAGACAATATTTCTGGTCTTCCATCAGGGGACAGGTGGTATTCCCCATGTTTACCATTTTAATTCCAAAATGTGGAAGACAAAACAATCTTCCTGGGACTCTTATGCATCAAGAATATACTAAACATTTCTGTTGCTTCTGAGGCATGAAAACCATGATTTCGGTAAGTTTCTGAGGCTCATTTCAGTTACCTCTTCTTCTCCAGATCAAAACTGTTTATAGTTCCTAGTAATACCCTGGCAACACTTCCATGTAACCTCACAGGAGAAACTTCTCAGAACAAATACAATGGAAATCTCATTTTAAAAGAGGCTATTGGTAAAGGTTTATAAATGTAAAATCTAAAGAAAATTCTATGGGTCCTAAGACTCATTATCCCTAAACATGTGCATAATATTCTGCAGAAAAGTCCACTCCCAAACAGGACATCCTAATGAGAGTCAAGATTTGTGGTAACATGTGAATTATGGGCCACTCACCTTCACCTGCTCTGGATTCAGTTCCAGTACTGCCCCTACCTCCTGTGAGAGTTGTGGCTTCTGTGAAAGTAAAGAATAGAATCAAGACTTCTGAGAGACATTGGTAAAAAGCATTGTGCTGCTCATTCATGACTGCAGCTCTACAAAGTCATCATACTTTCAAGATGAGGATTTCCTTCCCATTCAACTACCTGTATGGGAACCTCCAGATGTAAGTGTTATCCCTGGGAATTCACCAGTAGTACCTACAATGAGAAGGTAAAGGAGCTAATAGTACAAACAACACTGGAAACAGCAAAGCTGTCTTCAAACATTGAAAGACCTTTCCTCAGAATCTGTGTTTCTGAAGGAAATGAACCATGAATGCTTTTCCTTGCAATGTATAGACTATTGTTTTGCTACTATTTCTTCCATCACAGCCTACTTAAAAAGAAGGAAGTTCAATCTCACTTTACAGATTTTACATTTAATGACTTGGCTCCCTGAGTAAGAAAAAGTCTTGAACATTCTAAGTGTTCACTTTTGTGAAACAGGTGATATTGTGATTATCATGTTTTTAAGAATAAACACATAGGAGATGTTTATAGCTTCCTGTTGTGTTTGTATGTAGCCTATGCCAGCTGGCATGGGATCCTATGAACTGCTGCTGACTCCAAGGAAAATTATGTAGGTAGCCATTGAAGTAACCAGAGTGACATTCTACATAAGAATATGCCTGACACTCATCTCATATTCTGGAAGCATTTCCACTGTGCCTGACAGTCTTCTGTCAGTCAGAAGAAGACACGAAGTCTCTGCCTCATGTGATTTACATTTGTGGGAGAGGGAGCACAGGAAATAAACAAGTATAATAAATGCGTTTGAAAGATGGCAGCAGGTGATAGTACTTCGCAGAATCATAAAGAGCTGAGTGGGGAGAATCAGCGTTCCAGGAAGGCTGTTGCAGGTCAGTGGACCTCAGCCAGGTATCCAAAGAAGTAACACTGTCACACGGGCCATGGAGCAATGCCTGACTTAGATGACCCAGTTTCTGAAATTCCATAGCATAACTAATCAGGATGGTCAGAATATATGCTGTGCCTCCAGACAAGAAGTAACTCCTTTTCCTTGGTCCCCTTTCTCATGTATGTATTCACCTCAGCACAACAGGGCAATCAGAAGAACTCGAAAACCTGGGAGTGGTGAAACTTACCTCTTGGAGCTTCCAACCCTGTGTTGCTGACCCCTCCTGTGGAACTTGTGGCCTCTGAGAGAAAGAAAACAAGGATGAAGTCTGCGGTTTGGGAAGCACAGGGTTATGTAACCCTAGGAAACTGTCACCTGAGCAGCCAAAGTGCAGCATTCCCTGTGTGCTTTTGGACTTGCCTGTGTTGTCACTGCCAGGTTCCAGAGTCTTTCCCGAGAATGCCCCAATGGTAACTATTAAGAAAGAGATGAGTAGTCACAGTTCAATATCTCATTACCATAAAGTGAGAAAACAGTATAAAGCAATTAAGTAGACACAGTCTTTGTACTTATTTATTATTCCAGTAAACTGGGATTTTTTTTTTTTTTTTTTTTTTTTTTGAGACAGAGTCTCACTCTTACCCAGGCTGGAGCATAGTGGTGCAATTTTAGCTCACTGCAACCTCCACCTCCTGGGCTCACGCCATCCTCCAGCCTTAGCCTCCTGAGTAGCTGGGACTACAAGTGCATGCCACCACACCCAGCTAATTTTCTGTACTATTATTATTATTTGTAGAGATGGTGTTTTGCCATATTGCCCAGGCTGGTCTCCATCTTGACTTAAGTGCTCCTCCCATCTCGGCCTCCCAAAGTTCTGCTATTACAGGCATGAGCCACCATGGCTGGCCATAAACTGAGTTTTTATGCCTAATAGTGATCTGCATATTCTTCATACAATACACATGTGTCAGTATATTTACCAAGTAATTTTTTACTTATTGGGTTTTCTTTCTTCTAGAGTTCAAGACTGGGGAGATAGAAGCTACTCTCTAGACCATCTAAATTAGTGTCAGTGGAACAGCTGCAAGATTGCCTTGGGGGTTATGAGGACAGTCTGTTCCAAGCTCAGAGCTCCAAGTTTTGTTCTTATTTCCATGGTTTGAAATAAGAAAAAACTTTGAGAATCTGAAAGCTTAGTCAATGAATAATGGTAAGATTATATCTAATATTCCTCAGTATTGGATAAATGATTAGCATGGATATATTTCAGTCTGTTATTCTTTGGGGATATTAATGGCAGGTGAATGCAATGCTCACCTGTGGCTAATCCTCCTCTTGTGGTCCCACTTCCTCCAGTGTATGCTGTGGTCTCTGAAAGAGAGAAAAACAGAAAGGACATATTTGGAAAATATTGAAGGGCCATGAAACAGATATGATATTACTCATGGATAGAATTGTACCAAATGAGATGTCTAATTATGTAAAGATCCCTGAAGAGTTCCCTGACAATCTATACACTCACTTGTATTAGAACTTCCAGGGGAAAGAATTGTGCCAGGAGCTATCCCAGTGGTAGAAGAAACATCAAGAGTACTGTGGTCCTTACAGTGCTTATGTTTTCTCCCAAAAATCTGGCTCTAGAAAGAATCTAAATGTATCATCATTATATCCAAATAACTCTTTTTCTGGTTCTTTCCTGATGATCAGCCACATGTATTTTCTCATTAACAATTTTATGACCAAATAGAAAGATTAATCAATTTCTCAACATGTAGCAATATTCTTGGAATTCAATTAGAGGAAGATTGGTGGTTTTCTCCCAGATTCATTTATTTTACTTTAAAAAAATAAGTTTAATGGGTGCTTTAGACATTAAAAAACTAAAAATTATTTGTATTGTTTTAGGGCCATAGAAACCTTTACTAGGAATGATTTCAAGGTTAATTTACCTTGTCTCTACCTCCCAAGAACAAAATTGTTTTAAGCTCATTCTAAAACTCTGGCAACGTTTGTAAACTTACAGGAGAAATTTATCAAGACAAATTCAAGAGGGAAATTCAAAAGACACTACTGGTAATTTAAAAAAAATTAAATCTAAAAAAAATTTCTTTGACCTTAGACTCACTGTCCTTTAAAAAAAAATGCACAAAGTGGTTTTGATTTGCATTTCTCTAATGACCAGTGATGATGAGCACTTTTTCATAGGTTTGTTGGCTGCATAAATGTCTTTTGAAAAGTACCTGTTCATATCCTTTGCCCACTTTTTGAGGGGGTTCTTTGTTTTTTTCTTGTAAATTTGTTTTAGTTCTTTGTAGATTCTGGGTACTAGCCCTTTGTCACGTGGGTAGCTTGCAAAACTTTTTTCCCATTCTGTTGGTTGCCAGTTCACTCTAACGATTGTTTCTTTTGCTGTGCAGAAGCTCTTAAGTTTAATTAGATCCCATTTGTCTATGTTGGCTTCTGTTACCATTGCTTTTGGTGTTTTAGTCATTAAGTCCTTGCCTATGCCTATGCCCTTAATGGTATTGCCTGTTTTCTTCTAGGGTTTTTATGGTGTTGAGATACCATCTCATGCCATTTAGAATGGTGATCATTAAAAAATCTGGAGACAACAGATGCTGGAGAGGATATGGAGAAATAGGAATGTTTTTACATTGTTGGTGGGAGTGTAAACTAGTTCAACCATTGTGGAAGACAATGGTGATTCCTCAAGGATCTAGAAATAGAAATACCATTTGATCCAGCAATCCCATTACTGTGTAAATACCCAAAGGATTATAAATTATACTATTATAAAGACACATGCACATATATGATCATTGTGGCACTGTTTACAATAGTAAAGATTTGGAACCACCCCAAATGCCCATAAAGGATAAGGAAAATGTGGCACACATACACCATGGAATACTATGCAGCCATAAAAAAAGGATGAGTTCATGTCCTTTGCAGGGGCATGGATGAATCTGGAAACCATCATTCTTAGCAAACTGACAAAAGAACAGAAAACCAAACACCACATGTTCTTACTCATAAATGGGTGTTGAACAATGAAAACACATGGACACTGGGAGGGGAACATCACACACTGAGGTCTGTTGGGAGGTGAGGGGCTAGGGGAGCAATAGCAGGAGGTGGGGAGGTTGGGGAAGGTTAACATTAGGAGAAATACCTAAAGTAGGTGATGGGGGGTTGAAGGAAGCAAACCACCATGGCATGTGTATACCTGTGTAACAATCCTGCAAGATCTGCCCAAGTACTCCAGAACTTAAAGTATAATAAAAAAAAAATACACAATGTTCTGTAGGAAAGTTCACTTCTAAACAAGTCATAATAATGAACATCAGGATTCACATTAACTCCCAAATCATGGGCTGCTCCTCACCTGCTCTGGATTCAGTTCCAATACTGCCCCTGCCTCCTTTCAGAGTTGTAGCCTCTGTGGGAAAAAGAAAATCAAGAGGTCTAAGGGATTGAAGATCCTGAGAAAAAGCTATTCTATGATTGCAGCTCTAAAACTTTATCAGGCATTCAAGATGAAGATTTCCTTCTTATTGAACTACCTGTGTGGGTATCTCCATATGTACGGGTTGTTCCTGGGAATTCACCAGAAGTACCTAAAATGAGAAGAGTAAAAGTGCTAATAGAGCAAAGAATGCTAAAACAAGTGATAAGATCCTGAACCTCTAGAGACCTTTCCTGAGGACATCTGTTTTGGAAGGAAATGAACCGTGAGTGATTACCACTTTATTTCTTTGGCCCTCAGTTGAACACTGTTGCTTCTGGGATTCCCTTTCCATAGATCACAGTGAATGTGAAAGGAGAACTTATCTCCCCGTCACCTGTTTAACTTCCAAATGAGTTCCCTGATGTGATGTGTTAAGAAGAAAAAAGCAGACTACCTTTCATCTTTATAAATATTCCTCATCAATTACTCTTTTTTAAACATGTGAATATTTTGATATTCTATGACTGTAGCTCTAAAACTTTATCAGGCATTCAAGATGAAGATTTCCTTCATCTTGAATTTCCTTCAATATTTTGATATTCACATGTTTAAAAAAGAACTCCCTAACTCTAATATTCCCATGTGATGACTTTATTTAATCTATTCTACCTGGCTTGGAATTCTGACTTCAGGTGAAACTATAGTTGTACCTAATAAAGTAAATAGAATGAAGAGCTTCAAAATAATTATTTCATCATTCCACTAATATTTATTAAGCATCTCTTCTGTGTAATATTGTTTTAGGGCCTTGGGATGTATCAGTGAGCAAAATGTTCAAAGATCTCTCTCCTAAGGCACCTTACAGTCTAGCAGCTGGAGCCCAGCAATGAACAATAAATGTAATAAACAAGTCAGTGTGAAGGATGTGAGTCAGTGCTTTGGGAAAAAGGCAAGTTGTATAAAAGGATCAGGAACCCTGATTGGCTGGGGGTATCCAGCAGCTTTCCCTCATCCCTGCTACATAACAACTAGCTCTGCCAGCCTAGGCACCTAAAAAACCAGAGGGATGAGTCAGGTGAGGCCAAGGAATTCCTAGGCACACCCAGGTTTGTGATCCTGGCATGTGGTGTTCCCAGATGAAATGAGGGTCCCATTCCTTGGCCCACCTTCATATCAATGTCTTCACTGCAGAGAACTAGGATTGGATAAAAGCCTCCCAAGGCCTTGGAGTAAAAAGCTCACCTCCTGGATGTTCTGCTTGGCTGGTGACACTCCCTACTATGGAAGTTGTGGCCCCTGAGAGAGAGAGAAAAGAAAGGAAGGAATAAAGACTAGTTTTTGAGAGAGTACACACTGTGCTGTGGGCAGAGTATGTCAACCAAAGTGCCCATGTCCAGATTTTACGTGTATTTTCAGACTTGCCTGTCTTGTAACTTCCAGGTTTCAGTGTTTTTCCAGAGACTACAATAGTAATACCCACAATAAGAAAGAGATGGTGTCACTAGCTGAACTCTTTTTCCACTTGGTTTCTATAGGAATCTCCAGTTCCCCCTTAAAAGCAAACTATTACCCTCAGACTCACAGTGCTAGTAGTAGTTCATATTTGTCCCATACAACATTTCTTTCCACAGCAGTATTACTGAGACAGTTCTTAACTATTATGTCCTTCTCTTTGGGGGGAAGAGAAGAATTTTCTCCCATATTACTTATTTATCTGTCATTGGTTTGACGTCACAATGGTTTAGTGAAGGCCGTTGTAAGCTCAGGAAATAAGGAGACTGTCTAGCCTTTTCCTCTGAATTTTCTCAATATAGTATATATAAATCAGGTAGATATTTTCAGAAGACTATTTGAAGTTGTCATTAGGAATTACAGGTCTTAGCCTAGCATCACTCACCCGTGGCTCTTCCAACACTTGCTGTTTCACTTACTCCCAGGAAAGTGGTGGCTTCTAAGGGAGACAAAGATGTAAGAGTTACCAGAGAATATTTAAGAATTGTGGAGAAGATATGGTGCTACTCGTGCAGAAAATTAATACAAAGTAGGCCAGGCACAAGGACTCATGCCTATAATCCCAGCACTTTGGGAGGCCAAGGCAGGCAAATCACAAGGTCAGGAGTTTGAGACTAGCCTGGTCAACATGGTGAAACCCCATCTCTCCTAAAAATAGAAAAAATTAGCTGGGTATAGTGATAGGCACCTGTAATCCCAGCTACTCAAGAAGCTGAAGCAGGAGAATCACTTGAACCCGGGAGGCAGAGGTTACAGTGAGCTGAGATCGTGCCACTGCACTCCAGCAACAGAGTGAGAGTCCATCTCAATAAATAAGTAAAGAATACAAAGGAGACATCTAAATTATGGGAGGCCACGTGGAAGATTTCATTTCAACCTGTTGACTTACCTGTCTTGGAACTGCCAGGGGCAACAGTTGTGCCAGGAGCTACCCTAGTGGTGGCTGAAACACAAGAGAAACTGACATCACCACAGTGACTCTAGTTGGTCTCCTGAAGGCCTGGCTCCAGAAATAATCTTCTTACATCTTTAAGATGTCAAAGGCCACTTTCTCTGGCTGCCCCTCTGATGTGTTTTTCCATTAATTAATAAACTACCAAAGCAATCAAAGGGGCCAAACCTGGGGATTACACCTGACCAACAGAGCGAGACAGGTGGGTTTCTCCCATACTTAACTGTTTCACTGCCAGAGGTAGAAGACAAAAATTTATTTATTTCATTACCATTTAATCCATTTTTGCTTTTCTTTTTAAATTTCATGTAATAATTGTACATATTTCTGGGTTGTATGGGAGGTTTTGATATACGTATATACTGTATAATAAGGAAGTCATGATATTTACCTTATCCATGATCTCAAACACTTATCATTTCTTTGTGGGCAGAATATTCAGAATCTCCTTGTCAAGGACATTTGAACATACACCATAACACTGTTTACCATAGGTATCTCACTGCTACAAAACACCAAAACTAATTACTCCTATCTGTGATTTTGCCCCATTGATCTAATACTAATTATTTCTCTTGCTTTGGGGGCAAGGAAACATCTATGCAGATGTGTTTTTAAAGTTCATTTATAATATCTCTACTTCCTGGGATCAAAACTATTTTTAACTTCTATAGCACTGGAAATATTTATATGTAATGTTATAGGGAAATCCCTCAAAACAATTATATCCCATTTACACATCATCTAGAAGAGTCAATCTATTAGAAAAGAGGATTTTAGGAGATTTGAAGGGAAATACTAAGTTAAAAAATATATCTGGCCTTTAATAAATTGTCTGTAAATCCTTATTTAATATTTTGTAGGAAAGCCTAGTCCTAAGCAAGTCATTCTAATGAGAGTCATGATCATGATTCACAGTAACTCCCAAATTATGGGTTGCTCTTCCTCACCTGTTCTGAATTTACTGTCAGTAGTGCCCCTGCCTCCTGTTAGAGTTGTGGCTTCTGAGGAAAGAAAGAGGAAAATCATGAGATCTAGGGAATTGGGGATATGAGTAAAAAATGTTGAGGCACTATTTTATGATTGCAGCTCTACAGAGGTATCATGCACACAAAAGGAATATTTCCTTCTCACTGAACTACCTGTGTGGGAACCTCCAGATGAAATGGTTGTCTGAAAGAATTTACCAGAAGTACCTAAAACAAGAACGTGAAGAGCTAATAGAGCGAGCAGTACTGGAATCAGCACTGTGGTCCTGAACCACTGGAAGACTTTTCTTGACAACTTCTGTTTTAGAAAAAAATACACACCATCAATCATTTTTTTGCCAGCTTGTTGTTTAATGTTCACATACTGACTATTCCCTCCACTGTAACATACAAAAAAAGCACAGAAGGATGCTTCATTTCACTTTACTGATTTCACCTACAGTGATTCCCTGCCAGTTCCAGTGGCTCCCTGCCACTCCAGAGGAGAAAAGAAGGAAACGTTTTGATTTTCCAACATTCTTATTTGTGTAACTGGTGATAGTGTGACAATAAGGTTTTAAGAATACACTCATGTCAGACGTTTTTACATTTCCCTGGTGTTTTAAGAAGCCTACCCCAACTGCCTTCAGACCTGATAAACTGCTGCTGACACCAGGTGAAACCATGAAGTAAACAGTGACACTCTACATAAGAATATGCCTGTCATTCATCTCATATTTTGTAAGCCTTTCCTCTGTGTCTGACATCATCCTCTCAGTGAAAAGAACAGATGAAGTTTCTGCCTTGTGAAATTTGTGTTTGTGAGAGAAGAAATAGAAAATAAACAAGAAGTCTAATAAACATATTCCAGAGATGGCAGCAGGTGATAGTACTTTGCAGAATTATGAGCAGAGTGGGGAGAATCATGGTTTCAGGAAAACTGCTGCAGGTCAGTAGGCCTCAGTCAGGTGTCCAGAGAACTAACACTGTCACACAGGCCATGGAGCAATGCCTGACTTAGATGACCCCGTTTCTGAAGTTCCTTAGCAGGACTACTCAGGATGGTCAGAATACATGTTGTGCTTCCAGACAAGAAGTAACTCACTTTCCATGGCCCTGTTTCTAATATATGTGTTACCCTGAGTACAAAATGACAGCGATGGGAACTCTGAAGCCTTGGATTGATGAAGCTTACCTCCTGGACCTTCTGATTCAGTGGCCCGGACCCCTCTTGTGGAACTTGTGGCCTCTGAGAGAAAAGAAAACAAAGATGAAGTCTGCAGTATGGGGAGTACAGGGTTACCAGGAGCCTGTCACCTGAGCAGCCATGGTGTAGCATTCCTGTGTGCTTTTGGACTTGCCTGTATTGTCATTCCAAGGTTCCAGAGTCTTTCCAGAGAATGCCCCAGTGGTAGCTATTAAGAAAGGGATGGGGCAGTCATGGGTCAGTATCTCATTACCATGAAGTGGGCAAAGAGTATCAAGCAAATAAATGGACACAGTCTGTATACTTATTTATTATTTCATTAAACTGGCCTTGAAATGGCAAAAGCTAATCTTTACAGTTCTCAGATAATATTCTTCCCATGGTTTATTTACCCCTCAACCACCGGTTTGCTTTTCTTAACATTTCAGCAATAGGGAGATACAAGTTAACTCTGTAGATCTGCTATGTAACTGTCAGTCAAATGACTGCATGATTACCTTGGGGGCCATGAGAAGAGTCTGTTCAAGCACAAGAAATAAGAATAGAATTTGAGATTCTGTATTTAGTTTGTGAAAAATGGTAGGAACTTTCCTAACAATGTTAATATGGGAGAAATGAGAGTATGGATCCTTTTCAAGCCACAGGTTTTATTGGATATTGTTAGCAAGTGAGTGCAATGACCCAGCAATGCTCACCTGTCACTATTCCACCTCTTGTTAACACGCTTCCTCCTATGGAAGTTGTGGCCTCTGAGAGGCAGAAAACAGAAGGGACATATTTGAAAAATATTCAATCACTATGAAATGAGTAAGATATTACTCTTAAAAGCATCAAAGAAGACATCAAATTATAGGAAGACCTCTGAAGAGTTCCCTGCCAACCTGCAGACTCACCTGTACTGGAACTGCCAGGGGCAAGGGTTGTGCTGGGAGCCACCCCAGTCGTGACTGAAATACCAAGCGCACTAGGATCACCATGGTGATTAATCTTTCTTTCCTATAGACCTGCCTCTAGAAAGAATCTAAACCTAACTTACATCTAACTAGCACTTTCCCTAGCTCTTCCTTGGTGATAAGCCCTATGCATTTTCTGATTAACCATTTTATTACCAAAGCAACCAAAGTGACCATGTTCTCAACATGTCACTGTGATAACCTTCCTGGTATTCTCAGGCAGGAGGACAATGTGGGTTTCTCCCATGCTCACCTGTTTTCCTCTCTGTGTCTTGGCTGTCAGATGCAAGAGCGTTGCCTGCTGTGGGGTGGTTACTGACAAAGTCATGAGTGTGCTGAGAACTCCAGACATTGTGAAAATAGTTTGCCCTTCACTTGTGAAAAGGAAGCATTGACAGAGGGAAGGTGTGGTTCCTGGGTTCTTGAAGCTCCTCTGTGTTTCTCAGCAAGTTTTATCACCTCCCCTACCTTTTAAAAGCTTATAATGGTTTGTAATTTCACAGCATTCTATAATTAGTAGCTTTTCAGGAAAAAATTCTACACTGATAAAGAATTTGTTGGCCAAAAATATAGTATTAGGAAAGTAAATACAAATTGCTTTCCAGAAACTTTCTCTCTCTAGTCTCGCTATGAGTGTCATAATCAGTGATGGCAACAAAGACATGAGTTGCTCCTTCTCGCCTATTTTGAATGAAGCTTCAGTGGTGCCAACATGTTCCGTGGAAATTGTGGCCTCTGAGACATGATATGGAATTGTGAATTCTGGGGCGTTGGGTTAGTGGGAAGAGACATTTTGTGTTATTCATGAGAAAAACTCTGCAAAAATAACATCATTTCATCTGCATGTCAATAGAGATGGTTTTCTTTCCATTTTACCTGTGTTGGAAATTCCTGTTTCAACAGACGTCTCTGAATTTACTCCAGTGATACCTGAAACAAGAAAAGCAAATTTAGCAAATTCATCACAGAAGCAACTAAAAGGGCCTTTCTGAGGACTTAATGTTATAAATGGTGCAAATGCTAAATTACAAGTTTCCTTCTCTCATTTCATCTCCTCGGCCCATTTCTTCCCAGGTAACTTACAAGTGAACACAGCTGCATGCTAGACTGCTGACAGAGGGATTGAGGCTCATTTTATGCCTGCCTGTTTCACTTCCTGTTATGTCTCCCTGGTGTACCAGGGCGGACTATGGAGGAGGAAAATGAAAGATAAAGTTCTTTCTAAATATCTCTGTGATACTTTAATTTAGGTCATTTTATGACTTTATTTTATGTCATCCTTAAAGCACACCCATGCACACACATGCACAAAACCCATATGGGGTAAGAGCCAGCTTATATTTTCTTTATGGAATTTTATCTGTGTTGGAAACTTCTGAACTGGTACTGACTTCAGAAGAAATGACAGTGGTGCCTGTGAAAACAAATTGTGTGAACTTTAAAGCAGTGATGGTCTCATTCCTGTCTTCAGAGAACTAATTCTGGGAGCCAGAACTCAGGCACACTTGTTGGAGGGGCACAAACATGGCAGTTCCACAGGGATTCACAATTTGACTTGGCCTTGTGTAGAATGTGTCCTCAACCTTCGTATTCTGTTTTTAGCTGCAATCTCAAACAATAAATCAACAGAACCCAAAGTCTTGGAATGATAGCACTCACCTCCTGACAGTCCTGCTCCAGGAGTCCCTATAGCATTTGTGGTCTCTGAGAAAGAAAAGAAATGAATGAAGTAAGAACATGCTGGATGGTTGGGTGAGGTGGCTCACACCTATAATTCCAGCACTTTGGGAGCCCAAGGCTGGCAGATCACTTGAGTACAGCAGTTTAAGACCAGACTGGGTAACATTGTGAAACCCCATCTCTCTCTATATATATATATAAAGCCTGTAGTCCCAGCTACCTGGGAGGCTGAGGTGGCAGGATCACCTGAGTCTAGGAGGTCAAGGCTGCAGTGAGCCAAGATCATGTTCCTGTATTCCAGCCTCGGCAACAGGGTGAGAAAGAGGAAAGAAAGAAAAGGAAAGAAGGAAGAAAGGAAGGAAGAGAGAGGAAGAGAGAGAGACAGAGAGAGAGAAAGGAAGGAAGAAAGGGAGAGATCAAGAGAAAGAATGGAAGAGAAAGAAAGAAGAAAAGAAAGAAAAAGAAAGAGAAATTGAAAGAAGAAAGAGAGAAAGAAGAAAAGAAAGAGATAAGATAACGTGCTTCTTCAGTTTTTCCTGGTTAAAGCAATAATTGATTATCAGCTTTACATGGTACATCTTAGTAAATATAGTGAACTTACTGCCCCTTATGTAAATTTTGAATTTAGACACTAATAAATCTAGGTTATCTCTTAAACATTTCTCCTGAATTTAGGAATTTAGGTCCTTGGTTAAATCATAATCAACTCATCTTAGGATCAAATTGGGGTTCAGTCACACTTATGTTGGACCACACCAGAGCACCCAAGGTGAGCTGTGCCTGCTAGGCTCTCAACTGTAGTGGCCGCAGAATCCCCATGAAAACATGAACTCAAAATGTCTAAGGAATCAATAATATTCTGAAAAGCCCCCATTATTGTTCACCAGTTTGAATTCTTAATAACGTATTTAATTGTGATAAATTTACACAGATTTAAAAATCATATTGTTCACATTAAATGATCTATCTTTAGCTAACTAGACTTGCCTTCATGGGTTGTAACTTTAGTTCCTAGCTCTCCGGTAGTTCCTGTTCCAGTGGTTGTGCCAGCTGATGGTCCAGATGTAACTGATCTTACAGCTGATAATCCAGTTGTCCCTGTCAGTCCAGCTGATAGTCCATCTGTACCTGTTATTCCAGCTGATGGTCTAGTTTCCCTTGATTCTTCAACAGATGTTCTGGTTGTTGCTGTTTTTTCAGCTGAAATGCTTGTCCCAGATCTTCCAGATGATCCAGTTGTCCCTGTCACCCCAAATGATGATCCAATTGTCCCTCTCACCCCAGCTAATAGCTCAGTTGTCCCTGTCACTTTAGCTGGTGGTCCAGTGGTCCCTGTCACCCCAGCTGAGAGTCTAATTTTCCCTGTCACTCCAGCTGACAGTCCAGTTGTCCCTGTCACTGCAGCTGATTCAATTGTACCTGCCACCCTAGCTGATAGTCCACTTGTCCCTGTTACTGAAGCTGACAGTCCAGGTGTCCCTGTCACCCCAGCAAGTGATCCAATTTTCCCTGTCACCCCAGCTTGTAGCTCAGATGTCCATGTCACTCCAACTGATGATCCAATTGTCCCTGTCACCCCAGCTGATGATCCAGTAGTCCCTGTCACCCCTGCTGCTAGTCCATTTGTCCCCATCACCCCAGCTGATAGTTCAGTGGTCCCTGTTGCTCCAGCTGATGGTCCAGTTGTCCCTATCACTTCAGCTGATGGTCCATTTGTACCTGTTATTTCAGCTGATGGTCCAGTTGTCTGTGATTCTTCAACTGATGTTCTGGTTGTTCCTGTTTTTACAGCTGATGGTATACTTGTCCCTGATCTTACAGATGACCCAGTTGTCCCTGTCACTCCAGCTGATAGTCCAGTTGTCCCTGTTGCTTCAGCTGGTGATCCAACTGTCCCTGTCACCCCAACTGATAGTTCAGTCGTCCCTGTTGCTCCAGCTGATGGTCCAGTTGTCCCTGTCACTCCAGCTGATAGTCTAGTTGTTGCTGCTGCTTCATCTGACAGTCCAGTTGTCTCTGCCACTCCACCTGATGATCCAGTTGTGCCTGTTACCCAAGCTGATGATCCAGTTGTCCCTGTCACCCCAGCTGATAGTCCAGTTATCCCTGTCCCCCCAGCTGGTCTACTTGTCCCTGTCACCCCAGCTGGTGATCCAATTGTCCCTGTCACTCCAGCTGATAGTCTACTTGTCCCTGTCAGTCCAGTTGTCCCTGTCACTTCAGCTGGTGATCCAATTGACTCTGTCACCCCAGCTGAGAGTCTACTAGTCCCTGTCACTCCAGCTGGTGATCCAATTTTCCCTGTCACCCCAGCTGATAGTCCACTTGTCCCTGTCAGTCCAGTTGTCCTTGTTGCTTCAGCTGGCAATCCAATTGTCCTCGTCACTCCAGCTGACAGTCCACTTGTCTCTGTCACTCCAGCTGGTCTGCTTGTCCCTGTCACTCCAGCTGACAGTCCACTTGTCCCTGTCACTCCAGCTAATAGTCCACTTGTCCCTGTCATTCCAGCTGATAGTCTTCTTGTCCCTGTCACCCCAGCTGACAGTCTAGTTGTCCCTGTTGCTACAGCTGGTGATGCAACTGTCCCTGTCACCCCAGCTGATAGCCCAGTTGTTCCTGTCACTCCTAGTCCACTTGTCCCTGTCACTCCAGCTGATAGTCCAGTTGTCCCTGTGGCTTCAGCTGGTGATCCAATTGTCTCTGTCACCCCAGCTGATGATCCAGTTATCCCTGTCACTCCAGCTGATAATCCACTTGTCCCTGTCACTCCAGCTGACAGTCCACTTGTCACTGTCACTTCAGCTGGTGATTCAATTGTCCCTGTCACTCCAGCTGATAGTCTACTTGCCCCTGTCACTCCAGGTAATAGACCACTTGTCCCTGTCACTCCAGCTGAGAGTCCACTTATCCCTGTTGCTTCAGCTGGTGATCCAATTGTCTCTGTCACACCAGCTGATAGTCCAGTTGTCCCTGTTGCTTCAGCTGGTGATCCAATTGTCCCTGTCACTCCAGATGATAGTCCACTTATCACTGTGACCCCAGCTGATAGTCCACTTGTCCCTGTCACTCCAGCTGATAGTCCACTTGTCCCTGTCACTCCAGTTAATAGTCCACTTGTCCCTGTCACTCCAGCTGATAGTCCAGTTGTCCCTGTTGCTTCAGCTGGTGATCCAATTGTCCCTGTCACTCCAGCTGATAGCCCAGTTGTCCCTGTCATTCCAGCTGAGAGTCCACTTGTCCCTGTCACTCCAGCTGATAGTCCACTTGTCCCTGTCACTCCAGTTAATAGTCCACTTGTCCCTGTCACTCCAGCTGATAGTCCAGTTGTCCCTGTTGCTTCAGCTGGTGATCCAATTGTCCCTGTCACTCCAGATAGTCCAGTTGTCCCTGTCACTCCAGCTGAGAGTCCACTTATCCTTGTCACTCCAGTTAATAGTCCACTTGTCCCTGTCACTCCAGCTGATAGCCCAGTTGTCCCTGTTGCTTCAGCTGGTGATCCAATTGTCCCTGTCACCTCAGATGATAGTCCAGTTGTCCCTGTCACTCCAGCTGATAGTCTACTTGTCCCTGTCACCCCAGCTGATAGTCCACTTGTCCCTGTCACTCCAGTGGGTGATCTAACTGTTCCTGTTACCCCAGTTGGTAGCCCAGTTGTCCCTGTCACCCTAGCTAATAGTCCACTTGTCCCTGTTACTCTAGACAATAGTTCACTTGTCCCTGTTACTCCAGCTGATAGTCCAACTGTCCCTCTTGTTTCAGCTGGTGATCCAAATGTCCCTGTCACTCCTGCTGATGGTGCAGTTATCCCTGTCCCTACAGCTGATGGTCTACTTGTTCCTATCACCCCAGACGATAGTCTATTTGTCCCTGTCACCCCAGGTGATAGTCTACTTGTCCCTGTCACTCCAGTTGGTAATCTAATTGTTCCTGTCACCTGAGCTGATAGTCCACTTGCCCCTGTTACTCCAGCTGATAGTCCACTTGTCCCTGTTGGTTCAGCTGATGATCCAATTGTCCCTGTCACCCCAGCTGATAGCCCAGTTGTCCCTGTCATTCCAGCTGAGAGTCCACTTGTTCCTGTCACTCCAGCTGATAGTACAGTTGTCCCTGTTGCTTCAGCTGGAGAGCCAATTGTCCCTGTCACCCCAGCTGATAGCACAGTTGTTTCTGTCACTCCTAGTCCACTTGTCCCTGTAACTCCAGCTGATAGTTCAGTTGTCCCTATTGCTTCAGCTAGTGATCCAATTGTCCCTGTCACCCCAGATGAGGATCCAGTTACCCCTGTCACTCTAGCTGATAATCCACTTGTCCCTGTCACTCCAGATAATCCAGTTGTCCCTGTCACTCCAGCTGATAGTCCAGTTGTCCCTGTCACTTCAGCTGACAGTCCACTTGCCCCTGTCACTCCAGCTGACAGGCCAGTTGTCCCTGTCACTTCAGCTGGTGAACCAATTGTCCCTGTTACACCAGCTGACCCAGTTGTCCATGCCACCCCAGCTGATAGTCCACTTGTCCCTGTCACTCCAGCTGACAGTCCACTTGTCCCTGTTACTCCAGCTGATAGTTCACTTGTCCCTGTCACTCCAGCTGGTGATCCAATTGTTCCTGTTAGCCCAGCTGAGAGCCCACTTGTCACTGTCACCTCAGCTGATGAGGCAATTGTCCCTGTCACCCCAGATGGTAGTCCACTTGTCTCTGTGGTTTCAGATGGTGGTCCACTTGTCCCTGTCACCCCAGCTGATAGCCCAGTTGTTCCTGTCACTCCAGCTGATAATCCACTTGTCCCTGTCACTCCAGCTGATAGTCCACTTGTCCCTGTCACTCTAACTGACAGTCCAGGTGTCCCTGTTGCTTCAGCTAGTGATCCAATTGTCCCTGTCACCCCAGATGACAGTCCACTTGTCCCTGTCACTCCAGCTGACAGTCCACTTGTCCCTGTAACTCCAGTTGGTGATCCAATTGTTCCTGTTACCCCAGCTGAGAACCCACTTGTCACTGTCACACCAGCCAATGATCCAATTGTCCCTGGCAACCCAGATGGTAGTCCACTTGTCCCTGTCACTCCTGCCAATAGTTCACTCGTCCCTGTTACTCCAGCTGATAGGCCACTTGTCCCTGTTGCTTCAGCTCGTGATCCAATTGTCTCTGTCACCCCAGCTGCTAGCCCAGCTGTCCCTGTCACTCCAGCTGATAACCCACTTGTCCCTGTCATTCCAGATGACAGTCTGGTTGTCCCTGTCACTCCAGCTGACAGTCCACTTGTCCCTGTCCTTTCAGCTGATAGGCCAGTAGTCTCTGTACCCCCAGCTGATAGGCCAGTCGTCCCTGTCACTTCAGCTGGTGAACCAATTGTCCCTGTCACCCCAGCTGATGATTCAATTGTCCATGTCACCCCAGCTGATAGTCCACTTGTCCCTGTCACTCCAGCTGAAAGTATATTTGTCCCTGTCACTCCAGCTGAAAGTATATTTGCCCCTGTCACTTCAGCTGACAGTCCACTTGTCCCTGTCACTCCAGCTGATAGTCCAGTTGTCCCTGTCACTCCAGCTGATAGGTCAGCTGTCCCTGTTGCTTCAGCTGGTGATCCAATTGTCCCTGTCAACCGAGCTGATAGCCCAGTTGTCCCTGTCACTCCAGCTGATAGTCCACTTGTCCCTGTCACCCCAGCTGAGAGCCCAGTTGTCTCTGTCACTCCAGCTGAGAGTCCACTTTTCTCTGTCACTCCAGCTGATAGTCTAGTTGTCCCTGTTGCTTCAGCTGGTGAACCAATTGTCCCTGTCACCCCAGCTGATGATTCAATTGTCTGTGTCACCCCAGCTGACAGTCCACTTGTCCTTGTCACTCCAGCTGAAAGTATATTTGTCCCTGTCACTTCAGCTGACAGTTCACTTGTCCCTGTCACTCCAGCTGACAGTTCACTTGTCCCTGTCACTCCAGCTGATAGTCCAGTTGTCCCTGTCACTCCAGCTGATAGGTCAGCTGTCCCTGTTGCTTCAGCTGGTGACCCAATTGTCCCTGTCACCCCAGCTGATAGCCCAGTTGCCCCTGTCACTCCAGCTGATAATCCACTTGTCCCTGTCACCCCAACTGAGAGCCCAGTTGTCCCTGTCACTTCAGCTGAGAATCCACTTTTCCCTGTCACTCCAGCTGATAATCCACTTGTCCCTGTCACCCCAACTGAGAGCCCAGTTGTCCCTGTCACTTCAGCTGAGAATCCACTTTTCCCTGTCACTCCAGCTGATAGTGTAGTTGTCCCTGTTGCTTCAGCTGGTGACCCAATTGTCCCTGTCACCCCAGCTGATAGCCCAGTTGCCCCTGTCACTCCAGCTGATAATCCACTTGTCCCTGTCACCCCAACTGAGAGCCCAGTTGTCCCTGTCACTTCAGCTGAGAATCCACTTTTCCCTGTCACTCCAGCTGATAGTGTAGTTGTCCCCGTTGCTTCAGCTGGTGATCCAATTGTCTCCGTAATCCCAGCTGATAGCCCAGTTGGCCCTGTCACTCCAGCTGAGAGTCCACTTATCCCTGTCACTCCAGCTGATAATCCACTTGTCCCTGTCACTCCAGCTGACAGTCCACTTGTCCCTGTCACTCCAGCTGACAGTCCACTTGTCCCTGTCACTCCAGCTGACAGTCCACTTGTCCCTGTTGCTTCAGCTGGTGATCCAATTGTCCCTGTCACCTCAGATGATAGCACAGTTGTCCCTGTCATTCCATCTAATAGTCCACTTGTCCCTGTCACTCCAGCTGATAATCCACTTGTCCCTGTCACTCCAGCTGATAGTCCACTTGTCCCTGTCACTCCAGCTGACAGTCCAATTGTCCCTGTCACTCTAGCTGACAGTCCAGTTGTCCCTGTTGCTTCAGCTGGTGATCCAATTGTCCCTGTCACCCCAGATGATAGCACAGTTGTCCCTGTCATTCCATCTGATAGTCCACTTGTCCCTGTCACTCCAGCTGATAGTAAACTTGTCCCTGTCACTCCAGTTGACAGTACACTTGTCCCTGTCACTTCAGCTGACAGTTCACTTGTCCCTGTCACTTCAGCTGGTGATCCAATTGTCCCTGTCTCTCCAGCTGATAGCCCAGTTGTCCCTGACACTCCAGCTGATAGTCCACTTGTCCCTGTTACTCCAGCTGATAGTCCAGTTTTTCCTGTTACTCCAGCTAGTGATCCAATTGTTCCTGTCACCCCAGTTGATAGTTGTGATAGTCCTATCACTTCAGTTGATAAATCAGTAGTCCCTATCACCCCAGCTGATGGTCTAGTTGTCCGTGTCACCCCAGCTGTTGATCCAGTTGTCCCTGTCATTTCAGCTGACAGTCCAGGTATCCCTGTCACTTCAACTGATGGTCCAGTTGTCCCTCTCGCTCCTGCTGATGGTCCAGTTGGCCCCGTCACTTCAGCTGATAGTCCATCTGTACCTGTTAGTCCAGCTGATGGTCCACTTGTCCTTGATTCTTCAACTGATGTTCTAGTTGTTCCTGTTTTTCCAGCTGATTGTATACTTGTCTCTGATCTTGCAGATGATCCAGTTGTCCCTGTGACTCCAGCTGATAGTCCAGTTGTTCCTGTTGCTTCAGCTGACAGTCCAGTTGTCCCTGTTACTCCAACTGACGATTCAGTTATTGTCATGCCAGCTGATGATCCAGTTTTCCCTGTGACTCCAACTGATAATCTAGTTTTTCCTGTCACCCTAGCTGATGATCCAGTTGTCCCTGTCACCCCTGTTGATGATCCAGTTGTCTCTGTTACTCCAGCTGATAGTCCAGTTGTCCCTGTTACTTTAGCTAAGGTTCCAGTTGTCCCTCTCACTCCAGATGGTGGTCCATTTGTACCTGTCACCCCAGCTGTTGGTACAGTAATCCCTGATCTTACATCTGATGGTTCAGTTGTCCCTGATTCTTTAACTAATGATCCAGTTGTTTCTGTTTCTCCAGATGATGTTCTAGTTGTTTCTGATAATCTAAGAGATTGTACAGTTGTCCCTGATACTGCAGCTGATGATCCAGTTGTCTGAGTTACTGCAGGTAATTTTCCAGGTGTCACTGTTACTTCCACTGATGGACCAGAGGTTTCTGTCAATTCAGAAACTGTCTCTGTTGTCACTGATCCTGCAGCTGATTGTCCAGTTGTCTCTGTTCCTCCAACTGATGGACTAGTTGTACCCAGTCCTCCAGATGAAGTTCCAGCTGTCCATGATCCTATAACTAATGGTCTGGTTGTTCCTGATCCAGTAATAGATGGTCCAGTTGTCCCTGTAGCTTCAGCTGATAATCCAGTTGTTACTGATCCTACAAGAGATTTTCCAGTTGTCAACGAGCCTTCAACAAAAAGTCCTGTTGTTACTACCACTCCAGCTGACTGTGCAGATATCCCTGTCAATCCAGTAAATGGTCCTGTGGTCCCTGATATTTCAGGTGATTGTCCAGTGGTCCCTGTTCTTCCAACTGATGATGTAGTTGTACTTAATCCTCCAAATGAGGTTTTTGCAGTTGTCCTTACTCCTGTAACAGATGATCCAGTTGTCTCTGATCCTACCGCAGATGGTTTAGTGGGTCCTGTCACTCCAGCCAATGGTTCAGTTGCTCCAGTCACTCTATGTGAGTCTCCAGATGTAACTGTCACTCTAGCTGATGGTGTAGTTGTCTTTCCTTCTACAATAGGTGGTTCAGTTGTCCCCAGCCCATCAGCTGATGGTTCAGTAGTCTCTAAACCTACAGCAGATGGTCTAGTGGTCCCTAATCCTTTACTTGCTGGTCCTGTGGTTCCTGTCACTCCAGCTGATGGTCCAGTTACCCCAGTCATTCTAGCTGATTGTCCAGATGTCACTCTCAATCCAACTGATGGTCCGGTTGTCTCTGATTTTACAACAGGAGGTCCAGTTGTTCCTGATCCTACAACTGAAGGTCTAGCTGTCTCTAGTCCTACAGTAGATGATCCAGTTGTCACTAATCCTTCAACAAATGAACCCGTTGTTAGTGCCACTCCAGCTGATTGTGCAGTTGTCCCAGTCATTCCAGTTGATTGTCCAGATGTTGTCAACCCAGCAAATGATTCTGTTGTCCCTGAGTTCACAGCTGATTGCCCAGTTGTCTCTGTTTCTCCATCTGATAATCTTGTTGTACCTGATCCTCCAGCTAAAGTTCCAGTTGTCCTTCTTCCTATAACAGGTGGTCCAGTTGTCCCTGATTTGACAAAAGATGGCGTCATTGTTTCTGTCACTACAGCTGGTACTCCAGATGCCCCAGTATTTCTAGCTGATGGTCCAAATGTTGCTGTCACTCCAGCTGATAGTCTAGTTGTTCCTGATCCTTCATGTAATGGTCCAGTTGTTACTGATTTTCTTGATAATGACTCAGTTGTCCCTGATCCTCCTGATGATAGCCTTGTCCCTGTCACTCCAGCTGATGATTCAGTTGTACCTGATGCACTAGCTAATGGTCTAGTTGCTCCTGATCCCACAACAGATGATTCAGTTGCCCCTGATCCTTCAGTTGATGGTCCAGTTGTTTCTGTCACCCCAACTGATGCTTCAACTGTCCCAGTCATGCTGGCTGATTGTACAGATGTCACTGTCACTCTACCTGAGAGTCTAGTGGTCTCTGATTCTAAACGAGTTGATCTAGTTGTAGTGAATCCTTCAACAAATGGTCCTGTTGTCACTGCAACTCCAGCTGATTTTTCATATGTCATTGTTACTCCAGCTGATTTTGGAGATATCCCAGTCACTCCAACCAGTTGTCCAGATGTTCCCATCAATCCAGAAAGTGATACAGTTGTTTCTGATCTTGCAGTTGATTGTCTGGTTGCCCCTGTTTCTCCATCTGATGATCTTGTTGTACTTGAACCTCCAGATAAAGTTCCAGTTGTGACTGATCCTATAACTAATGATCTAGTTGCTTCTGATCCAATAACAAATGGTACAGTTGTGACTAATCCTTCAGTTGATGGTCTGGTTGTTCTTGTCTCTCCAGTTGATGATCCAGTTGTCCCAGTCATGCTGGCTGATTGTCCAGATGTTCCTGTCACTCCAGCTGATGATTCAGTTGTCTCTGATTCTAAAAGAGATTGTCCAGTTGCAGCTGATCCTTCAACCAATATTCCTGTTGTCATTGCCATTCCAGGCGATTTTTCAGATGTTATTTTCACTGCAGCTGAATTTGAAGATTTCCCAGTCACTATAGCTGATTGTTCAAATTTTCCTGTCAATGCAAAAAGTGGTCCAGTTGTTTCTGACCTTGCAGTTGATTGTTCAGTTGTCCCTGTGCCTCCACCTGATGACCTTGTTGTAGTTGAACCTCCAGATGAAGTTCCAGTTGTCCGTGATCCTATAACTAATGGTCTAGTTGTTTCTGATCCAATGACAGATGGTCTGGTTGCCTCTGATCCTTCTGTTGATGGTATAGTTGTCTCTGTTATTTCATCTAGTGGTCTACTTGTACCTGATCCTGTAGCTGATGATTCAATTCTTCCTGATACTTCAGCTGATGTTCCAGTTACATCTGTCACTCTAGCTGATGGTATTGTTGTTCCTGATCCTTCACCTGATTGTACAGTTGTCTCAGTTCCTCCAACTGATGGTCTTGTTGTACCTGATCTTCCAGTTGATGGTGCAGATCCTGCAGATGTTGGTCCTGATTCTACAACAGATGGTCCTGATTCTATGACAGATTTTCCAGTTGTCCCTGATCCTTTGCCTGATTGTCCAGTTGTTCCTGTCACTAGAACAAATGGTCCATTTGTTCCTGATTCTTCAGCTGATGGTGTAGTTGTTTCTGCCACTCTAGGTGATGGTTCAGTTGTTCTTGTCACTCTAGATGATAATCTAGTTGTCCCTGATCCCACAACAGACGGTCCAGTTGTTCTTGACCCATCAACTGATGGTTCAGTTGTCCCTGTTTCTCTAGCAGATGATCTACTTGTACCTAATCCTCCAGTAAAAGACCCAGTTGTCCCTGATTCTGTAGCTGATAATCTAGTTGTTTTTGATTCTATAACCAATTGTCCACTTGTCCCTGAAACTTCAGCTAATGGTCCAGTTGTCACTGATTCTCTTGATGAAGGTTCAGTTGTCCTTGACCCTCCAGATAATGATCCAGTTGTTCTTAATTCTGAAATTAATGGTCTGGTTGCCCCTGATATTTCAGCTAATGATTCAGTTGTCCCTGACACTCCAACTGATGGTTCAGATGCTCCTGTGACTCCTGACAATTGTTCAGAAGTCCTTTTCACTGCAACTGATGTTCCAGTTGCTCCTGATGTTGTATCTGATGGCTTCATTGTCCCTGAAACTTTGGATGATGATTTACTTGTCCCTGTTATTTCAGATGATTGTCCATAATTCCCTATTACTGTAGCTGATGGTCCAGATGTCTCTGTCTCTCGAGTTGATGATCTAGTTGCCCCTGTCACAAACAAATAGTACAAGTAGAATGATGTTAATAAGCTGTTTTGATCCTTGGTTAACCTTCAAGGCTCATGCTGCTTTATTTCTCTAGTATAGCTTTTATACATCTTCATCTCCATAATCACCATATTATTTCTTCATACTTTTCTTTTTGCTACACTGTAACTTCTTTATATATATATATATATGTGTGTGTGTGTGTGTGTGTGTGTGTGTGTGTGTGTGTGTAAAGTCTCACTCCGTTGTCCAGGCTGATCACAAACTCCTGGGTTCAATCTTCCTGAGTACCTGGGACCGTGGTGATTTTCACTGTGCCAGCTCTAGTGTAACTTCTATTTGTTTATTTTCATAAAAATCATTTATTCAATATCTGTTGTGTGTCAAAGAAGTTGTCAGCAACTTATAAGTATCACTTCATTTTACCATTAGAATAATTCTATTTGAGATTTGAGATTTGTAATATTACTTTTTTCTTTTATGGAATAGACACTAAAGCAAAGAGAGATTAAGTAGCTGTTCTAAGGGAATGCCCTATAGGGCATTCTAGTGGGAAGAAAGAAAGAGGTAGACATAAATAAAATAACGAACCAACCAATAACCAAATTCACAAATAAGAAAAGCTTCAGAGCATTGGCATAAAATGAGTTGATACTGAGAAAATGGGATGTTCTATTTTAGATTGCCTGATTAGCAAAGGCTTCTCTGAGAATGTCTTTATTTTGTAGTCTGATAACAAGAAGCAGCCTGCTAGTAAAGCTCTAGGAAACATGGCATACCAGGCAGAGGTAACAGCCAGTACAAACATCATAAGGCTGATGGACCTATGCTTACTAGAAAAGCAGAGCTAGAAGTTGAATATAGCTGGCTAATGGGAGATGAGCCAGGGAATATTATAAGGTAAGGCCAGATATGTAGGAGTAAGCAAAATGTTATGAATTAGGGGAGAAAGAGTGAAGATTTTTTTAAATGCAAGAAGCTATAATTTTTAACAGGGGAGAAATAGCATAGAATTCATATGCATTTAAAATCCCTTTTACACTCTGTAGAAAATATATGGTAAGGAGTGCATAATAGAAGAAGACCAATTTTGGGGTGATTCCAGAAGTTAAGATAATTTATGAGTGGCTTATGCTAAAATTGCGATAAAGGAGACCAAGAATAGTGGATAGGGGCAGGATGTGTATTAGAAGTAGCATTAACAGGACTTGTTTAGATATGGAAGGTACAAAGAAAAAGACAGCCATAAAAGATAACAATAGTATTTTTACCTTAGTGAACTGGGTCAGTGATGGTAACATTTTCTAATAGGGGGAAGACTCAGAGAACAGGTGTGTGTGAGCATAAAGGGAAATCCAGTATCAGCAGAAGGCTCTAGGTCTGAAGATCCTAATATAGCAAGAATACCCCTAAGGAACCAGATGAAGATGGAAACCTTGGATCTGCAGAGACATGCATCTGTAGAGTGGTGTGTCTGTGTGTGTATGGGTACATGTTTCCAGCAAAACTCCACTACTTGAGTGGAGCAGAAAAGAGTCTACTACCTCCTGACAGTGCCAATACTTCCATAAGGTTCCCTTCCATATGACCTGTTATTTTATCTCACTGATGAGAATAAAACCTCTTCGTATTTAACCAGACTGGAAGCTACTCTTGACTTACTGAATTATTTACCAAATATCCATCAGATATTTATCACATACCCAAACCAGGAACTGAGCTAGGCACTAGGAGCAAAACTAAAAACAAAAATAGACAAAATTACAAGATCTTTCTCTAGTTTTAACAGAAATCCACCATGTTGGTGGTATGTCTAGTAAAAGATGATGACTAGATGAAAAATCAACAATCTAGGCCCTGACCCAGCACATATTCATCCTGTGACTTTGGGGTAAATACATTGATTTTACATAGATAAAATCTGAATAATTATTAATATATTATTGACTGCATAGGGTGTCTGTAAGATTCAAGTAAGTTAATACATGTGAAAACACTATGCCCATTTTTATACTTTCTATACTTTTTTTCTGATTATCATTTTTACTTTTGTTAAAACAGATTAAGATAATTCATACATAAGTATATAAATATATGACTGCTTCATATGTTTATATTATCAACAATATTGTATTAAATATAGCCAGTAGAAATTAAGATATAAGAATGGTTTTATCTACTAATATTTTATCCTATCCTTATATTTTTCAGGCAAGTTTTTTTGCCTATTTTCTGAGAAGTATTTAAATATAAATAAATAAATTGATTGGTAATCTATCTCTTTAGTCATTTGAAACAAGTATTATGAGACACAAACAATGTTTAGCAAGGGATCTGCAACACCCATTGCATAGTTTACATATTTCTTCAACAGGTCAGCTTTGAGCAAATGAGTTATAGACATGCCCTATTTGTAAATTCTAGAAAAGAAGACTAAAAAAACCCATGTGTAGCGGTTTTAGGAAGAAAATTGATTTCTGAATTTTTAAACAATTCAGAAGGCAGTGTTACTTATCAAATTGTTCTTAGAAATGGGGAAAGCTATTCATCAAGGTTCTAGATCTCTGTTCAGTAAAGAACGTATGGGAAAATATGTTAATACTTTAAACCACAAAAATTTCTAATACTAAAGATAGTGGTGTTTTGCAAAAGATTGCAAAAAAAAAGGAAAAAAAAGAATTCCAGTTTGAAATTTAAATACCCTTGCTGATGTAAGATAACCTTTTGATGCCCAACAGCATATTATATTATTTGAGACAGAGAAGAATTTATTGAACTCTTAAATACTTGTACTATGGGAAAATTATATAATCAATTAATGATCTGCAAAAATAACTAACAGTATTTTATAATTATTTTGAACTTTTAACCTATATTGAATTATGTTAGCTTTTTGTCTAAGTGATTTTGTGTGAAAAATGCAGAACTTAGACAAAGAAATTATAACAAAATGAATAAATACATCCTTAGAAGCTGTTAACTCAAAAACAGCAATTATGGACCAACCATGAGATAAAGTGTCAGAGGATCACTATTGCTTTTTTTTTTTTTTTTAAACTTAACTCCACTATGCTTGTATCAAGTAACATTCCAGTGATTTCTAAATTGATCTTGTGACAATATCAGATTTAAAAAGCGGCACTAGTCTAGTTTAATAATGGAAAATATCTAAACTATTAGATCATTTTTATTATCTGTGATTTCAGGTATTACACTAATTGATATCCCAATGGTACAGAAATACTGAATAACAAAGCATGCAATGGCAATGTTTTTAATGAATTCACAGAATATTTAAATAACAGTGCTTTAAGTTTCAAGCAGGAAAGATTTTCAACTGAATTAAAACCCTACTGAATAAGCTTTTATAAACAGGTTTCCACACTCACTCCTATTTTTGTGACCTTTTAGTGCTTTGCTAGTCTCACCTGGTTTATCTGAAGAGCCAATGGTGGTACCACTGCTAGACCACCCAGATGTCGTTTCACCTCCACTGGTTGCACCACCTGGTATTCCAGCCGTACCTGTTACAAAGGCAAAAATGGAAAGGACTCATTCACAGAAGTTCTTAAGTGATGAGATAATCAATTTTCATTTAAATTAACTTCCAACTAAAAATTACAGAACTGTCCATTTTTCTGTATTGATAAAAATAATGATCTTTTCCACATTTAAAAAAATGTACTTTGATGTACACTATTGATTATTTATTTCCTTGGCTCCTCATCCCAAGCTCACAAAGTAGATCACTTTGACCCACATATTTCAGATAAGAAAACAGAGGTTACAGAGGGTAAGTGATTTGACTTACTTAATAGCATGACATTGATTTTGAGGAACAGTATTACATGAACATCCTATATTGCCTCCTGCAAGTGCTAGGTCCCCCATTTTACCTACCTGGTTTGCTTCCAGAGATTGTCACTGCTGTGGCTGAGGCTGCATTGGTGGTTTCACTCACAGGGCTACTTGTAGTTGAGGCAGCAGATACTGTCGGGGTTCCTGGTTATGAACAACAATGGTTCAGGCTCACTGCTGTGAAAGTACTGGTCCCTATTCCGTGCTAATAGCACAGAACTGAGATTTCTAAAGTATAGTGCTTTAAGGACATCTTCCAGATGCTTTCCCTATGCTCTGACATTTAATGTCAGTTATAGCCTGACCAATAGTCCACATCACAACCTGCTGAGGAAGGCAGGGTTGAGAACTGCTAAGGAGTCATGTCCCGACTTGCCTGAGTTGCTAAGACTGGTGGTTCCAACGCCTGCTTCCTTGGAGATGCTGCTACCTGGAACTCCAGGTGTTGCTCCAGGTGATACCACAGGTGCGCCTGACACTTTCAGAAAAAACAAAGTTTAAGAAACTTGCTTTTATTCAGTCACTGTGACCTGAAACAATTTGGAAATCTCTTCCAGCATATTTATACTCATAATGTTTACTCAGTTTAGTGATATTAGGACTTCTTGCTCAGAAAGGGCATACATGTTAATGTGATAAGGCACTATTATAACATCACAATCCTTATTTGCCTTCTACACTGAATGTGCCTCTTTCTAAAATTACCTACAAGTTATCATTCCAGAGTAAATTATTCTCCCAACACCTTTTGCTATATTACTTACTTTTTGCTTTTTTCATGTGTTTAATTAAACATTACTTTCTTCTAAAAATTCTAAGCTTTGTAAGCATAAGAGCATCTTCTGGTACAGAACACATTACTAAGCCCTCAGTAAATATTATCTAGCCAAAATAGAAGTGTTTGTGTTAGAGTAGGCGGAAAGCCAGAAACGAGCAGGCAAGGGAGCCCTGAGGGAAAAGAAGTCCTGGAGACACTGTCCACTCATAGTCAGTGCTGCCCATTGACAGTCAGCAAAAAGACAACTGCTACACTGGCTACTTCTGATCTTGCGATTGAGCTCCTCCTGCCTTGAAGGGAGACCTGCCAGGCCCTGGCTAGAGAGAACCAGTTAAGGGACTGTCCTCACTGATGAGCATGCACACTCCTCCAAAAAATTGACCTGGAGTAGACTTTTGCTCATTACAATAGTAAAAAACACATCCCTGGGTGGAGATTTTAAATGCTAAAGAGACATGCGATTTGTGTACTAGCACCTACAACCAAAGAGAATGCGTGCCCAAAGAGACATCCTGGAAGGTGCGTGTAAATAACACCCCCCTCACGCCTCTTCATGAATAATCACCTAAGAGTCTCATAAAAGAGGTCCCCCAGCACTAGCTGCTGCTGGCTCATTCTGCCAAGCAGCCCACTCTGTCTCGTGTTTCAGGGTGCACTTCTGAAATAAATCCTGCTCCTACTATTTTTTTTTCTGTACCAGCCCAGATTGTTTTCCATTACTTTCTAAGAATGTACTTTATCTTCCTTCAATAAACTCTTCTACTTAATCCTTGCTATGCATCTCTTGGCTGAATTATTTCTTCGATGTTAGAAAAGAACTGAGGATTCCCACACTTTCTGGTAACATTTGCACTAATCTATTTACAACTACTAGATTGTTCATAATCTCTTTTGATAAATCAAATTTTGACATCAGAGCTCACACTTCTGCTAATTAAACATTAGTTTAGATATGAATGATACTTCAAATGTGACTTCACCTGAAGCCAAAGTGGTTGCTGCATCTGATCTTCCAGTTGTATCCAATTTGAAAAATTATGAGGCTCTGCCTATAGCTTGTTGCTATGCTGCAAATGCTTTTGGACAAACATTTATTATTAAACTTATTTGATTATTGCTAGAATTTTCCTCAGTCATTCTCTTATAATTAACTTCTTTTTTTAAAACTCACTTGGACTTATGCTAATTATATTGCTAATTATATATAAGACCTTTATGTTTGACCATTGCTCTGACAACAATACATGCTTTGTCTTACCTACTGTGTTTCCTGGGCCAGGGGCCCCAGTACCTGATGCTTCAGCTGTGCTTCCACTGCCTGCTCTGGTGGTGGCTTCCACAGACCCTTCTGTTGGACCTGGTCAACATGCAAAGGCAGCTAGGATTACATGAATTTCCAAAGCTTCTAGGAAATTAAGGCAACTATTAAATAACCTTAGACATTATCATTATTTATCCTTTTGTCTGAGTATTTCAATAGCTTTGTTTCTGATTAATGCAATTGATTTGAATGAATAAGCTTTTGTGATTATTGAGTCATTTACTCAATATTAAGTCCCAACTCACTGCCTGGCATCCCAGCCATTCTTCCTGCCAGTGTAGTCAATTCAACTGATATTCTGGTTGTTCCTGTTTTGTTTTGTTTCATTTTGAAACAGGAGGAAGAGGAAGAGGAAAAGGAGGAGGAGGAGGAGAAGGAGGAGGAGGCGGCGGCGGCGGCAGCGATGAAAAGTAATATGATAATATTTGTTAAACTCAACTTGATTTTTATGATGTTTCTATGACTACTTTCACCACCCAAATTCATGTCTTCCTCCTACCTGAAACATTGCAATTGTTTCCTAACTTTACCCAATTAATAGGTCAATATTCTTCATAACAGATATATTCTCTGCTCAAGAATATTGAATGACAGTAATTCTTCAGCATTAATGTGTGTAAGAATCATCTGGTGAGCCTATTAAAAAGGAAAATTTCCTATTTCTCCCAGCAGAAATTCTAATTCTAACATTGAACAGGCTGGTCTTGTACTGCAATTAAATTCTTATATTCATTTTCAGTTTGCAGGGCATCCAGAGGATAAAAGAATAAGTTAATTGACATTAACTTAGTAGTGCAACGCTATGTTTGATCACTAGGTTTAAATGGTGACAGCTAGAACTCTCCAGTGTAAAGCATTTTTGATTCTGCAATCAGCAAATAATCTGGCATCAGACAAACATCCAGGTCCTAGTCAACCTTTCACCTAATGTTTTCAGCATTTATTTTGCTCCTTGTCTCTTTAATTCAGGATTTCAAAACAATGATTTTTCTAATTGTGTCTTTTTTCAACATTTATTGATTGGAATTTTTCTTCAAAAAGAGAGATTTCTCTAATCAACTGGAACTATTTGAATATCTTGATCAATAGTTTCTAATAAAAAATACTTGATAGTTGATTAATTTTCCCTTTAATTACCAAACTTCAGAATAAGGACTTGACATGAGAGTCACTGCCAACATTATCAAATATTGCTGTGATTGTTTCTTTTTATTAATCATCATTGGAGGCATATATATTTCAATATTATAAATGTGTCTCAATCAACTACAAATAATTATTTTTTCAGTGCTCAAAATTCTCCAAATTTGGTCAACAGGAACTCATGTAGTTTAGTGCCCTTGTCATTTAAGCAGAGCTCCCTTACTCTTTGAATGCTTCTTCATTTTCTTTTTTTTTTTTCTTTTTCCTTTTCTTTTTTTTTTTTTTGAGACGGAGTTTTGCTCTTGTTACCCAGGCTGGAGTGCAATGGCGCGATCTCGGCTCACCGCAACCTCCGCCTCCTGGGTTCAGGCAATTCTCCTGCCTCAGCCTCCTGAGTAGCTGGGATTACAGGCACGTGCCACCATGCCCAGCTAATTTTTTGTATTTTTAGTAGAGACGGGGTTTCACCATGTTGACCGGGATGGTCTCCATCTCTCGACCTCGTGATCCACCCGCCTCGGCCTCCCAAAGTGCTGGGATTACAGGCTTGAGCCACCGCGCCTGGCCTGCTTCTTCATTTTCTAACTCAAGAAGTCCCAAGCTCACCTTGAACTTTTCATGCCCAAGACCTGGAAGTAATCATTTCTCCAAGCAAGAGTGAACATAGAAATTTAGGAGCCCAAAGTCGGTGACAAAGGGTGCACACTACTGTTAGGGCACCAATGCTTGCAGGCCATTTCAGTGGCCAGAGTTAGAACATATAAAGATAAACAAATATATAGAAAACAAATGTATTATATTGGAAGATATATATTTCCATATATTAGAAGTATATATCACATATTTATAATAAATTTGTATATATTTCTAATATATGAAAATACATATTTTCTATATATCGTGTATTTAGATTAATATAAATTACATACATATCACAAGTTTATATATATTTCCAACTCAAATGGAACATGACAGAAATTTACTTAATTATTTCTTTTTTTTTTTTTTTTGAGACAGGATCTCAGTCCTCTCAAGCTGAAGCGCAGTAGTGCAATCACAGCTCACTGCAGCCTCAACTTCCTGAGCTCAGGTGATTCCCTCACTTCAACCTCCCAAGTGGCTACATACAGGCATGTATCACCATGTGTGGCTAATTTTTTGTATTTTTTGTAGAGATTGGGGGCGGGGGGTCTTACAATGTTGCCCAGGCTGGTCTCAAGCTCCTGGGCTCAAGTAGTCTCCTGGCCTCAGCCTCTGAAAGTACTGGGATTACAGGTGTGAGGCGCAAGGTCCAGCCCTGATTTAATTATTTTATCTCTTTTCTTTTAAGTTGAAAATCTTGATTTCTAATAATAGTCATATAACTACTAATTGTTTTATCCTGTGATATATAAAAAAAATTTCAAGGTGAGAACACTAATGTAACTACTAGGAAGAAAATTATTGAATCAAGTTTAAAATTTCCTAGCAATCTTTTTGCCATTTAAATACATGATACTAGCATATACAGTCTGATTACTGTGCTTTAAAGTCATGTGAAATAATTATTTTCTCCATGTGATTATAATTTGATATTCAATGAGGTTCACTTGTTTCAGTTAGTTTTCAGTTTTAGGGTTTGCTTTTTCATTTTAATTTTGTTTTTTAAAATAGATATAACATTTTCCTTTTTTAAAAGCCAAAACTGTATTTAAAAGAATACTCAGAGAACTCAAAATCTTGCTGTTCTGGTTTTTTCCTATAAGGAATGACTTTTACTAGTTTTCGGTTTATCTTCCATGTTTTTTGTATACATACTTGCATATGTGTATATGATTCATATCCTCACAAAATATATATACATATATGTACACACACACATACACATACACCCCTCTTTTTTTATAAAGGTATAAAGGGTAGACACAACTCTGATTTTTTTTTTCCTTTACAATAAATTCTGAAAGTAACTAAATCAGTACATGGAGATCTTTCTCACTCTTCTGTTAGGATGACCTAGTGCTGCTTTTTGTCCTCTTTTATTCAATGTGTCTTTGATGAGCTGTTTTCAACCTTTCTATTGAAAAAACAATGCTGGTATGAAAAGCTTATACATACGCTATTTTGTACTTTGGTTGTCTGGCTTCAGGAGCACTAAAAGTGGGATTTCTGGGTCAAAGGATAAACGAGTCTGTAATTCTGTTAGATTTTGCCAAGTTCCCCTCCATGGGGCTGTAACATTTTGTGCTCCCACCAGCAATGTGCAGAGCACCACCTGTTTCTTTTTAGACCTGCCAACAGGGCTGCTGTCAAACTTTTGGATTTCTGCCAACATAACATGTGAGAAATGGTATCTCAGTATAGTTTTGATTTGCATTTTTCTTGTGTGAAGTTGATCATTTTCTCAGAGGATTAAGAATCATTTATAGTTCTTTTTCTGTGTAATTCAATTCACATCTTCTATTATTCTAATTTTTGATTTGCTCTATGTACTTTTTCCCTTTGCTGATTTTGCTTGTATCCTTTTGTGCAATAAATCATAGCCATGAGTATGATTCTATACTGAGTCTTGTAAGTCCTTCTATCAAAACTTGAAGGGGTTTTGGGTGCACTGATATAGGTTGCCTTTCCATTTGGTCAAAATGCTTTTGTGTCACTAAGGAGAGTTTTAAAGTTTTCCTCATCTAAGTTTTAACTTGTTAGGATTATTCCAAGGTAATTTATCTTGTTTGTTGTTTATATAAATTGGAGTTCTCTCTTCAAATATATACTTTAATTTATTATTTATATTTATGAAGACTATTAATTTTTACAGATCAATCTTGTGTCTTCGTACCTTATTAAATTCTCTGCTTATAGTTTTTCCATTGATTCTCTAGAGTTCTGCAGGTACACTTTTATATCATCTGTAAGTGGAAATACTTAAATATTTTCTATTTCAAATTCTATGCTTTCAATTACTATCTAATCCAATTTATTAATAACACCAGAAACTGTTAAATAGTAATATGATTGAATGTCTCCTTACCTTGTTCCTGAAGTTATGAAATAGGTTTAGAAATTCCTTATTAAGATGCTACATGTGTGGCTGAGGTATATATACTTTATTGTTTTTTGTTAGTTAGTTAGTTTGTTTGTTTTCTGAGTTGAAGTCTCACTCTGTTGCCCAGGCTGGAGCAAGTGTAGTGGAGTGATCTTGGCTCCCTGCAACCTTCACCTCCCAGATTCAAGTGATTCTCCTGTCTCAGCCTCCAAGCAGCTGGGACTACAGGTGCCCACTACCACACCCAGCTAATTTTTGTACTTTTAGTGGAAATGGGGTTTCACCACGTTGGCCAGACTGGTCTCGAACTCTTGACCTCAGGTAATCCTCCTGCCTCTGCCTCCCAAAGTGCTGGGATTACAGGCATGAGCCACTGCACCTGGCCCTGTTTTAAGGAAGTATTCATTCATTCCTACTATTTTGAATGATCTGTTTTTCCCCATCAGAAATGATTATTTAATGTTTATCAAATACATTTTTAGCTTCTGTGGGTTGTTTCCCTTAGATCTATTATTAATATTATAAACTACATTAAAAGATTCCTTAATTTTGGTTTTAATAAAAATAATTAAACGTTAGTTTGTTCCTGAATGCTTTTTTTAAAAAACTTAAGCTTCTTGTACTTAGCTCATGAGATTTAAATAATTCTCTGCACTACTTACTGTTTTCTGAGTAAAGCAAATCCAATTGTTTTTCAAAATACTTTGCATAATTGACTGTTCAGATTAATTCTTCCAGATATATGGTAGGTTCTTTCACTACATAGATTTAGGGTTTTTTTTCCCTAAACTAAGAAAATATTTTCCTTATTTATAATTTTAAATATTAGTTCTCTTTCATTGCTTTTTCTTCTCCAGAAAAGGCAATAATGTATATTTTGGATATTTTTGCCTGTTTCCTAAAACTATAACCTTCTCTAGCCCATTATACATTTTTTTGAAAGTGTCTGCAATATTTCAGGGATAGGGACCATCTTTTCAGTTCTGTCCTCTAACATCCTTGCTGTATTTTCAGTTTTATTTATTCTCAGTGGAGCACCTTGCTATTTGATCTTCTTTTGAGATGATTTTTCTTTTTCTTCAATTTTTCTCCTGGGTTTTCGCCAATTCCATTTTAACATCTTCCTGCTGTTTATCTATTTCCACTCCTAATTTTTAATCTGTAATTTTTTATGTCTCTTTGTAGCTGCAGTTGTTTCCTTAGTTATTTTATGTTACCTTTTTATATTCTTTGGCTTCATGACTAGATATTTAGAATTTGCTTGCTGTTGTTGCAAAGTTTTTAAAAATCTATACAAAGGAATAGCTGTGTCTCAGTATTGGAATTTCATTTTTTTCTTCATTATTACTATTTTTTTTCATTGTTTTGTGGGCCAGTAATAGCAAGAGATTCTATGCAGGGGGCAGCAGAGAGGCTTCAGGCTGGCTTCCCAAATTTCTCAGTTAAAGGGCTCCCTCTTATGTTCTTACTGTGAGGGAGCTTCTTTTATAAGCGGCACTTTTTCCTTGTCTGTCTTCTGATGCTGTCACTAATATCCTGTTTTACTGAGACCCTTATTTTTACATATTTTGTTTTTCCTTTGACACCCAGGCTCCAAGGGTTCCTCTCCCTTCCAACGACTTCCATGCATTTTCCGATACTCTTTCAACTCCACTCATGAGGGCTCTCTGACCTGCCAGGTCCCAGATTTTCTGTCAGTATTTTCCACTCAAGTTGGGGGATCTTTCCTTCTGAGGCTCCGCTCCAGTTGACTGAAACACTGTAATAATGGTATTCTACCACTATTAGGACCTCGTTATACTTCTCTATTTTCTTTGATGCCCTTACCTAAATCTCAGCCCCACTGTGAGCCTCAGAGCCATCGTTCCCAGTTTTTGGAGTCTTGCTCTTCCCTGTCTCCTCTAAACACCATAGGTGTGGACTGTTCTGATCTTTACAATTTGAAGAAAGAGGTACTGTAGACTCTAATTTAGGCAGCCACCATTTTCCTGTTTTTTCCCCCATTGATTTCTTGAGCTTAAATGCTATTACATTCTACTAGTGTCAGCGCAAATTAAGGATCACATTGATACTATGACTAATTAAATTACATTCTGCTTGTGATAAAAGGACTTTTTATGTGTTTGAATATTGAACCAGGTCATCAGATACTTACAACAGAGGCATAATATCTAGGAAATTAGGTTAAGAAAGGTTCTTCACAGATTCAGCTATGAACAACTTACTCACCTGCTTCATTTCCAGAGATGAATTTAGGATGAACTATGTGTAATAAATGGTGCTCTCAAGTCCTCCTACTTGAAGACCGTTATCATTTATATTGAGAACATGTATATAGTCAGTAGTATCTGCTTGGGTATATATCATAAGAGAGTGAGATATCTCTGTGATTTTGCACTGTCTTAACAGACTGCCTCTAATGTATCACATTCTGTTTTAATGCTTATTCAATAACAAACCTGTATTTAATTCTCTACTACCTTTTTTCAGATGGTTTCTGGGTTTGAAGAATATTTTGCTTTTAATTCTACTTCCCCAAAACCTGAATGATAACTGCTTTTTATTCCCTGGCAGTTGAATGGATCCTTCAAATTTCACTCTGCTTCCCTATATTTTCAGTTTTTGTTCAAGTTGGGGCATATAGACATAGCTCGGAGTACAGTGATTATAATATATTCTTTTCAAAATAGAATAATTCTGTTGTTTTAACCAAATTAATCAGTCACTTTCCTAGATTTGCCTCGCAAGTTTTATTCTAACATGTGTCATAGAACAATTCCTCCACTTTGATTATCTTTTGCCTTGCATGGTTTTGCTTTTTTGTGTATTATAAATATTAATTTCTTTTGTTCAGACATGAAGTTCTATGAGAACAAATACCTTGCTCTACTCCTCTTTTATGTTGGCTGTGTCACCCAGGATGATGTTGTACACACAGCAAATATTTTTTGATTTTCTCCTGAAATTCTGCAGTTTTTACATTACACAAATAATGATTATTATATTCCCCAGGGAAACTTGTCTCTGAAAAAATTTTAAGTAAAAGAATTACACTTCGACTGCCTGGATTCATTATGATTATGCTCTTTCCATACCTGCTGCTCCAGAAGTGTTTTCACCAGCAGCTCCAGTGGTGGCTACGTTTCTCCCTTCAGTTGTTCCTAATTGAAAAGAGCCACAACAAGTGCTCAGTCTGCATCAGGGTTTTCAAAATCACGAAATAAAAATACAGGATACCTAGTTAAATATGAATCCCAGACAAACAATAAACACTGTGTTTCGATTACTGCATGGGACAAACTCATCAAAAAAAAAAAAATTTTCCTGATTTGTGTGAAATTCTAGTGTAAATGGTATCCTATGTTTTCTCTGGCAACCTTAGTCTACATAAATGGTTAGGATGAAATATTCTTTTAAGAAATTTCAGGGTTTCTTTAGAGGGGTAAGGGGCCATAGGACTTAAACCATCTATGATCATTTGTTGTAAATTAAGTCCCTTCTAAATTCACTGAAACTTATAAGAATTTGAGTTTCCAAATAAGTTTGTGACGCACCACCACTAAAGTGACCGGGTGAACCCGGGGTTGGCCTGGTGAGTTTCCCAGGTGGGTTGGAACCGGTGAAAGATGTTCTAGTTGTGATTTCACTGTCAGATCCAGCAGTACTTCCAACAGACTGTCCTGTTACACCTGACAAATACATTATTGGGAGAGTATATACGTTTTTCTGACAACCTAGTGCTGTAGTAGTTTTAAAGGAAAAATTTAGAGACAACATAAATTAAAACTTTTCTTTAAAATGTTAATCACTTATATACCATTCTATCTTTTCTTGGATGGCATTTATACTAGGTAAAATTTGCCAAATTCCGATGAAACACTGTCTTTTCCACCAAAAGCCATGGCCTTGGAATGACGTCCTCTACTCACCTGACATGCCTTCAGATGGTGTCACTTCCCTGCTTGTGGCTCTAGTTTTTTCACCCACTGAGGGTCCAGTAGTTCCTTTCAAAATAAACAATAAATATGTATCATGATCTTTGATTTAGCAGAACAGAGGGTGCTACTTTCTGCTTCCAAAATATCTTTTGTTTATACTTATTCATTTCCAGATATGGTTCCTGCTTTCTAAAAATTGATCATAGTAATCTTATACAGTTTTTGGAATCCCTGAGAGTGCTTATTTACTTCTTTCTTGTAAATAAGCTTGTTTATTATTTGTTTAATATTCAGATATTTGAGCCTAGTGGTTCTCAATCCAGGTTACATATGGGACCCACGAGGCTTTTAAAAATACTTAATGTTTGGTCCCTTCTTCCAGGGATACATATTCAATTAGTCTGTGAAGGATTCTTCAATATGTATTTTCAAACATTTCTCTAGTTGATTCTAATTTGTAGTTAGGATTTCACACCATGATCCTAGCCCCACTCCAGACTCACAGGCTCAGAAGTTCCAGAATAGGAACTTTTGTCAATCTATATGGCCGATTACTACTGGCAATACCGGTGGTCAGTAACTCCAGTTCTCATTCCTTACAATGCTGCTAAATAGAGGAAATGTGGGCAGAGGCACACTCTCCATTTTACTCCTGCACACTCACCGATTTCCCCTTTCACTTACCTGCTTTGCTGCTTTCAGAGGTTGTGGCTGAGGCTCCAGGGCTGGCAGTGGTGGAGCCCACAGAAACTCCTGTGCTTCCTGAAACCAAGATGGGGAGAGGTATGCATGTTATTACTTCTGTTACTATGACTACTTGGAAGTTTCCAGAAAAAGGAAGTGAAAGAAACTATCCCTCCAACTCTCCTCAGCCCTGCATTCTAATACTAGTTCTACCCTGAGTTTATAGAGCACAACTTAGTGTCGGAGTCATGGCTGGGAGCTTCTGAGACATTAGATCCAGGCTGGTCGATCTTACCAGAAACTGTGGCTGCAGTGCCTGTTTTTCTGGGGGTAATACCACCTCCGACTGCCAAGGTTGCTCCAGATAATACCCCAGGTGTGCCTAATTTTTTTATCATGGCAGAAAAGTAATGGCTGCTTAGGAAAGTTAAATCCTTATGAAAGTCACCTGAAATACATATTTTTTTTCCTTTAAAAAGTTAATCTATCTCATAAATGTCATGATAATTTATTGTTCAAGGTAAATCAGATAAATCAGGAAACTCTGATATTGTACTGATTTCAATAAAGGAGTCTTTCTTAGTAAAATATAATAATCATGCAGATAATTCACTGTTCAACATTGAATAGCTCAACGTTGAATTATCTAGACTCTTACTAGAATTGCCCTACGCTCCAGCGTGTACCTTTTATTTGCTTAATTAACTCCTAACTTTCTTAGTCTTTATGATCTACATGTGTAGGAATATTTATGCCTTCCTCTCCAAAGTGAAGTGGATTGAGAACAAATATATGGCCTATCCTTTTCCTGTATTCCACAGAGCATCGATCACAGTATTAGGTACACGGCATATGCTTGTTGGAATGATCTGGTCTTCTGGACACACAGCCTTACATAATGTTTGGATTCCCCAAGAACCCTTGTTTCTGACTAAATTTTGAGCAGAAAGCTCACGTGTCTACAGGACAGCGTCATGATGGTTTTGCTCCTCCAGTACCTGTTCTCCCAGATGTATTTTCATCAGCAGCTCCAGTGGTGGCTGCATCCACTCCTCCAGTTGTTCCTACTTGGAAGAATAATGGTACTTAATGTATATGGATAGTTATGAAAAAAAAAAAATTCTTTCAGCATATTCAGAGTTTCATGTCATTTTCCTAAAATATTGTCCTTGGCTATCTCTATCTAATCTCATTATCGTATTCTGGGGTCTTGGCAAATCTTGTGTTGGACCCCAATTACAGCCCCCTAAAAGAGTCTTTGTCTTACCTGCTGGGTTCCCAGGGCTGGTGGCCCCAGTGTCTGATGCTCCAGATGTGCTTTCCCTGCCTGCTTCTGTGGTTGCACCCATGGATTCTCCAGTTGTACCTGACAAACACAGTAGCAGTGATTTCAACATATGGTGATTCTGAAGGAAAAGACTAGGCAATTCAAGTCAAATTTAAAGCTCCCTGAGCAGCATATATACTTTGATTATCTACCCATTTAACAGGTACTAAAGCATGTGTCCTGACTTGCCTGATTTTCCTGGGCTTGTAGCTCCTTTGCTTGGTTCCCTGGGTATAATGCCCTCCTCTCCTCTCATTGTTGGGGCAGGAGGGCCACTGGTTACTTTTGATAAAAAATAGAATTTTAAAAAAATGCCCCAGCCGGGCGCAGTGGCCCATGCCTGTAATCCCAGTATTTTGAGAAGCAAAGGTGGGTGGATCTCCTGAGGTCAGGAGTTCAAGACCAGCCTGATCAACATGGCAAAACCGCATCTCTACTAAAAATACAAAAATTAGCCAGGTGTGGTGGCACAGGCCTGTAAGTGCCAGCTACTCAAGAGGCTGAAGCAGGAGAATCTCTTGAACCCGAGAGGCGGAGGTTGCAGTGAGCCATGATCGTGCCACTGCACTCTAGCCTGGGCAACAAGAGCGAAATTCTAGTCTCAAAAAAAAAAAAAAAAAAAAAAAAAAAAAAAAAGACCCTACACAAACCAACTCCTTTACTCTTTTAAAATTCCTCTGAAACAAGTCATATTATTATTCCTATTTATTAGATGTGATTAAATGACCTGTTCCAGGTCACTCAGTTGATTGACAGCAGATCCAGGAGCCAACATTCAAGCAGTCTGGCTACAGTTAATATTCTAATCTGTGCTTCTTGAACAATCTATTGCAAAAGATCAATTTTGTAAAATTTGGAATCTGTCCTAGATGGATACTTTGAAAAAGGCCATACAAATAGAGAAATGACGCCTGGCACAGTGGCTCACACCTGTAATCTCAGCACTTTGGGAGGCCGAGGCAGGCAGATTGCCTGAGCTCAGGAGTTGGCAATCAGCCTGGGCAACATAGTGAAATCCTATCTCTACCAAAACAATATAAAAAATTAGCTGGGTGTGGCAGCAAGTGCCTACAGTCCCAGCTACTCAGGAGGCTGAGGCAAGAGAATTTCTTCAACCCGGGTGGCAGAGGTTACAGTGAGCTGAGATCACGCCACTGCACTCCAGTCTGGGTGACAGAGTAAGACTTCATTTAAAAAAAAAAAAAAACAGAGAAATGAAATTTTTAAAAGTAAAACCATACAAAACACAAGGCTTTATTTAATAGACATAAAAATCATCCTGTAAAATTGCTATGTTTTTAAGTGCTTAGTCTCTGCTTCAGTTCTTATTACCTCAAAAACCAGTAATAATCTGGCTATTGCCCATCTGTCAACCAAACTTTTAGTAGCCCTGTTCAAAATCTTTAAATATAGTGCCTCATACCCAAAAGATATAGCTGATTGACTTATCATTATTTTGATAAGTAATTTTGATGCAGGTTTTAAGAAATGTAAACTAAATGGTCATCACGCTAAAATTTAAGTTTACTGATCTAATTGGAATGAACCAGTTTCTTAATTTGTGCTATTGTGCATTGATTATATCCTTTAAACCATTATTTTTTATGTAAACTATATCTTATTCCAAAAAGCGTTCAAGTCATAACTTTCAAATGAAGAAAATTGCTAGAGAAAATAAATGTAGAAAAAATAAAATTAGGCCATGGATTAGTTAGCAAGTACATAAAGAGAAATAGTTTCATTTATACACTAAAGAAATGGCTTTTAACCCATTTATGTATGTAAAGGAGTTTGTTCAACAAGACTCAGCAAGCAACTAATTTTAGGAAATGTTACTCAGGACAATATTTTTCAAAATAAATTAGTTGCTTAGTTGAGGCTGGTATACTTTGCTCTGAACTGAATTTACCTGCCATGCCCACAGCATGAGTGATGGTGGAGCTCACTACTCGTGTTGTGCCTGCATTCCCAGATGTTGAGATGATGGAAAACGGAGTTTCAGTAATGCCTGAAAAAAACATAAACTTCTCATCTAAAGTCTACTAGGACTTTGTTACCAAGGGGTGAATTAACTGTTTAATCAATTTTATCATAGAAAATGGAATCAATAAAACCAGTGACTTTCTGTCTAGAATCTCCGAAGTATTTGTTTTCATATCATAGCCTTTTTTTCTTTTTTACAAATACAGCTTTCCATATCTTGAACTGAGTCACACTAGGCCTTCATACATTTCTCTAAATAACTATTTTAAAATAGGCAGAACCTACAACCACTATGGAGAACAGTTTGGAGGTCCCTCAAAAAACTAAAAATTGAGCTACCATATGATCCAGCAATCGCACTGCTGAGTATTTACCCTAAGGAACGAAAATCAGCATATCAAAGAGATATTTGCATTCCTACATTTGCCACAGCACTGTTTACAATAGTTAAGATGTGGAAGCAACCTACGTGTCCATCAGCAAATGAATGGATAAAGAATATACGAAATGGAGTACTATTCAGTCATAAAAAAAAGAATGAGATCCAGTCATTTGCAGCAACATGGATAGAATAGGAGATCATTATGTTAAGTGAAAGAAGCCAGGCACGGAAAGACAAACCTCACATGTTCTTACTTTGTGAGATCTAAAAAAATCAAATCCATTTAACTCTTGAAAACAGAATGTAGAAAGATGGTCACCAGAGCTAGGAAGGGTGGTGAGAGGTGGGGAAAAGGTAGGGATGGTTAATGGGTACAAAAAAATTTAAAAGAATGAATGAAACCTACTATTTGATAGCACAATAGGGTGACTATCACCAATACTAATTGTATATTTTAGAAAAACTTAAAGAATATAATTGGATTATTTAGAACACAAAGGGTAAATGCTTGAAGGGATGGATATCACATTCTCCATCATGTGTGTATTTCATATTGCATGGCTATATCAAAATATCTCATGTATGTGACATATGTATACACTACTATGTACCCTCATTTAAAAAATTTTTTTAAATTAAAAAAATAAAATAAAATAAACAGATCCTTTGCCCTAATCACTGTTGCCTGGGGCTGATAATAACCATAAATAAACACTATTATGAAATAGGTAATTGCTACTTTCAGCCTTAAAACAGCAAAGAGAGTAACATATATTATTAGATGTGCACATGTTTAAACTCGAAACACGTAAGAGCATAACATATGTTATTAGATGTATAACCTATGTTCTTTTAAAAAAACTTATTATATTTGCTACTGTGGTACATCCTATATTAATAATTAATGATAAAGAAGAAAATCAAAATAGAAACCATGTTTCTATAGCCAGTCAATATAAACTGACCCAAAATAAATTCAATGTTTTTTAAGAAAAATTTAAAACCAGTGGTAAAAGCCTAGTATACTACTTGTCTGAAATATTTTTGCTAAGGCTAAACTGTCCTATAAATGCTTTCTTAAAAACCAGAAGTTACTAATAATTTATACTATTAGATATTTTTATTTAACATATAAAACAAGGAATTAATATACTGACCTGTACTAAAAGGTTTGGTGAGAGGACCTAGAGTCGTTCCTGAAAAGGAAAACAGAAATGATGTGAATTTTCCAACCTCAAGAAAAAAATACTAGAGAGATTGCTCTGCTGTTACATAGTTTGCAATACAGAGTAATTTGTAATATATTTAGAGTTAATAAATTTGTATTTCATTTTTAATATAGTAACATACATGATGTACTTTCCAATGAATATGTGTGTATATATGTACACACACATATACCTATGCTGAATTCTACTAAATTCAAAGTAAATGGAATGTATATCAACAAGGGCAATAAGTTCTCCATTAACCAAAGGCTTATTTTGCAGTTTATGGTTTCTTCAACTCTTCTCAGCTTCTGGTTGTCTACATCTTGGATATTTTTCTACTGAGTAGTATTTAGACTAAAAGGGTTTGGAGGGAAAAGGAGAAGTTTTTTTTAAGATTTATGTTTATGATTTGACATAGCAGGTTTGTGCAAATAATTTTGAATTTACTCTAAACAGCTGTTGTGGAGTATCAGTGAACTCCTGAAGGAAGAGGCCATATTTTAACTTTGTATTCCCAACACCTGTTCATTGCCAGGGATATGATTAAAGCTCATCAAATGTTTCTTGAGGACCTGTGCACTTAAAAATAAACCTTTATTAATCCAAGGTTTTTCATAAATCATAAATAGTCAGATATTTTCTCTATTTCAGTGTTAATTCTCATTGAAAATCCATAGGAATCCATTGCTTACTTTATGTAAATACCACTTTGCAATTTTATAGTGTTTTGGAACTTCAAAAAAAGGAGAGAAACAAACTTCTCACACAATCAGTTTGATCCTCACTCCTCATCCAGCCACACTGCCTTTCTATCTTTTCTACCTGCTGTTTGCAGTTGTCTGTACAATCACCTTTTCTTCAGTCTCTTCTGAGCTCCTTCGCTGGATTAAATCCCCTCCCTCTCATCCCATGCCCTTTTAAGTACTCCATAGCTCCTGTGTTGATGTAAGTTTCCATTTGTTTTTGTTATTACTTAATTGATAACCATATTCCTGACTAGGCCCTAGGCTTTACAGAGGCAGAAACCACATCTATTTTAATTCACTTTAGTATCTCCAAGACCTGTAAGAGTGCCTAGCACATAAGAGCTTGATAAATACTTGTCCACAGAATGAATAAATGAATGAATGAGTAAATGAATGGAGTCAAAATATTCTACCCAGTTTTTATATAAAGAATGGAGCTCAGAAAAGTTGAGTGATTTGTTCAAGATAGCTGATGGTTAGTAATAAAACTAGGATTCAAATGTAAGTCGCCAGGTAACTAAGACTGTGACCCATACTGCTTTTTATGTTATTCTTCCTACACATATAAAACACACACCTCTTGCAGTTTTCAAGTTTTCTTAATTACCCATTCATCTTGTTAATGGAAATATTAAAAATTAGACTAGAAGATGTAGAATACAAATATAGAGTAAATAATAAAATATCCTGTCTACTCAAATTACACAATGGATATTTAAATAAGCATGGTAAGTAGTTTGAGAGAAAGTTTTTTTGACAATTCTCAAGAGCTGACAAGGTTTAGTTGAGAAGAATTTTCAAAATGGGTATCACAGACTCTACCAACTGTACAATTCGGATCTTGATATCTTTTTTCACTAATGAGCACAATAGTTGCACATTTGAATTAAAATCACTTGCTGATCTAAGGACAGCATAGAAAGACTGTTATGCCATGATCCACAGAGACTGTCAAAATTAGAATGATGTAGAAGAATAGACAGACCCAGATATGCCCAAAGATTTTGGTGCAGATTCCATTTCTCAGCATTGATTTAACCTTATGGAATTCCAGCGATCCAATCTGAGCACTTTAAAATTGAAGACAATTACATTAACTAAAAGCAGCATTATCATATGAAGTAAAATCTCCAAATTTTGCACATCTAAATAAATATGCTCTAATCAACATGGATTCAAGAACATGGCTGCACACCATAGGTGGTAGTGTACTGATCATCACTATTTTTACCATATGCACAAGCGAACTTATTTATAGCCCTTTCCTTATCATTGATGTTGCTGAGATGGCAATATGCTCATGTATTACCTTGAGGACCGATCTTTAATCAGGGTCATGGGGTTATCTAAGCTAGGCACAGATTGGAGTACATTCCAGTCAAGCTACTATGACATAACTCCCATGAATGAACTTCAGAAGATGTAAGTCTGAAATTATTGATACAGCAATAAAAGAAGGGATAAGCCTTTACTAATAGGAAACATGAGAACCCACTTTTCTTCTGGGTATAATTACCAACCTGATGGGAGACGGCATTCCCATTCTCATCAATTTTGACATCCATACCATTACAGTTTCAACTGATTTTTCCATTACTTGCAAATGAACATACATGCTAGAAGTACTTGATACTGTCAATTACAATGCATCAGCTTCTTTGTAGACAAGAATAAAGAGTAATAGGAGGAGCTGCCTCTACCAAAACAGTAAAAGCTCTACATGCCTACATGGTAGTATGATACTCCACCCTAAAAGCTTTTCCAAGTGGCTTTGTCCATTTGTGTTTCACCTTTCTATAAACTTAATATAAAGTCTTTCAATTAATTTTCTAGATACCACTAAGTTTTTTAATTACTTCTAAGAATCATTTTAATTTTTAAAAGGAAAAAATATTTTGGCATTTTTTCAATGAATTTTATTTTACTTAAAATATATATCTGAGAGATAAGCTGAAGGAGTATCTATAATATTTCCCCTTATAAACAACAAATTCAATACTACAGAGTCTACAGCTTTTGTAAAGTATCTTATTCTGAAAAAAATTAAAAATTCATAAAAGTGGCTTTAATTCAGAAGTGGTATGTTTCTGATTAGTAACTGAAAAGGTATTAAACTCCCAAACTAAAATATAAACTCATTCACCTAATTATTCTTTATAAAATTAACTAATAATAGAGTTGCCTTTACAGAATAACTACTATGTATTACAATAAACTGCACTATCACATTTACTGTTTTCTCAAATCTTTCCATGTAGAGATTATTATTAGTTCCCACTTCACAGATGACAACACCAAACCTCAGGGTGCTGAGGGACTTAAAACAGGGTCAAACTTTAAAAAGGGAGGATTCAAATTCTTACTTTTCTAATTCCACATTCCACTATACTCATCTATCTCCCTTTTCCTGATGAAAATATGTTTTTCTACAATTGATGCTAAATTCCATTTGACCCAGCAATCTCATTACTGGGTATATATCCAAAGGATTATAAATTGTTCTATTATAAGGACACATGCACACAAATGTTCACTGCGGCACTGTTTACAATAGCAAAGACTTGGAACCAACCCAAATGTCCATCCATGATATACTGGACAGGGAAAATGTGGCACATATACACCATGGAATACGATGTAGTCATAAAAAACAATGAGTTTTTGTCCTTTGCAGGGACATGAATGAACCTGGAAACCATCATTCTCAGCAAACTGACACGAACAGAAAATGAAACACCGCATGTTCTCACTCATAGGTGGGTGTTGAATAATGAGAACACATGGACACAGGGAGGGGAGTATCACACACTGGGGTCTCTTGGGGGGAAGTAGGGGAGGGACAGTAGGGAGTGGGGAGTTGGAGAGAGATAACATGGGGAGAAATGCCAGATACAGATATAGATGAATGGGGAGGAAGGCAGCAAACCACACTGCCATGTGTGTACCTATGCAACAATCTCACATGTTCTTCACCTGTACCCCCAAACCTAAAATGCAATAAAAAAAAGCACATTGTATAAACAAAATTTATATATAACTTATAGCTGTAACATTCTAAGATTTTAAATTTTTGAGTAAATATCTATTTTTAACAGATCACATTGAGGTGTAACAGAAAGCTACTTTTATGTGTCAGTAAACCATGTATTCATTCAAGGAGGGGATTTTTTGTTTGTTTGTTTTAATATAAACCTCCCAAACAATCTATGATTTTAATGTAAGTCCCAATTTGAAATCAGAATCCGTAATTACATGTTGCTACTTTGATAACTGATTTAAATTAAATTAAACTTCATCCTCTTCTTTAAACATGGAAACACAGGGGCATTAGGATTGGAGTCTAGAAAATATGTTCTGAATTTTAATTATCTCCGCAACTTATTAGCAAGTAACCTTGAATGTATAACTTAACCCTTTGTGTTTCCATCTACTTATTTGTAAACAGGGGGAAATGATGGCACCACTTCAGGGAATTACTGTATCAAATAAGATAATATATGTCATATACAGAATAGCACTTACTAAATATTAGCTCTGTATCAAGATCAGTCAATCTAAAGAGGAAAAGCCCTATAACTGCATAATTTTTCTTCTAAAAATAGCACGCTTATTAGAATGGTTAGTTAGGCATCTCTCAGGATATTTTAGCTCTTTGAAAACATTTACTGTATAGAAAAGAAAATAGATACAGAAAGCATGTGGATAAATTAAAGTTTGCATATTGCTTCCCTTTCACCTTAAAAGTTTTCTGTAATATTTTTCTAAATTCCTCAAAAGTATATTTTACTTATATTTACCTCAACAAAAAAGTTAAGGACTGCCGGGCGCGGTGGCTCAAGCCTGTAATCCCAGCACTTTGGGAGGCCGAAGCGGGTGGATTACGAGGTCAAGAGATCAAGACCATCCTGGTCAACATGGTGAAAACCTGTCTCTGCTAAAAATACAAAAAATTAGCTGGGCATGGTGGCGTGTGCCTGTAATCCCAGCTACTCAGGAGGCTGAGGCAGGAGAATTGCCTGAACCCAGGAGGCAGAGGTTGCGGTGAGCCGAGATTGCACCATTGCACTCCAGCCTGGGTAACAAGAGCAAAACTCTGTCTCAAAAAAAAAAAAAAAAAAAAAAGTTAAGGACTATTCAACAATGAAGTCATACCTTCTCTTCCATTCAAGATTACAGTATCATCCAGTACTTGATCAAAAGCACTTTATCTAGAGAACAAGTTTGTGGCAAAAAACCTGCACTCCCTACCCCACTGCTCTGCCAAGACTCTAAAATAAATCTTACCTTTGTGTTCAAGAATTATAGGTTTTTATGTTAAATTGACTTATTTGAAGACAAAGTAAAATGTAAAAGTAGGAAAGTTTTGACTAAGTTAATTTATCCCACTTGTCATATTGGTTCTGCTGAAAAGCACTAATATATTTTCCAAAATTAAAAAGGTTCCCATATCCAAGAAACAAATGCTTCCATTTATTATAGATAGTTCATGGAGAGGCAATACATATTTGAAATGAAGTATCTTCTTAGGTATATAATATATGAAATATAAACTTTTACTTTTCAATCTCTACTATTTTTTGTTGATGCATACTATATTTTGAAACAAATAAACAAAAACCTTTGCTAGTGATGACGTCCAAACACTTATTTTAAAATAAAACAAAAATGGGATTCATCATTCTCATCACTGATCGAGTGAGATTTACCACTAGAAGACTTAAAAACAAAAATCATTTTGCAGTTATGGAATTCATCACAATTTGTCAAATCCACTTTTAAACCACCAATGTCAGTAAAAGAAATACGATGCATCTTTCAAGCCTACAATTTGTGCAAGGCAATTGCTTTACAAAAAGACCTTTATTTCTTCTAAAAAGAGTTCTAAAAGGAAACACCTTAAACTGTTTTGTTTCCACAATGGCATGATGTTTACTGAAGGAATATAGAAAGAAAAAAGTTTAAAATGAAAAAAATACATTGGTGTCTCTTAAAGAGAAATGTTTTATTCTTACATGAAAAATGAAAATTAATGGACGTGACTCTTTTCCTTTAGATGTTTGAAATAAAACTCTCAGTAAACACTTATCTAATACTTTCTGAGATTCTTATTTACCATCCTCACTTTATGTAAATTACTATGAATCCTTGGTCAGAAGAAAATTGGCATGTCATCTCATAGTTACTAAAACTCAGAAATATCACATTTTGAATATTTTGTACTCCATCCAAGTCCCTAACACTAGTTGAAGTAGACTATTTATGATTTCCAGTTAATTGAATCAATAAAGAAGACCAAATGGTAGGATCCAAGCCCTTAAGGCACAGATTTTTAAGGAAAACTACATTAATCATTATTTGAATGATTTCGAAATTCCCATCTGTTTAGTATGATACGGATACAGCCTCAGAAAAGATGAGGAATTAAGAATTACCACTAATTCTTACCACTAATCATTATTTTTTAACTGAAATTTGATCCATTTAACTAAAATTTAATTAAAGTTTTGTATGCTTCACTTTATCTGGAAAATTAGCAGTTCTTAATCCGTTCCACATAAGCTACATACATATTAACAAATGCTGAGAACATATTATTAATTTGATATTCAATGTTTTCTGTACACTGGAATTACGTGACTAACTTTACTTGAAACAAACACATTTTGTGGTACAATTGGAAAATTTTAAGATGAAAAAATAAATATTTTTATACTTCTTTGTCCCCTGCTTTTAGAATAACGTTGACTAAGTTTCTGGCTTTCATGAATAACAAGAAAAGAAAACCAATCCTAACTTCTCTCTAGATCATGTCAGGAAGTCCTTTTCCTTCTTATCCTTATAACCCTGAAAATGTTACTTAAGCTCTTTGCATTTCCTCACCTACAAAATGATTATGTGAGGGCGACTGTGGAGAATAACAATGAGACGATTAAGATTTAATCAGATACTGAATGAAAAATATTTAACGTAATGACTAGAAAGAGGTAAATAAAAGTTATTTTTAGCCTATCTTTCCATATGGCACTAACATAGCATTTAGTAAATTATTAATATTATACTTACAGAGCATGAAATATCTACCAGAATTTCAGGGAAATTAAATAAAACTTTAGAATTCAGTAAGGCAAAGCACAAAAGTTATAAATAATACTTAATGAATTCAGGAAAAATATCACCCAGGTAATCTTTCCTATAATTCAACTCTGCATTTGATTCATAATTTTTAAAATGCTACCACGAACATGATTGATAAGATTTTTACAGTGTTTTACAGTAAATTAGACAAAATAATACATCTAAAACTTCATTAGTTGCTCACAAAAACCCTAGCAGGGTAATCTATTCATGATCTTCTGTTTTCCATGGAAAGTTTGCTTGCTACAGTACAAAGTGTTGACAAAATAAAATTGGATATTACATTCAAAACCAGGTGTTTGAAAAGAAAACATTTATATATATATAATATATAAGAAGAAATTTATAAGAAAATATATATATATAAAAATTATAAATAAGAAAAATAAGAAAAAATTTAAAAATTTATATTACATATATTATATATTTTATATGTACATATAAAATATAGATTATAAAATATAATCTATATTTTATATGTACATATAAATATATTTATAAATATAATCTATATTTTATATGTATATATAAATATATTTATAAAATATAATCTATATTTTATATGTACATATAAAAATATATGTATATTTTATGTATGTACATATAAAATATATATATTTATTATATATATTATATATTATAAATAATATATATTTATTATATATATTATATATTATATATATAATATATATATATTTATTATATATTATATATTATATATTATAAATAATATATATATTTTTATATATTATATATTATATATTATAAATATATATTTTATATGTAATATATAAACATACATATAAATATATATTAATATACATAATTATATATAAGATAGAAAAATTAAAACACTTTTAATAGTTCTAAGTAAGTATCGTGATACAGGATATAGAAATAATCATCACAACGCTGAAGAAATAGATGAAACAGTTTATCTAAACTGTTTTTGATTCACGCATATCTATGGAGTTCATCAAATCAAGGAAAAAAGCATTTCTTTAAACGATCACAAGATTCAAAAGTTTTACTAGCTGATGAATGACTTTGACTAAAGGAGAGCTTAGTAACTGAACTAAATTAATCATCACAGAAATAGAACTAGGCTGAGAATTAGGAATTCAGTCCATTGCTTGTGACTGACGTAATATGTAGCTAGAAAATTACTCATTGGTGTATATGAAATAATTCAAAAAACCTATTGGGATGAAATTGTTATTGGTCTTGGGAAATGAATTTATGATTACAGACTGCAGAAAAACATTTCTGAGATGTGTCAGGCTTTCTGAGATTTATGTTGAAAGATTCAGTAATGCTTTCTGTTGCTAACGGTATTCAACACGAGAAAGTTTAACAGGAAGTAGCATGTTGTTTTCGGTATTTTTAATTATATTGTTCACTATGATGGTTGATGCATAAGATACACATATATATTTATCTCTTTAATATGAAAATACATTAAAAATAGACAATACTAAAATTTACAAAATGTTCGAAATTATAGTCATAATTCTATATTGTAACATCAATTTATAATCCAATAATAGTCTTGGGTTTACACTGTATATTGAAGATTAGCTCTAATGAGTGAAATGCATGAACTGTTAGATTTATCATGTATAACTAATAGCTAACAAATAGTTTATCCTTCACCAAAAATTCTGTGCTAAAATTCTAAACCTGAGTTCTAAATTTTTGACAGGGAAAAAAATAGAGTTCATTCACTCTGTAAATATTTACTGCGTGCGAACTATTCTGTACATTGACACTAGGTACAATTGGGACTACAAGGATAGTGAATCACTGGTCTGTGGCTTTAAGGAACGTGTTCATTTAACACCTGATAAATCAATAAACAACAAAAGAAGAGCTATAGTGCTAAATTGGGAGGTAAAGACCCTAAGTATAGAAAAGTGAGTATGTGAAACATAATGCAGAGTTGGAAGGTTGAAATCCATGGATGGTTTTCTCAAAAACATAGGCTCTAGAAAGAAATGACATACATTATGGATGTGAATCTTCAACTGAGTAAAACTGACATCTCACTAATTGTAAAATTAATTAGTTTAAAGAAAATCAGGTGACTATTATATATTATAAACAACAATAACATGTAGAATCACAATGCTAAATTGTCTGCTAGCCATATTTTTCAAATTCTTTTTTTCCTCATATTTTCTTTTACATTAAAAACAATGAAACATACCCAATGAATTTTTTAATTTAGGTGGAAAAACAAAATAGAAAAATAAACTAGGGGAATTGTATGAATGGTCAGAGGGAAAATTCAAACCCAAATATTTTCAATGTGTAATTAAACTGTTGTTGATTCCAGTGCAGTCGTTCAATGTTTCATATACAAACCTTTATTCAAAACTTTATTCATCACTTATGGATATTCTGATTTGCCTACCTGTTGTTTCACTGCTTGATGTTGTAATACCTGGAAAGGATGCTGCTGAATTTAAGAAAACAAAGGAAAAAATAAGTTTTATATACAGAGCAAATTATGCTTACAAGAGTATCTATGGTCATACATAAAATGGATCAACCTGAAATGACTGTGTATCAGAAAAATTGATCATATAGGTGAATAGAAGCCCAAATATTAGTTTTAAAATTTACAGACAAGTAAAAGGTCACAAAACCTTACCATTTGGTATAATTTTTTTTCCCCAAAAGCTTTCTCTAAAGAAAATTCTCTTTAAAAAAAGAAACTTAGTCTATTTCTTCTAAAAGTGTCATTGCAAAAACATAATACTGCAAAGGAAGTCTGGGTGTTTTTTTTAAAATCCCCCATTGATTAAGCTGTGGCTTAGATGTTATAGCTTACCTGTGCCTGGGCTACTGGTAACCAGTGTAATTGCTATGCAAAGAAGACGACAAATATTTGGAAATGTACATTAAACTGGTATTGACAGATGAGGTTAATCATATGTATTTAAACATGTTTTGAGATCTCCAGAATGCAAATAAAATGATTAAATGCAACAGGTTAGTTCACTTATCAGATGTTTACAAATTTCAATGCACTTTTTTACTCTGCTAGCTACTGTTTTAGTGACAAAGCATCCAATTAAAGTTAAAATTTTTCTGGTGTTAATAAAATAAATTGTAAATTACTTTCAAGGAATTTAACATGCAATTTTCTAACATAGCCACTTTCTCCAAATAATTACTATGTAGAATGATCTTAGGACAGACAACCTTTGAAAAAGAAGATGTTCTTTAATAATATTACAATTACAGAAAGACCTGCTACTTGACATGAGCCTTTGGCAAGTAAATAAATGAGAATGAAAAATTGGAAAAAAGGGCTATGATTGCTGAACCATAAATTATCTTCGCTGCTTATTTAGAATCCGTAAAAATAATTAACATTTTTTTACTTTATTTACCTGCTCCAGTGCTTAATATGGCAGTAGCTGTTGTAGTGGGAACTGTTTAGAAAATACAATATTTATGAAAATTAATTGAATTATTTTTTCTGGGAAATATAGTTCAAGAAAACAATTGCCATAAAGTAAAATTAAAATTTCTGAAACATGTGCAGAGGTTAAGTGATTAAATCATTTTTTATTTATATCAATACAAATAGCACCATATATTTATGTATGTACACCAAAAATAACTATTTCCTGTTATTATCACTTAACCATAATCTCATAGGAACTTTTTAAGGTCAACTTATGGTCCAATAATAACTTAAAGGAATGTGGTTCAGAACCCTGACGTGAAAACTTCAGTTCAGGTAAGTGACCAAAAATAACTAAAACTTAACTGGCATTTTACAGCATGTTGCATAATTTTAAATAAATTATCAAAGCCTAACTTTTCCTATTTTCTATGCTATCTCCCAATTTATACTACCCACCTCCAAATATCAATCAACAGGAAATTAAATCCCTCTTTATATCACACAAGGTAGGAATCTGTAGGTGTACTATAGCAACTCAAAGTGTAGTTATATTGCCCAGGAGGTACATGCCCTAAAACTATCATCCAGCATCCTCCTAATAAACATAAACATAATTCCTTGGCTGGGTGCTGGTTCAAGCCTATAATCCCAACACTTTGGAAGCAGTGAGCTATGATAGCACTATTATGATTATAGGCTATTATGATTATAGGGTGCAGTAGCCTATGATTATAGGCTACTGCACCCTAGTTTGGGCAGAAAGACAAGACCATCTCTCTAAAAAATAAAAAATTAGCCAGGCATGGCAGCACATGCCTATAGTTAAAGCTACTTCGTAGGTTGAGTTGGGAGGATCACATAAGCCTAGGAGATAGAGGCTGCAGTGAGCTGTGATCACACCATTGCACTGCAGCCTGGGCAACGAAGTGAGGCCCTGTCCTCAAAACAAGAATAAAAGCAAGAAAGGAAGGAGGGAAGGGAGGGAGAAAAGAGGGAAGGAGGGAAGAAAGGAAGGGGGGGGAGGGAGGGAGGAAGAAAGGAAGGAAGGAAGGAAGGAATTAACTTTTTATTTCTACTTTTAAATCATTTCCAGCATGATGATGTTTTTAAAATATTTACTTCACAGAAGGAAACATTTACTTCTATTTCATCCAGTTATTCAATTATTATCTAAAAATATAAAGCTTTGAATGATATGTAACTAATATGCAGAGTTAAAATATTAATGAATAACATAAATATTAATAATACCTATTGTATGTTTAATCATATTCCTGACTTAATTCATAGGAATATAATGAAATGATATTCTGACATATTTCTAGTAATTATTATAATTCAAAATTTTTATATCAGCAGATCTACCATCATATCTTTTACTGGAACAGATTTAAGGGAAATCATAAAAGATTAGCCACACAAAGAAACCAGAAATACAACATTTAAAACATAATGATGATTTTACCTGCAAATGTTGAATTGGTAGGAGCAGTTTCTGAAATAATCATACATTACTGTTATTGACAGGAATTTTTATATCTTGAAAAAAATATCTACCATTCAATTTGTCTGTAAGTCATGTCTCTTTTTATTTGCAATTACTAATATAAAAAGAAATAGCACATGTATTCTTTTGAAGTTTTTTGAGGTTAACTTTTAAGATGTGAGTTGTGGCTGGGCGCAGTGCTCATGCCTGTAATCCCAGCAATTTGGGAGGCCAAGGCAGGTGGGTCACTTGAGATCAGAAGTTCCAGACCAGCCTGGCCAACATGGTGAAACCCCGTCTCTAATAAAAATGCAAAAATTAGAGTGGTGGGAGTGGGAGGCCTGTAATCCCAGCTACCCTGGAGGCTGAGGCAGGAGATTCGCTTGAACTGGGGAGGTGGAGGTTGCAGTGAGCCAGGATCATACCACCACACTCCAGCCTGGGCAACAGAGCCAGACTCTGTCTCAAAAAAAAAAAAAAAAAAAAAAAAAAAGACATGTGTTGCTCATGAACAATCCTTCAATCTTTCAGTTATTTAATTCTTTGTATATTGATTCTCATCTTCTATTTCTCCCCGTCACTAAACTGTTTTGCTGACTCCTCGCTCCCTCAATTCCCAGAACCTACAGTTAGGCAGGGGCACATATGCTGTAGGTGCACCCCCTGAGTATCAGCCATGGCCCCATCTGACAGTTGCTCAGCACGTTTTGGCAGCACTGGGTTCCATCAGTGACTCACCATGGACAATTGCTCCGGGATGGAATTGTGCCAATCCTTGAGGGGCAGCCTAATGGTCCTCTGGAGTATGTAAAAAAGACCTCCAACCCTCCTCTGATTTTTCCTAAATCAGTTAGTGTAAAATGTAATGACTTACCACTGCACTCCAACTGCCCTGCAATACAGTAGCTGAAAGTTAAATTTAAAGCGAATGAGTTGAAAAATTTGACAATTAATGACATACAGCTCACAAATTTAAAACAACAAATTGTCTGATTGAAAACAAACAGAACCAAACAGAAGCAAATAATTGTTTCCCCAAGAGAATACCACTGATTCAAATTGCTTGTTTTTCCATGTGCTGCTATATCCAATCAGGAACTCTGGGTGCCTGAAGAAATGGTGTGCAGGTGAGCCTTAAAGGCAGTTCTTGCATGCTCAAACAGGATGTTATTTGATGGCTGTGGGGACCTATTATGATCCCATCAATTTGCTTCCATGTTTGAAAGCCAGTGAATATAATCTTACATTTATAGAATTAGAACTCTTTTTCCCTAAAACTACACAAAGACATTTTCTTTCCTATGTTCTGCATTATTAAAATTCCACAAACCATTTGTTGACACGTGAATTATCTGAAAATAATAATAACATAACTGATATGAAAGTGAACCTAAAGATGGCCTTCTCATTTAGAAATGGCAGAATCAAAAATTATATATAAGCATGTATATAAAATATGTATTATTAACATAATATACTCATACACACATTTGGTTTTTCTCCTAAATCAAAAGGCAAAGGTCAAAATTGCTTATTGAAAAGTTAGTAGAAAATATACCATGTTCTTCCACAATTATCTTCGATCACTCCCCCTGCTGGTATGATATCATTATAGAAGCAGCTGCACTCAGATAAACTGACACATTTCATGGTGTTCTCATCCAAGTAGGGTGCACTATCTGGGCACTTAGCATAGCAACCTGTGTGTAAAAATGACCCGCAGTTCATCTCTATTTACTGACACTCATTATACTGTATATTATAGATTTGTAAAGTTACTTAAATGACTCCACGAGGTGAAGTAGATAATAGCAAAGCATCACACTCGAAAATATGTAAACATAAGAAGGTTCAGACTTTCTTGCAGTGAACTATCACACTAAGAACTTAACAGATTTTGGTTGGTTTATTTTTTTCTAAAATGAGTCAAAGTAATTTTAAATGATTTGCTACTTTCACAATGGTTATGATGCTGTAACATAAAACAGGCTCTGGTAAATATCTTGAAATGTGAATGCCAGTCTCAAAAATCTGTTTTTGCAACAATAGGCAAAGAAACAGAAGTCATAGCAAAATAGGATAAAAATATGCCAAAGAATTTAACACAAATGTGATTTTTGGAAGTTTCATGTTATCCTGTTTCCCGCCTGTTCTTTTTCTCTGAAATATATAATGCTAAGAATAAAATGCTGCTTAAGTGTGAGATACAGTTAATTATTACAGTACTTATACTACTCAAGAAAGATTGTATTATATGTTGCATTCTGAAACTGCATTCACACTAAATGACATTGTCCAGTAAAAGGTATAAAGAGTGACAATAGGATCAGAGTGCTGTTCTCCACCCCCAACTAAGCTTATGTCTAGAAAAAGTGTTTCTAATGTAGAAACATTAATGTCATAATAAAGATAACTATTCATTAAATTCCAAAATATTAGACACTCCACTGGGAGAAACAACCCTTTCCAGTTAAGATGAATATCATTTGCACTACTTTATGGATATCCTTAAAGTATGTGTTACCTTCTAAAAGCGAAGAAAATTTCTGTCCAATGAGCTGATCTTTGCATGTCTTTGCTGTCACTGTGCCGCAAGGTTCATAATGCCAGCTGCACTCCCCAGGTGCATTGTAGTAATCACAGTAGACCGCTAGAATTGAATTAGATCAAATTATTTTCATTCATCATATGACAATTTTCACCTGTCAGTTTCCAGAGCACTTTAAAAAGGGATTTGGGATGATAGTAATAATAAATATATCTAAAGTATATCAGGTCTTATTAAGTTTCCTTGGCTTTATCTAAACTGTCATATAAGCCAAAATAGGCCACAGGGGAGGAAGGTATATAAACTCAAAACAGCATTTTGTTTTGCCATCTCACACTCAGGTTAGTTTGTGATAAAAAGGTAAACATTAATTTTCTCATATGGAGATATTTTAGATCATAGTCTAGATTCATGTTTTTAATTTCAACTTTAAATTGGAAAACTAAATCTTAGACAATTAAGCTTTTTAACAGTGCTTAAATGGCATAACTAAAGATGTCAATATCCTCTAAGGCTGTGCATAATAAACAGAATAAAATGAGGTTTCTATTTTAACCCTTCTCATCATATTTTCTCTCATAATACTTAGAAGGAAAAGAGCTAATTTCTGTTAAGATTATCATATTCCATATGTATCTAAATTTAATCTATACTCAGTTGACAGTTCATCTTCAAGAGGGCTCTATGAAAGTTTTCAAGAAAACATGTGTGAGCACCTTCAACAAAAGTAATACAGGCAGTAAATGTTGGAGGATATATGAATACACCAAGGTAAGTAAATAGTTCGTTGTTCATCTAAGCATAAGAAATATTCTCCATCAGTATTCATTTTTTCCTCTATGAACACATGGATTTTTTAAACTAAAATTGAACTTGAAGCACTGGGCCAGGTGCTTTATTTTTTAAGTTAGGTATTTTTGCACATCAAAAACAAAAATATTAACATGTTTCTAGGTACACAAACAAGTGTTTTATAGAAAATATGAGAGGAAGACTGACGGCCTAAGAAAACACTTCTATCTAATTACGTTTCGAAAGAACAACAACATATGGACCTCACTTACGACACAGATTTGGTTTTCTCCATGAGACACAGACTCCAACCGCACTACACGCCTCTGCGTACATAGCCACAGCGGTGCAGAATCCCAGGTACTTCCCCTCCATGTCACATGCACAGGCTTCTTCGATGCACGCATCATAGTAAGCACTGGGGTCAACCTAGACAGAGCACAGCACGTCAGTCTCTGGGAGGAAACCCTGTGTAAATCACTGCTTTCAGAGCAATGCTACCTTGTTGTGGCAGTCTCTGAAGGTGCTGTCTCTGAGGATCTCACATTTCCGCACAGCCCAGGCTTTACAGTATGGGTTTGAATCACAAGGGAACGTCTGAGCCACTGTATCTGAACATTCTTGGCTTGTCTTCCAACTATTCCCAAATTCCAGTGCTCCAGAAGCTACTGAAGTGTACCTTGTTGTGAAATCATCCTTGAGATCACCATTGTTATTTCCACAAAGACCACATACTTTACCCTGTATTGATCAGAAAGGGAAATTTAAAAATTAGTGTACTAGTGACATTGAGATAAATATACAAGCAGATAGATGGTAAATGAACAGATAGATATCATGATTATGTATATTGGAGCATGAATCTATGTTTAATTCCAAACTTCATGGGTAGGATTACAGAATCTGTAAATGAGATTTTTCTCTCATTTAAGGTACCCCATGCCACAAAATGATCTAGTATCAAGCAGAATCAATGTCTAAAGAACCAAAACAGGTATGTCCGCTAGCTCCAAATTATACAAGACTACTTTGATTTCTTAAAATATTTGCTCCAAGGAACACATTTAATTTGAAATATAACAACCACCTGAAAATCATATCATGTGATAATCTCAAGTAACCAAATATGGTTAAACTAGAATGCCTCAAGTTTACTGCATTTACTTTTTAACCAGATTTTATTATCTTTGATTATGTTTCATATTTTACAGTAAGATTGAACAAAGGTGGAAAGCTTGTAACTCTAACAGAAAGCCTGCCATTCTCCTGCACTCTGCCTATGAATACCTGTCTTGAATTTTTAGTAACAGAAACGATTTTGCTTCCCCATTATTCCCTTGTTAGTGATGTACATACATTCCAGCTTGGATCCAGGATAACAGACAGTCTTGTATTTTTGTCCCAAATCATGGTTATTCCATTTTGAAATTTCACAATTAAGTACAGGCCAACAGTATGAATGGAGTATGCATTTGCACTGAGTTCACATTCCTTACTTTCTGCAGTTTTGACTGCTGTTACTTTACCATCTTGCAAGACAACGTTCTGATCCTGTAAATTCACACAGATTTAGAATAACAGTTTTATTTGGCTGCTCACAATGCAAGAGTAAAAGTAAAGAAAATAGTACTTTACCTGAAAAGAAACAATGATTTTTCTTGAGCACGTTAGTCCATCTTCACAGCATGGAACACTCTCCGTTAAAATACGAAATGTGCCATTTTCATGACCACAATAATCCTTTAAAATATAAATTATAATAGTTGGTGAATATCAGAGACACAGAACTCAACTACAGTGTCTGTCTCAGACAAACATTCTTAGAGAGAATATTTACCTTAAACTCAATAAATCGCCACATTCTGTGTTACAGAATTTCCAAAAGACAATAGTACGACTACATTTATAGATATCCCTGGCCAAGTCTACTCTAGTTAACATGTTTTGACTCAGTTATTTTTCCATTAGTTCTGCACAAATTCAGAATTATACTACAGACATCTAAGTATTTAAAGTTTATATGTTTATAATTGCAAATTTATTTCTAGGCTCTGTAAATAGCTAGATAAAGTTGGCCTTATTTCCTCAAAGACTTATGAAAAACTTGATATTCAAACAAAATTAATCCATAAATACAATACAATCCAAGTTGCAGCCCTTAAATATTAGTTAGGAAGCTAGCAGCTTAATAAGATGAACTCTGGAATGTGTGTAACAAGCATGAACTCTGTAATCAAACAGGTCTAGGTTTATTATGACATTTTCCATTTGGTAACATAAGTTGCTTAACCTCTCTAAACCTCAATTTCATCATCTGAAATAACAGTATCAGTCATAGAAATAACAGTATCAGTCTTGAAGTATCGTAATTCCTAAATGCAATGAAATCTATACATTTGCCCGACAAAGAAGCACTCATAAATAGTAGCCGTAAGCTTTGCTGCCAGTGCTGTTGTTAGAACAATCATATCTAGCATTTATTTATTGAGCACTAGTATGTGCTCCAGTGTGTGCTCTAGTTTGGTTTCAAGTAGGGGCTATTTTCATGCCCATTCTGTAAATTACAGAAACTGAGACACTAAGAGGTTAAGGAATGCGCCCAAAGTCATGCATCTGATAAAAGATGAAGCCAGTATTGAAATCTAGTCCCAGCATCCAGAGCCAGAAGTACATGATATAACATTTTACTGCCTTCAAGAAATATATAGGGACCATTAAAAATATTTCCCATGTTGAAAATAAAATTGTTTGGAACTAATATACAAACAAATAATTAAGAAGTATAGAAATGTTTTAATAAAACATACTCATAATTACCTCAAGAAATGAATACTGGCAGAGACCATCAAAACTGTAACTTTTCCCATCAAAAGTTCTAACATGACCTTCCCCATAAATGTGGCAGATGGTTTGACATTCATTCTGCGTACAACTCCAAGACCCTTTAATGCAAGTACTAAAAGGAAAAGATGAGAGAGTGTAGTGATTATGTTATGCCAGGAGTCATACACTAATATTGCTTTTGTAAAGAAGCATAAAATTGTGTTTTATTTTGAATTACATTTTGCAATTGTCTTCATTATAATGTAAGATGTTCATTTTATACAATGTTACATAAAGTTCTATTTTAAAAATAGCATCTTGCTGGGTGCGGTGGCTCACACCTACAATCCCAGCACTTTGGGAGGCCAAGGCAGGTGAATCACAAGGTCAGGGACTGAGACCATCCTGGCTAACACAGTGAAACCCAGCCTCTATTAAAAATACAAAAAATTAGCCATGCATGGCGGCACACGGCTATGGTCCCAGCTACACAGGAAGCTGAGGCAAGAGAATCTCTTGAACCTGGGAGGTGGAGGTTGCAATGAGCTGAGATTCCACCACTGCACTCCAGCCTGGGTAACAGAGCGAGACTTCATCTCAAACATACATACATATATAAATGGCTTCTTTTTCTAACTATATTTGGTCATTTTTTTTTTCAAATATCCCAAAGTGTGACTTCTTCTCTACTATGAAAATATGAACAGACTACATATTTTCTAATATCCAAAGCAAAATAAGAATCCTTTATTAAGCACCATTCATTGCAGCCAACAGAAGTGACACTTCCTTCATCATATTCTCGTCCACCAAAAGAGCATGGGCAGTCATCAGGAAAGACACATATCCCTTTAGAATTCCGAACCATTCCTTCTGGACAAAAGCACCCACGTTTGCAAGGCAAGTTCTCCTACAGGAATAAATATAAAATATACACCATGAGGCACCATTCTAATCATGTCATATTATCAGCATTAATTTAAATGTTTAAATATGCCAAGTATATATTTGGAGTCAAACTTTGACAACTGAAAGTACAAGGCAAAAAGAGCATGACCTTCTAATTATTTTTTGTTAAAATTGTAGTTTTCCTAGGACCTGAAATAAAAAGCTTTCAAAGGCTAAACTCTTATGTTACTATGTTACATGTCACGTTACTTACATCAAAAACAGGTATGTTCCGAGTATTGCATGTTCTGTCGGTTCTTCTCTGTGCTTTGGGATCCCTGCAGTCTACATACTCAGCCCCTCCAGAACAATTTTCTGCAGAATAATAAAAATTATCATTGATCAAGAGCCTATTGATATGTTTTCTTTAGCCCAAGTAGGTATTTTAAGCTTGAGCCATGATATCAACACTTACGTAGGGCTAAATCAATGGGAATCTGGCAAAGAAGAATTCCATCCCGACAGACACTGGAAATAAAACAAAATTATAAATTTAGACATCAAGTTTCAAGGATAATTAATTAAATGAATGAGGCACTATCCCCAGATGATGCATAAAATGTACCAAAGGATAAGGTATCGCCTTGTAAATATTACAGGAATGTACAAACAAGGTTTATTGGATATCAGAGAAAACCTCATGGAAAGGATGGCTGGATCTTAATGACAAGTACAATTTAATACTTCTGATAAGATGCCAAATTGTGGCACAGGAGAGAACAAGATATGTTCCAGTGACTCCAAAGAGTCATGTTTGGATGGAAGGCAGGATGCAAAATGGGCAGAAGTGGTACATGTAGATTGGGGCCAGATTTTAGATGGTCTTAAATGACTTGCAAGTTTCTATCTGTTCTTGAGGTAACGGTCAGTCATTAAAGTTTCTGAGCAGGCAGGTGGCCCTATCAGAATAGTGTTTTAAGCTGCACACTTTTTATTATGATTATACTTTAATTTCTGGGATTCATGTGCAGAACATGCAGGTTTATTACATAGGTATACACATGGCTTTAGGCTACACATTCTTGCAGTAATTCAGGAAACATGGGACAGAGAGACAGCAATAATGAGTAACCAAGATAGCTACTGCAGTGGTGACAGTTGACGAGAGTCTCAGATACGGTAGTGGTGAAGGGAACCATAATTTGGAGGTATTAGCCTGATTCACTGAAAAGTTAATTTATTGATTCCCATGAAAATAAGAGCAGACTGCATATTTTCTAATATCTAAAACAAATAAAATAGTAATTATTTATTAAGCACCATTAAAAAGTTAATTTACTGATTCCCCATAAACTGCAGAAGAAAAGAAATTATCGTTATCAAGCCTCACCCAAAGGTTCATGGGCTTTGACATAAAGGGGTTACCTAAGCTTTCTTTTCGAATGACCAAAAAAATTACTTGTTCCTAAATGATAGCTTCATGAAACCAAAGAAAAGAGAGAAGGTGCATTCAAAGTGTTTTTGAGTGGCTACTTCATTTTGGCAATTACATTATCCACAGTTCCTACATCTCTCTATGGAATTAGAAATATGCTTAAATTACTTTGCTCCAGGCAGAGCACAGTGGCTCATGCCTGAATCCCAGAACTTTGGGAAGCCAAGTCAGGTGGATTGCTTAAGTCTAAGAGTTCAAGACCAGCTTGGGCAACATGGTGAAATCCCTTATCTACTAAAAATACAAAAGAATTAGTTGGACATGGTGGTGTGCACCTGTAGTCCCAGCTACTCGTGAGGCTGAAGTGGAAGAATCGCTTGAGCCCACAAAGGCTGGGAATGCAGTGAGCCAAAACCGTGTCTCTGAACTCCAACCTAGGCAATCAAAATGAGACTCTGTCTCAAAAAAAAAGGCAGGAAGGAAGGAGGGAAGGAAGGAAGGAAGGAAGGAAGGAAGGAAGGAAGGGAGGGAGGGAGGGAGGGAGGGAGGGAGGGAGGGAGGCAGGGAGGGAGGGAGGGAGGGAGGAAGGAAGAGAGGGAGAGGAAGGAGAAAGGAAGGAAGAAAGGAGGGAGGGAGGGAAGGAAATTACTTTGCTCCAAAGTGTAGAAATCATAGCCTCCTCAGCCATTACAAAATAGTCAAAATTCTTCAATTCTTCGGAACTAAGTCTAAATTCTTGGTTATAATCTGACCACTGTCAATGTTTCTAGCCCAACTCTGTATAAAAGCAACCCACATGTGTAAATTTTTTTCAGACATTTTCTACATCTGAGTATTCTGTTTACTCCACAGGAAATCATCCTCTACATTTCAATTTTTGTCTGGAAAAAGATTCATTCCCTAGCACAATTCATATGCCTGTCTTCTCTGAGAAGTTTTCCTTAACTTCTTCAGGTAGTGCCTGGCCCCTTCTGCTATCATGCTCTAGGATACAAACCTTCTAACAGCTTCTGTCCTGCTTACTTGGAGTCGAAGACAATGTTTGTCCTGCTCTGCAACTCCTGCACTCAACACCAAGCCTGGCACACCACAGACACTTAATAAGTATTTGTTGAATGATTATTACTGAGAGACAGCTAGAGGGCATCTTCTGAATAAGAAATCATTTCACATTGTCTGTAGGAGAAGCTGCCAGAATATTTTTCTACTTGTGATTAAAACAAAACCAGAGTAGGATAAATCATCTATATCCATTTGGATGCAATGAGCCTTCCAGAATAAGAGATTTTTATTAAGAAATAAAAATCAAAAGTATGGCAGATCTAAAAAGGCTTCATCCTGGCAAAAGACCATTTCTCTGAAAACAATGCAGTCTCTTGATTTCAGTGTCACAGCAAGTATTCATGTAATCTCCATACCATTTATTGTCATCAATGTGGATGAGTTTGCCTGGTTTCATGACCTCATCATTTATGTAGCAGTCACACTGAGATTTCAGTACACAGTTTCCTTCATTATTCTGGTACATTTCATCAGGGCAGGTGCATCCATCAACTGGAACATCTTCCACATCACAGCTCCTATCTCTCTCTGACAATGATCGGCAAGAACTATTACAGGCTTTTACGTTGTACTTGAAAACTAGGCCACTTGGACAAGAATGTTCTGTTGGTATAGAGACAAAAGAAAGAATGAATATGTGTATATCCAGGGAAATAAACAGTTTTAATTCAGCTCCATGTTTATAGATGTTAGCATGAAATATTCATAATAGAGATTATTAATTTTTTATAAGTGCTTGTTCATTGGGTTTTTAAAATTCTTTTTTGTTTTCAGTCAGTGCTGAATTTCTATTACATGTTTAAACATTTTGCTTGGTATTAGCCCATAAACAGGAGAGGTAATACGTTGCTTTCATGTGGTGTGTATTCCCAGTGGAAGGACAGTCGTGGTACGTGCTATGAAGAAACAAAAGGGGAGGCACTAAGTATGTACAGATGAGGATCTACGCTTAGTGAAGAGGGTGGGTAGATGAAGAACAGGAAGACAGCCCAGGGAGAGGTGATTCTATGTCTAAAGAATAGCCTAACTCAGAGGAAGAATTATTTTAAAGAGCACATCGAAGAATAGAAGCTGTATGGCCAGAGACAGAGTGACTCAGTGCTTAAAATTTACAGGGTTCCCTTAAGGAGTTTGGTATTTAACCTTAGAGCAATGAGACATCATTAACTTGTTTTAGACTGAAGTGTCACATGATAAGCTTAGTGCGATTTGGCTTGGTTTTAAAGATTATCCTGGTTTATCTGTAGAAAATGGATTAGAGGAAGCCAAGAGTGAATATTGAAGGAGGCTTATGGCAGTTACTCAAGAGAAAAACAATGGTGGTTTCTTGAACGTGGTTGGTGGCAATAAAGATGGAGAGATGTGCAATAACAGAGAGATTTGGAAGGTGAAATGGACAGACCTTATTGATTAATGGATACAGGCAATGAGGTGTTACATATGATGTACAATAGATGTGTTTCTACAAAGTTTGTTGTTTGTTTTTTCTTTTTCTTGTGGTGAATCAAGCGTTTTTGTGAAGTCATATTCAAACAGTGCAATAAATATTTTAAAACAAAGCAAGGTTTTAAAAATAGGATAGTTAAGCTTCTAATTTATTGGTTCATTTTTGTTTTTTCTCAACATAAATTATTCATATTGAAATGTCATTTACAAATGCATTATCAGTCAGAACATTATTAAAATTTCAGCATACAATAATTGAACAGAAATGTATATTTATATATAAATACATATATATTCTGGTTTTGCTTTATAGGTGAATATATTAAATCAAGATCAATAAATCAAGAATTAAAATATGTAAAGATTGCACAAGGATATTAAAATAATAACCAAAAAAAAAAATCACCTTTGAAAGAACCAGGTAAAAATTTGTAAACACATATGCCTGAACACACACACACACACACACACACACACACTCACACACACACACAACTATAGTGAAACTGAGAAGGAAGTCATTATTGAAAGCTTCTCAGAATGCTGGGAAGATGGCCGCCTAAGAACAGCTCAGGACTTCAGCTCCCAGTGAAAGTGCAGAGGGTGA